CGGTTTCTCTTCGCCACCCCTTTCTACACGCTCTGGTGAGCACTGGCTCCGATCAAGCTTCAGAGCTCTCCTTCCCACACGTACGCCAAGCAATGCAGGCCAGGAGAAAAACAAAACCCCAGTCACCTCATCTCCTCTCCGCCATCTGGACCCACGGCACAAGCAGCCAGGATGCGGAAAGCCATGGAAAACCAACCGGGTGGAAGATCTATTGTGAGCATCCATGCAGCCCTTCCTCAAAGTGGCACCTGTGCACCAGCTCCCTTTCACACCCACCAAGCACACAGTGCCACACCTCCCAGCAGAAACTGGGGGGGGGGGAGGCACAGTTTCTGCCCTTCGGCACCACCAAGGGGAAAGGTTTTATGCAATGCTTATGCCTCCAAAGCGGGCATCATTTGGTTATGTTCCAAACAAGGATGCCCCAAGGGAGGTACATGGCACGCAAAAGCAGTATTAAGTCACAGTGGAATATGGAGAAATACAAGCAAGTGGACTAGAGATGGCACAGATATTGCAGCCGTAGATTGACCTGCTATTCAAGTAGGTACTGGGTGACCTTGGGCAAGTCACACTCTTTCAGCCTCAGAGGAAGGTGAGGGCAAAACCCTCTCTGAGCAAACTGTGCCAAGGAAAACCCACATTAGAGTTGCTTTCAGGTCCTGATAAATAAAAACAAACACCGGATGACCTTGGGTGAGTTGCACTCTCTCAGCCTCAGAGGAAGGCGAGGACAAAAACCTCTCAGAGCAAACTGTGCCAAGCAAAACCCACGTTAGAATTGCCTTTGGGTCCTGATAGGTAAAAATAAACACCGGATGACCTTGGGTGAGTTGCACTCTCTCAGCATCAGAGGAAGGCTCGGGCAAAACCCGCTCTGAGCAAACTGCCAAGCAAAACCCACATAAGCATTGCCTTCAGGTCCCGATAAGTAAAAACAAACACCTTGGGTGAGTTGCACTCTCTCAGCCTCAGAGGAAGGCGAGGGCAAAACCTGCTCTGAACAAACTGTGCCAAGCAAAACCCACATTAGCGTTGCTTTTGGGTCTTGATAAGTAAAAACAAACACTGGATGACCTTGGGCATGTTGCACTCTCTCAGCCTCAGAGGAAGGCATGGGGAAAACCCTCTCTGAGCAAACTGTGCCAAGGAAAACCCACATTAGCGTTGCTTTCGGGTCCTGATAAGTAAAAACAAACATTGGATAACCTTGGGTATGTTGCACTCTCTCGGCCTCAGAGGAAGGCACAGGCCAAACCCTCTCTGAGCAAACTGTGCCAAGGAAAACCCATGTTAGAGTTGCCTTTGGGTCCCAATAAGTAAAAACAAACACTGGATGACCTTGGGTGAATTGCACTCTCTCAGCCTCAGAGGAAGGCACAGGCCAAACCCTCTCTGAGCAAACTGTGCCAAGAAAAACCCATGTTAGACTTGTCTTTTGGTCCCATTAAGTAAAAACAAACACATGATGACCTTGGGTGAGTTGCACTCTCTCAGCCTCAGAGGAAGGCGAGGGCAAAACCCTCTCTGACAAACTGTGCCAAACAAAACCTACGTTAGTGTGGCTTTCGGATTCCAATAAGTAAAAACAAACACCAGATGATCTTGGATGAGTTGCACTCTTTCAGCCTCAGAGGAAGGTGAGGGTAAGAGTCTCCAAATAAACTGTACTACGAAACCCCCTCGATAGAGTCACCTTAGGATCCCAATATATAAAAAACACGCCTCGAAGGCATATAATAGCAAAAGCAACAACAACAGGCCCTAAATATCCACACATCTATGAATGAAAAAAAACACACTTCAAATCTCAACAATCAACAATAGAGATTTCCTGCCTTTTCAGACACAATACTGCTCCAGGCAAGCAACCCACACATTTAGAGGCAGTCCTCCAAACAACATATGTGCCAGTGGCAATGTGGGTGGTTGCCAACTCACTGGATTTGTCGAAGAAAAACAAATAATATTAATAAAAATAAAAATGATAATAATACTAATAGTCTGCTCCCATAGGAAGATATGTTGTTTGAAAGATTTGCCCTTAAATGCTTTCTAGGAGCAGTATTGTTGTTGTTGTTATTATTATTATCATCATTATTATATCCTGATAACATGAACTGACTGGTTTAAACTGTGTTTATGTTGATATTTTTTTAGAGGGCAAATATCTTTCAAACTGTTATTTAATAATGTTTATATTATTGTGTCATTTTAATTGTATGAAGTGATATTTGTTTATTGTTGTTTATTGTCTATTGCTTATATTATTTTCTGTATCTGTTGGTTGGTTGTACACCTACCCGAGTCCCCTTGGGGAGAGGGGGCAGGGTACAAATAAAGCTTATTATTATTATCATTATAGCTTTCAAACTATTACTTATTAATGTTTATATTTTTGTGTCATTTTAATTGTATGAAGTGATATTTGTTTGTTGTTGTTTATTGTCTATTGCTTATATTATTTTCGGTATCTGTTGGTTGGTTGTACGCCGACCCGAGTCCTCTCGGGAAGAGAGGGCAGCGTACAAATAAAGCTTCTTCTTCTTATTATTATTATTATTATTAAAGGTAAAGGTTGTCCCCTGACATTAAGTCCAGTCATGTCTGACTCTGGAGTGTGGTGCTCATCTCCATTTCTCAGCCGAAGAGCCGGCGTTGTCCATGGACACCTCCAAGGTCATGTGGCCGGCATGACTGCATGGAGCGCCGTTACCTTCCCACTGGAGCGGTACCTATTGATCTACTCACATTTGCATGTTTTCAAACTGGCAGAAGGTTGGCAGAAGCTAGGGCTGACAGTGGAAGCTCACGCCGCTCCCTGTAATTGTACCTGCGACCTTTCAATCAACAAGCTTAGCAGCTCAGCACTTTAACCCACTGTGCCACTGGGGGCTCTCTATTATTATTATTATTATTATTATTATTATTATTATTATTATTGAGTTGTTGTAGGTTTTTTCGGGCTATATGGCCATGGACTAGAGGCATTCTCTCCTGACGTTTCGCCTGCATCTATGGCAAGCATCCTCAGAGGTAGTGAGGTCAGTTCCAACAGACCTCACTACCTCTGAGGATGCTTGCCATAGATGCAGGCGAAACGTCAGGAGAGAATGCCTCTAGACCATGGCCATATAGCCCGAAAAAACCTACAACAATCCAGTGATTCCAGCCATGAAAGCCTTCGACAATATATTATTATTATTATTGACTCCAAGCAAGCATTTAAGGGCAAGCTCTTCAAACAACATATCTGCTTAATAATAAAAATTATAATAATACAATCAATTATTATTACTACCATCATTTAGTATTATTATTAATAATACCATCAATTATTATTACTACCATCATTGAGTATTATTATTAATAATAATACCATCAATTATTACTAATAATACCATCAATTATTATTACTACCATCATTGAGTATTATTATTAATAATAATAATACCATCAATTATTATTAATAATACAATCAGTTATTATTATTACCATCATTGATTATTAATTAAAAATACCACCATTGATTATTAACATTAATATTAATAATAATACTATCTATTATTATTTTGTTAATTTTATTAATAATATTAATATTGATAATGCCATCTATTATTATTATTTTGTTAATATTGTTAATAATATTAATGTATTGTCGAAGGCTTTCATGGCCGGAATCACTGGGTTGTTGTAGGTTTTTCCGGGCTATATGGCCATGTCCTGGAGGCAATTTTTCTCCTGACGTTTCGCCTGCATCTATGGAAAGCATCCTCAGAGGTAATGAGGTCTGTTGGAACCAGGAAAATGGTTTATATATCTGTGGAATGACCAGGATGGGACAAAGGACACTTGTCTTCTGGAGCTAAGTGTGAATGTTTCAACAGATCACCTTGATTAGCATTTGATTGCCTGGCAGTGCCTGGAGCAATCTTTTGTTGAGAGGCCATTAGATATATAAACCCTTTTTCCTAGTTCCAACAGACCTCACTACCTCTGAGGATGCTTGCCATAGATGCAGGTGAAACGTCAGGAGAAAAATTGCCTCCAGAACATGGCCATATAGCCCGGACAAAACTACAACAACCCAATAATATTAATATTAATAACGCATCTATTATTATTTTGTTAATATTATTAATAATATTAATATTAAATAAATAAATATTAAGAATACCATCTATTATCATTATTTTGTTAATATTATTAATAATATTAATATTAAGAATACCATCTATTATTATTATTTTGTTAATATTATTAATAATATTAATATTAGTAATACCATCTATTATTATTATTTTGTTTGTTACCCACTTCTCTGTCTGGGGGTGGGGCACAACACAGTTTGAACACAAATGGGCTGCAAGAGGCAGACAGACACAGACAACAGGTCTGTGCAGAGGTCCAAAGAGGATGTAGAGAGGAGAAATGGGTGTGGATAGCCTGTAGAACCAGAGGAAGAAAATATGGATATATGTGTGTGTGATCAGATGGAAAAAAGGGGGAGATCCCTGAGATAGGATGGAGGAAGAGAAGCAGACAATGGGTGGGTCAGGGTGTGCAGTGGGGAAAGCCAGGGTCTGGGAAATAAACAAGATTACCATGTAAGGAGATGGGCAGCCAAAGGGGGGAGGGGGGGGCAAAGAAGAGGGTGACAGATGGGAGTCAGGAAAGGAAAAGGGGGGGAGGTCAGAAGAATAGGTCCTTTGCAACCCCATTGATCCCCCCTTTTGTCCTGGGAGTGGCAAAACAATGGGTAGAGGCGCAGCAAGGTGTGTGTGTGTGTGTTGTGGGGTGGGGGAGAAACCCTAGGAGGGTAGGACCCACCCATCTTTTCTCTCCCCCCCCCCCCCCCCAACTTAGAAGGATCAAGAAAACCAAGGGAGGGGCTTCACATCTGGAGGGAAGTCGTCGTCCCCCTCCCCCTTTTGACCACTTCCAGGCCCAAGAAAGGCCGACCCCCCTCCCCCAAAGGCACTGCCCCCCCTGATGCTCACCCTGGGGGCTCGGAGGCTCCTTCCCCCGCGCAGTCCACCCGGGACCGAGGAGCAGGGGCCAGAGGATGGCCAAGCGCATGGCCAGAGCCGGCGATCGCAGCATCCTGGCCGCCCCACCGGCTTCTCCTCCCCGCTACCCGGCCATGGCGCGCCCCGAAGGGGAAAAAAAGAAGAGTCCAATGCGGGAGGCAGCGGCGGTTATTGTGCGCCTCCTGCTTCTCCCGCAGAACCAGCCTGGCGTCTGCCACAGCGCCACCTGCTGCACGAGAGCGGGACTGACACAAAAAGCGCCCTCCTCCTCCTCTTTCTTTTCCCCGCCTTCGCCTTACCTCACCTAGAAACTGGGTCCTGTCCAATGCCAGGGAAGAAGGGTCCTGGGAAAGGAAGGGGGGGGGGGGGGGGGGGGGGAGAGACCTCCACGCCTCCCTCTCTCACTCTGGACAGAGATTTACACTCTGGACATGCTCAGAGGGGCATTTGTTTCTTAGGGTGAGGATGAGTGGGCCAAAGTGTGCTACTCTTGCACTTCTGGGAAAGACCTACAAGCCACTCTAAACACGTTTGCAGAAGCTCAGCCTGTCATTGAGCATCCAGAAAACCAAAGTATGGTACTCTTCCAGCAGTCATCGGCCAATCCCTCTCCAATGCCAGAAATACAGCTTAATGGTGTAACATTAGAAAATGGTGACCAGGGTTGTTGTAGGTTTTTTCAGGCTATATGGCCATGTTCTAGAGGCATTCTCTCCTGATGTTTCGCCTGCATCTATGGCAAGCATCCTTAGAGGTAGTGAGGTCTGTTGATGAAGCCGAGCATGTCCCCCCCCCCATAAGGGATAGTAACTTATAGTTCTGTAAAGGGCAAGCGCACCAGACTGCACAATAGGGGTTAAGTCTTGGTCAATTTGCCAAGACACTAACAACAGCAAGGAGCCCAGGAGGCTTTCAGGGAGCAGATTGGTCCCTGGGCTCCAGCCCTTGGAAAGAGTTACAGTTTTCCAAGGACAAAGGACCAGAGTAGATCTCAATGTGGTGGGTCTCCCTTAGCTGGCTCAGTGGAACCTCTGAGACTTTCTCTTATGAATTTTATACTTTTATCATTCCCCACAAACATTTCCCTTCCTCTACAAGGACAAAAAGGAGCCCCCGGTGGCGCAGTGGGTTAAAGCACTGAGCTGCTGAGCTTGTTGATCGAAAGGTCGCAGGTTCGATTCCGGGGAGCAGCGTGAGCTTCCGCTGTCAGCCCTAGCTTCTGCCAACCTAGCAGTTCGAAAACATGCAAATGTGAGTAGATCAATAGGTACCGCTCCGGCGGGAAGGTAACGGCGCTCCATGCAGTCATGCCGGCCACATGACCTTGGAGGTGTCTACGGACAACGCTGGTTCTTCGGCTTAGAAATGGAGATGAGCACCACACCCCAGAGTCAGACATGACTGGACTTAATGTCAGGGGACTACCTTTACCTTACAAGGACAAACCCTTATGAATTTCTACCCTTATGAACTATGGACACATATTATGTATTTCATGGTTTCCTCGTGGCAGAGGCTCCCCCACCCTCATTTGACCTTTCCCCCCTTCTCCTCATGAAGAAATCCCCCCAGGAAACTGCAGAGCCCAGGCATTCACTAAAGTACTTTAATCCAGAATTTCCTTTTCATGAACAATATCCTGGCGGTTGCCCTTTGTTCTCGAAGGATCGCCCAACAAAGTTGCCGCCCCCTGGCAAAACTTTAATCATTTTTCTACCTGGAGGTCAGAGGATCTTCGAAAAGCCCCCACCTTCACTGGTTGATTTAACTAACTTCCCACTAAGGAACACTCACCCCAGTTTCGCCCTCATTGTGTTTGCTGGCCGGATTTTCCTTTACACATGTTGATTCATTCCAATCAAAACACAATAGACCAGCCCTGCTTGAGACTTCCTTTTTTGTCTCGCAAGCCACATGGCATTATTTTTTCAAAACTCATTCACAGATTCCTTTGTGTTCTATCGTCCCGCCTCCCTCTCCCCTGATTCGCTGTCGCCACTAGGCAGCAGGAGCCTTCCCATTGGATCCATCACACCGCTGAAGCTTCTTGATTGGTCCTGAAGCCCAGGGTGCGGGAGGGCTGCCTCCCAGCTGTTCGCCCGTCGCCCAATCATGGCAGGGAACGTCAGGGAAGCTGGGGAGGGAAGTTTGAACTCTACAACTTTGAATTTGCTATAAATATGACTGTATTGGTGTATTCTCCTCATGCTCTACTGGTGAATGATTGCGGCTCTGCATCCTTTTCAGCTGAATTGCTAATAAAAGCCTTGGTGGCCATTTCTTCAACCTTGGTGATATTTATTTGGGAAAAATCAGGGAAAATTCTGGGCCTTTCTCCTCTTTTGCTTGCCAAGGGTTTCGAACTCTCTTTGGTGGGTCTAAGGGCTCCTCTCTCCTGGGCAGGAGCCTCCAAATTCTAGCTCGATAACATTGAAACTAAGAAAATGGATTTATATCTCTGTCGAATGACCAGGGTGGGACAAACAACTCTTGTCTGCTGGAGCTAGGTGTGAATGTTTCAACTGACCACCTTGATTACCATTTGATGGCTTGGCAGTGCCTGGGGCAATCTTTTGTTGAGAGGCGGTTACATGTCCTTGATTGCTTCCTCTCTGTTGTTTTGCTGTTGTAATTTTAGAGTTTTTTTTAAATATTGATAGCCAGATTTTGTTTATTTTCATGGTTTCCTCCCTTCTGTTGAAATTGTCCACATGCTTGTGAATTTCAATGGCTTCTCTGTGTAGTCTGACATGGTGGTTGTTGGAGTGGTCCAGCATTTCTGTGTTCTTAAATGATATACTGTGTCCAGGCTGGTTCATCAGGTGCTCTGCTATGGCTGGCTTCTCTGGTTGAAGTAGTCTGCAGTGCCTTTCATGTTCCTTGATTCGTGTTTGGGTAATGCTGCATTTGGTGGTCCCTATGTAGACTTGTCCACAGCTGCATGGTATACGATAGACTCCTGCAGAAGTGAGAAGATCCCTCTTGTGTTAGACGGGGTTACACTCCCCCTGAAGACGCAGGTTCGCAGCTTGGGAGTGATCCTGGACTCATCGCTGAGCCTGGAACCCCAGGTCTCAGCGGTGGCTGGGAGAGCTTTTGCACAATTGAAACTTGTGCGCCAGCTGCGCACCTTGGGAAGTCTGACTGGCCACAGTGTCCACGCTCTTGTTACATCACGAATAGATTACTGCAACGCCCTAGGGGAGATGGTTGGCGGGGTATAAAAATAAAGTTATTATTATTATACTGGTGTCTTCAAAATTACTCACCGGAGCATCATACAGGGAGCATACCACCCCCTGCTATGTCAGCTCCACTGGCTGCCGATCCAGTTCCAAGCACAATTCAAAGTGCTGGTTTTGACCTACAAAACCCTTTACGGCTCCGGCCCAGAGTACCTGTCCGAACGTATCTCCTTCTACGTCCCACCTCGGAGTTTAAGATCTGCTGGGGAGGCCCTGCTCTCGGCCCCACCTTTATCACAAGCGAGACTGGTGGGGACGAGGGACAGGGCCTTCTCGGTGGTGGCCCCTCGCCTGTGGAATGCACTCCCGGGGGAGATTAGGTCATCAACATCCCTCCTTGCTTTCAGAAGGAAGCTAAAAACCTGGATGTGGGACCAGGCCTTCGGGTAAGCTGGCAGATGGACAAAGACAACCAATGACGACCAGAGTAGGAAAGGATAATGACGATGCTAGATGGATTACGGACTATGAATTGGCGAACATTGACCACAAGATAATTTTATTGCTGCTAGTATACTGTTTGATTGTTTTAATTAGTTATAACTGTTGACATTAAATTGTAAATTTGTGTATTGTATATTGTACTGTATTTGTGAATTGTTAGGCATCGAATTGTGCCTTTTGTAAGCCGCCCTGAGTCCCCCCTAGGGGGTTGAGAAGGGCGGGGTAGAAGCACCCCAAATAAATAAATAAAATCTACTCTTGTCCTTTGCTGAATGTAGCATTTGTTGGATTTTCTTGGTGGGTCTGTAGATAGTTTGTATGTTGTGTTTCCTCATCAGCTTCCCTATGCGGTCAGTGGTTCCCTTGATGTATGGCAAGAACACTTTTCCTCTGGGTGGATCTTTGTCTTGACTCTTGTGGCTTGTTCTCGGTCTTGCCGCTCTTCTGATGTCTGAGGTGGAGTATCCATTGACCTGTAAAGCCCAGTTTAGGTGGTTCAGTTCATCTTGGAGGAAGTGGGGATCGCAGATTCTGCATAGGAAAGCTGGAAAAAAATCTGTTCCTGGTTTGAAAATGTTATTTCCTGTTTAATTGTGTGGCACTTATTTTTAAAGTAGTTGTTATATTCCAGAAACTTCGTTTTCGTGGCTGCCACAAACTATGTTGAATTGATTGAGACTCAGTGAGAGATTCATTGAAAAACTAGAGCAAAATGTGCTGCAGGATGTCCCGCTAAAACAAAGATTTTATGGTTTAATAAACCTTTTCCATATTTTTATGATATAACCAATTAGGAAATGACATTTATAACCAAAATAAATAAATAAGTGATACTGATCACATTGTAGTTTTTGTTCATTAAATAAAATGTTTGGTAAAATGCCCCAAACATTCAGGAACCATTGAGCGATTGGAGCAGATCTATAGTACTGAGTTACCCTTCAGAGAATATTATCATTCTGACATTCAAATCTCTATCAGAAGAAAGTCTTTTCCCCAGGAGACAGATGGAGGACCAACTTCACAGGAAACTAGGCTCATCTGGGATTAACAAAGAGTGAACCCAGTATTAGCCAATGCAGATGGAAGACTTGGTCACTTTCACATTTGAATATTAGAAGGAAATCATCATGACTGGAGAACTGATTAGGTGTGAATTAAGAATCAATTTATCATATAACAACAATACTTTATTACAGTCCATGGACCCATGACTCATTTATCATACAATCTCACCAGGAAGTTCACAAACAAGTACAAATTCATTATTATTATTATTATTATTATTATTATTATTATTATTATTAAAATATCTGTTACAGTGAAATTTTGAAACATCAAAGGCACTAGCCTGCAGAAGAGTGAAAAGACAGTGTGGAGGACACCCAAGTTATTTTTTAAAAGAATTCAGTCATATTCATGATTTCAATTCTAGGGAATTATGTTATTAGTTCTCATCTGTGTTCATATTTGCCTATTAACTCCTGCTGTTTTATATTTAATGCAGAGATGTAGAACGTGAAGCTCTCCAGATGTTGTTGGTCTCCTTTACCCATCAGTTCTGGAATGTGGACATGGGTGATGGGAGTTGTGGTCCATCCACATGTAAGGAAGACACAAGTTCCACGCCCCTCTTTTAAGGGAAGGTAAGCCACATATCATTTTTTTTAAATGTGCACAAGGGAAGGTTCTCATGTTCGGCATATTCATCTCTCTTCAATAGAAGTATAGTGTCTAGGCTCTAGACCCAGGGAAGTCATGCTACCCATGCTCTATTCTGCCTTGGTTAGACCACACCTGGAATATTGTGTCCAATTCTGGGCACCACAATTGAAGAGAGATATTGACAAGCTGGAATGTGTCCAGAGGAGGGCGACTAAGATGATAAAGGGTCTGGAGAACAAGCCCTATGAGGAGTGGCTTAAAGAGCTGGGCATGTTTAGCCTTATTTTTTTCTTTTTTATTCTTTTATAGTGTAAGTAGAAAACAAAACAGATGAACAAAAGAAAAAAAAGAAAAAATAAAAAAAATGCAAAAGATTTACAAAAGAGTGAATATTCTCTGCTCATTAAACATATGAACAATCAGATTTGGGTTGTTGTAGGTTTTTTCAGGCTATATGGCCATGTTCTAGAGGCATTTCTCCTGATGTTTCGCCTGCATCTTTGGCAAGCATCCTCAGAGGTAGTGAGGTCTGTTGGAACTAGGGAAAAGGGTTTATATATCTGTGGAATGACCAGGGTGAGACAAAGGACTCTTGTCTGCTGGAGCTAGGTGTGAATGTTTCAGCTGACCACCTTGATTAGTATTTGATTGCCTGGCAGTGCCTGGAGCAATCTTTTGTTGAGAGGTGATTAGGAAACAAACAAGGACATCTAATCACCTCTCAACAAAAGATTGCTCCAGGCACTGCCAGGCAATCAAATGCTAATGAATAAGGTGGTATGATATGAATAAGGGAAGGTGGTGAAAGAGTGAAAGATCCAGAGGGCGTCATCTCAGAACCGTATTCAAGGATGGTTCAGAGCAGGAATGAGTTCAGATGAGTTGTGTATGTGGAAGCATCACATCCTCATTCGTTCCCATCACCAGGTGACTGTGCCCCAGGCTCATTGGTTAGCTGCTCCTCATCCTCTGTGGGTGGACGCTTTCTCTTGAAAAAGCCCGTCTGTTAGAAGAAAGAAGAAGGGAGAACATGGGGTGAGTAAAGCATAGCACTCCATGCCAGAAAAAGGTAACCCACACAAGCATCCCACCCTTAATGTGCACGCACGACACTGTCAGCTAAAAAAGCATTGTCCATAGACCCCACTTCTGGTGAAATTTCCAGGAGTGCCCCAGTGTTTTCAGAAATATCAGCCAGTAGCAGAGTTCACAGAGTAGGGGCAAACTCTATGCCAGGGGTCCTCAAACTTTTTAAACAGAGGGCCAGGTCACAGTCCCTTAAACTGATTATAATTTGTAAAAAAAAAAAACATGAATGAATTCCTATGCACACTGCACATACCTTATTTGTAGTGCAAAAAAACCCACTTAAAAACAATATAATAATTAAAATGAAGAACAATTTAAACAAATATAATCTTATTAGTATTTCATTGGGAAGTGTGGGCCTGCTTTTGGCTGATGAGATAGGGTTGTTGTTATTGTTGTGTACTTTCAAGTTGTTTCAGACTTAGGTTGACCCTGAGTGAGGGCCGGTTAAATGACCTTGGAGGGGCGTATCCGGCCCCCAGGCCTTAGTTTGGGGATCCCTGCTCTATAATTTGGTTCTATAATAATAATAATAATAATAATAATAATAATAATAATAATAAGTCACAGGGATGAGGGAACGAGCTTGTTTTCCGCTTCCCTGGAGACTAGGAGATGGAACAATGACTTCAGACTACAAGAAAGGAGATTCCATCTGAACATTAGGAAGAACTTCCTCACTGTGAGAGCTGTTCAGCAGTGGAACTCACTGCCCCGGAATGTGGTGGAGGCTCCTTCTTTGGAGGCTTTTAAACAAAGGCTGGATGGCCATCTGTCAGGGGTGCTTTGAATGTAATATTCCTGCTTCTTGGCAGGGGGTTGGACTGGATGGCCCATGAGGTCTCTTCCAACTCAATGATTCCATGATTCTATAATAATAATAATAATAATAATAATAATAATAATAATAATAATACTTTATTTATACCCCGCTTCTATCTCCCCAAGGGACTCGGTGTAGCTTACATAAGGCCAAGCCCACAATACATCAATAACAAAGGAGATAACAAAAACAACCAATACAATACAATTAATATAAATCACATAAACACAAAATAAACAATCAACAATCAACAGTGACACACAAGCATTTAAAAACCAATGGCTGGGCCAAATGTAATAGATTAAAATTTTAAAATAATACTGGACATGAACAAGGTAGGATATAACTGGGATAGGACCTCAACCTGTGGGTCCCCAGATGTTTTTGCCTTCAACTCCTAGAAATCCATTTTTTTAAAAAAAAATGAGAAAAAATATATAGTTATATAGGCATATACTATACATCTCCCCCTCTTTTATTTATATTCACCCCTGTGCTCCCCTTCTCCAGAGCCAGCTCTTCTTCTAAAGTCCCACCAAAGTTCAATGCTTCATTTGGAGGTAAATTCCCATCTTCTTTTTCCAATACTATTTCTAGAAATTTTCTCCGAATACTTTCAAAGTCATTTTTTTTACATAATGCCTTCTTTACTTTAATTTGGTATAAAGAAAGATATATAGTTTTCAAGTAAAGTGGGAGAACATAATATTTTGAAGAAAAGTGGGAAAACAAGAAGATAGAAATAAGGGGAAGGGAAAAAGAAAAGAAAAGATATATATGTGTGTGCGTGTGTGTGAGAGAGAGAGAGAGAGAGAGAGAGAAATAAAAATAAAAATAAAAATAAAATCTTGTGACTTCCTCCTAATCCTTCACGGGTTCAACTTTTTTCTCTATATGATCTTCCAAATTGAAGATCAAACATATATCTATATATATAAATTTCCTCCTGGCGTCGTATGAGGAAACAAAACTCAAAAACCCCCCAACGAAACGCCACCAAACTTCCCATGCCCCAAGGGCAACCAACAAGGTACAAACTAATCCACTCAGAAATCAAAAACACACAACAACAACCACAATAAACGACAAAGCAACTGAGCATGCGCACTGGCGCAAACTCCCTGGCGCGGACACACATGGCCCCTCACCCTCCCCCCCGGCGCGGCACACACACGCGCGCGCGCACGGCCCCTCCCCCCCGGCGCGGCACACACACACACGCGTGCCCCCTCTCCCACCCGGCGCGGCACACACGCGCGCGCACCCCCAACCCCCCCCGGCGCGGCACACACGCGCGCGCACGCGCCCCCTCTCCCCCCTCCGGCGCGGCACACACACACATGCACACACACGCGCGCACGCGCCCCCTCTCCCCCCTCCGGCGCGGCACACACACACATGCACACATACGCGCGCACGCGCCCCCTCAACCCCCCGGCGCGGCACACACGCACACATGCGCGCACGCGCCCCCTCACTCCCCTGGCGCGGCACACACGCGCGTGTGCGCCCCCTCTCCCCCCCGCGCGGCACACACGCGCGCGCGTGCCCCCATCCCCCCTCCCCTCCTCCCTCTTACCCTCCTCACGTTACCTCCAAGTCACGCCCCTTCTAAACCCATCCCCCCCTCCTCACCTTACCCCCAAGCCACGCCCCTTCTAAACCCATCCCCCCTCCCCTCCTCACATTAACCTCCAAGCCCCGCCCCCTTCTAAACCCATCCCCCCTCCCCTCCTCCCTCCTCACGTTACCTCCAAGCCACGCCCCCTTCTAAACCCATCCCCCCTCCCCTCCTCCCTCTACCCTCCTCACGTTACCTCCAAGCCACGCCCCCTTCTAATCTGTCAAGGAAGAATCATAGAATCATAGAATCAAAGAGTTGGAAGAGACCTCATGGGCCATCCAGTCCAACCCCATTCTGCCAAGAAGCAGGAATATTGCATTCAAATCACCCCTGACAGGAGAGAAAGAGGGAGGGAAAGAAAGAAGGAAGGAAGGAATGAGGAAGAAAAGGAAGAAAGGAGAGAAAGAGGGAGGGAAAGAAAAAGGGGGAGGAAGGAAAGTTAGAGAAAGAAGAAGGAGAGAAGGAAAGAAAAAAGGGAAAGAAGGAAGGAAAGAAGGAGCGAAGGAAGGGGGAAGATGTAGAGAAAGAGGGAGGAAAGGAAAGATGGAAAGAGAGAAGGAAGAAAAGAGAGACTGCAGAAGAGAAAAAGGAAGAAGGAAGGAAAGAGGGAGCGAAGGAAGGGGATAAAATGTAGAGAAAGAGGGAGGGAAAGAAAGGAGGAAAGAGAAGGAAGAAAAGAGAGACAGCAGAAGAGAAAGAAAAAGGGGAGGAAGGAAAGCGATAGAGAAGGAAGGAAGGAGAGAAGGAAAGACGGGAAGGAAACATGGAGTGAAGGAAGGAGGGAAAGAAGGGGAGATAGGGGGAAGGTTGGCCACAGCAACGCGTGGCGGGTACAGCTAGTATATGTATATATATATATATATATATATATATATATATATATTCAAAAAAATGAAGAAAAAAAAGGAACAACAAAAGTTTGATCACCCTTATGTCCCATAAGGCTATATTATTCACTTTTAAGTTTGATGTTAGCTTATTGTTAAGGGCCATTTTCCAGACTTCTTTATAACATTCATTAATCTGTATTTTCATATATCTTACAACAGTAGCAAGGACGTTATTAGCTCGGAAATGGTGATTAAAAGAAATCCTGACAATTGATACATGGACTGCAAAAATTATGGACTATAAGAACATGGACTCTAACTTTTCTTCTCCAGGACCAGAAAAACAGATATAAGACAAATTGGTTATCGCTGAAAGAATATCTTCAGGAAAAGAAACTTATACACTCCATATTGATAGAGTTTTGGCTTATAGAATGAGGAAAATTTAATAGAGAAAATAAAATAGACGGAATGCCGCGGGAGCACCGAGAAAAAGAAGACCAAAGAGAAAGGGAAAAGGACACAAATAAACTCCCTGTGGAATAGACCAGGAGACAAATGTTCGTTTGTGGGATTAACGTAACTCAAAAATAGATGCCTAATAGATACGAATAGATACCCAACAACTCAATGAGTGACCATCACTCAAAAAATGTTGATTTTGTCATTTGGGAGTTGTAGTTGCTGGGATTTACAGTTCACCTACATCAAAGAGCATTCTGAACCCCACTAACAATGGAACTGAACCAAACTTGGCACATAGGACTCCCACAACCAACAAAAAATTCTGGAAGGGTTTGGTGGGCATTGACCTTGAGTTGTGGGAGTTGTAGTTCACCTACATCCAGAAAACCCTGTGAACTCAAACAATGATGGACCTGGACCAAACTTGGCACAAATACTTTATATGCCCAAATTTGAACACAGATGGAGTTTCGGGGAAATAAACCTTGACATTTGGGAGTTGTAGTTGCTGGGACAATCAAAAAGCATTCCAAACCCCACCAGCGATAGAATTAAACCAAACTTCCCACACAGAACCCAAACAACCAACAGAAAATACTGTATTTTCTGATGGTCTTTGGCAACCCTTCTGACACTCCCTCGTGACCACTCCAGGGGTCCTGCCCCCCAGGTTTAAAATGCTACCTTAAGGCCATCCAGTCCACCTCCTTTCACCAGGGTAAGAAAACATAATCAAAGCCCTCCTGACAAAGAGTCCTCCAGCCACAGATATAGATAGATATATATGGTTCACACACACACACACACATGTATATGACAAATATAATATCATAGATTTGAAAGGGATCCCTAAAGAAGGACAATAATATATTCCATGTTCCAGAGTAGGCAAACCAGACAATCTCCACATCAACACTGACAAAGAAACAACAAGAAGTACTACTTGTCCGCAAGCATAAAGAAATTACATACATTAGAAACCAACGCTTTCTCATTATTTATTCATTTTCCAGATCACCAGTCTGGGCCACAGCAATGCATGGCAGGGGATGGCTAGTATATAATATTAGTATATAATAGTATTTTTGACAGTTCAATTTTTTAATTGGAAGAATATTTAAACATTCTTTGGGTGCCATCTGCCTCCTAGAAACACAACACTGCAAAATCTGGATCCTTCCAAGATCATAAATAGCTTTTTTCCCTTTATTTTCCATCAATTTTTGGAATGAAGTGGCTCTGTGGGCCATGCAGACAACAAAAAGAGGCCACACTTCACCAAGACTTTGGAGTAGGATAACACTCAGCCCACAAAGAGACTCTATCTCTCTCCTTCTCTCTTTACATAGTTAAGGGGGCAGATACATTTTGAATTCTGGCATCCATAGTAGCACTATACTTCCATGATGTATCCTACCAGTCCATCTCAGAGTTTCACTCACCTTCCAAAGAATTATAATGAAGGTGGCAAGAAGGAGAAGTCCCACCAAGACAGCTACTATGATCCACCATACAGGGATCTTCCTCTCAGCATCTGGATTCACCCACTCCACTCGTGTCTTCGCCTGGTTGAGAAAGAAAGGAGGGAAAACCAAACTGAAACTCCGGGGTCTCTCCAATACTCTTGAAGGAGGCCAACCCTCCAGATTTTGCTTGACATAACCAGGAGCGGATGTTTATCTCCAGAACAGGAAACAAGAAATAATAATATTAGGTACAGGTCTGTGGCTATTCATTCCGGGGCCTTTTAGAGGAAATGATCTGGGTAATTGGTAGGAAGAATAAGGCCGTATTCAACAATGTGTAGGGCTGATTTAGAACTGGTCTTTTTCAAAGGCTTGTTGAAACCACCAGGTCTTCAAGCTCTTATGAAAGGAGGGGAGGGATGGAGCCTGTCTTATTTCCCCTTGAAGGGCGTTCTAGAGGTGGGGGGCCACCACTGAGAAGGCCCTCTCTCTTGTCCCCACCAACCGCGCTTGAGACAGTAGTGGGACCGAGAGGAGGGCCTTCCCGGAAGATCTTAGAGCTCATGCCAGTTCATAGAAAGAAATGCGATCGCTGAGATAGGCGGGGCCCGAGCCGTTTAGGGCTTTATAAGTCATGACCTGCACCTTGAATTTGGCTCGGCAACTTATCGGCAGCCAATGAAGCTGTTTTAATAGGGGTGTTGTATGCTCCCTATAGTTTGCTCCAGTAAGGAGCCTGGCTGCCGCCCGTTGTACCAGTTCAAACTTCCGAGCCATCTTCAAGGGCAGCCCCACGCAGAGCACATTGCAATAGTCCAGTTTGGATGTAACCAAGGCGTGGACCACCCTGACCAAGTCAGAGATAAGGCAGGCTCCATCACTTAACCCTTTTTGTAAGAACTTGAAGACTTGGTGGTTTCATCAGGCCTTTGAAAATTGACTAGTCTCAAGTTCCAAGCCCTTGGCCAACAGTTAGGACTTGGCCTTGCACTCCAGCCATTACCCTAGTCCCCTTCCATTTGAGAGCACTTTTTCTTCCAGCCCAGACCCTTTAAATGGTCCTTTAATTGGCCCTGGAAATGAGTGGCCCCCGGCCCCCCAGTATGACCATTGCTGAGACCCGTTTCTGCACTCTAGCATTCTGTCGGCCTCATGCTTCCCTTTTCCCTGCAATAGCTTCAACCTAGCCCGCCCAACAGCTTAGGAATTTTGGCCCCTAGTAGCTTTCATTGCACGAAAGAAGAGAGTGGAACTGGTTTCTAAATTGGTTTTAATATATATGTTGTGCTAATAGTTTATGTTTCACATTGTATGTCTTTTGTATTTTTTGCATATGAGTCCCCTAGGGGAGATAGGGCAGTATATAAATAAAGTTATTATTATTTGAAACACAACAAGATGAGTCCACAGCAGACAAGCCACCACTGAGAAGATCCTCTCTCTCGTCCCCACCAACCATGCTTGTGACAGTGGTGGGAGCAAGAAGAGAGCCTCCCCGGAAAATCTTAAAGTTCACCAACACAGTATAAGCATATAAAACATCTATATAAATAAAAATGTAATGTTCATTTGTGGGCTTAACATAACTCAAAAAACATTGGACAAATTGACACCAAATTTGGACACAATACACCTCGCAGGCCAACGAGTGACCATCACTCATAAAAAATTGAAAAACACAGCAGAAGAGTTAAAAAGCCAAAAAGCAAGAAATACACTACAACGGATTTGCAAAACCACACACACACACACACATATATATATTTGCAAACTCACATATACACATATATACACACACAAAACACATATACAGAGACTGGGCCACAGCAACGTGTGACAGGGGACGGCTAGTATAATATAAAACACAATCAATTTTCTTCCCTTCATTTCAGCAACCCTGATTTCTGAACGTACCACAGCAGATCCACTTGGTAGAACTTCTGGCTGAATGTGGTATGGCATTCCTGAAACGTTGAAATGGGCTTGAGACTGGATGAGAAACTGTTCCACAGGCCGCTGTAGTAAAACAATTGCCACAGACAACATGTAAATCTCATTAATCTGGGACAGTGGGCCTGGGTAAGTAATGGAAGGAGCAGCTTCATCCGTTCGAAAGGGAAAGGACAGCCCATGCTGCTCCTTGATTCATAGAATGGCTTCCCACCTCCCCATAACCAGGTTCTTGTTCTTACTACATTTACTTACTACATTTATTTATTTATTTATTTACAGTATTTATATTCCGCCCTTCTCACCCCGCGGATTACAATGTACATATATATGGCAAACGTTTAATGCCATGTATGAACATATATAGACAGACACTCAGAGGCTATTTAACAATCCAGCTTTTTCATGAGGGTATTCTGGCCATCAGGGGAGCTGTCGCTTCACTGTCCATTTGTGACACTGATGAAGTACTTCCTCATTCTTTGCATGCTTGCTGGAGATTTTTATGGCATCGTAAATTAGCCTCCCCACATAAGCGGTACCTAAATTTCCTACGTGACAGATACAACTGTCTTTCGGACTGCAAAGGTTGACAGCAAGCTACACAAATTGGTTGGAAGCTCACTCCGACCCAGGCTGGCTTCGGACTCGATGTTTTGGTTAGTAGTGATCTTAATGCAGCTGACTCCCAGCTGTGCCACAGTCCTGGTGCATGAATATCCCTCAATGCAGTGCCCTTCAGATGTTTCAGACTATAACTCCTTTATAAGAGCATCACATTAGGGAAGGCTGGCCAAAGGTTTCTACCAGCATCTTTCTTCCTTTGAGGTATTCAAATTGGTCACTGATTTAGGTCCTCGACAAGATTTCCATTACATTTGGTAGATGGAATTCTGCCCCCCCCCCCAAACTAGAATCGGTAAAGTGTCCCTTCCCTCTGTCCAGTGGACTCAACAATTCCTTCCATATGTCCACTTCTTCATATTCTTCAAATCCCCCACAAAAACCTCTTTTTATCCAGTAGATTTTGGCAATAACTTGCCCTTCTCCCATTGTTTACTTTATAATTTCTACAACCACAACTTGGGAAAGGCACTTTTTGGCCTAAAATATCCAGAATATCCAGGTGCTAGCCGAGTTGGTCTATGGCAGTGGTTCTTGACTTGTGGGTCTTCAGGTGTTTTGACCTACATCTCCCAGAAATCCCAACCAGTTTACCAGCTGTAAGGATTTCTGGGAATTGAAGGCCAAAAGATCTGGGGACTCACAGGTTGAGAACCACTGTTCTAGGGGATACAATTCAAAAAATGTATTTCCCACATTCTGAGAGTGATTGCACTAGAGCAGTAGTTCTCAACCTGGGGGTCAGGATCCCGAGGGGGGTGGCGAGGGGGTGTCAGAGGGGTTGCCAAAGACCATCAGAAAGCACAGCATTTTCTGTTGGTCATGGGGGTTCTGTGTGGGAAGCTTCGCCCAATTCTATCATTGGTGAGGTTCAGAATAGTCCTTAATTGTAGGTGAACTATAAATCCCAGCAACTACAACTCCCAAATGTCAAGGTCTATTTCCCCCAAACTCTACTAGTGTTCACATTTGGGTATATTGAGTATTTGTGTCAAGTTCGGTCAAGATACATCATTGTTTGAGACCCCAGTGCTCTCAGAATGTAGGTGAACTACAACTCCAAAACTCAAGGTCAGTGCCCACCAAACCCTTCCAGTATTTTCTCTTGCTCATGGGGGTTATGTGTGCCAAGTTTGGTTCAATTCCATCATTGGTGGAGTTCAGAATGCTCATTGATTGTAGGTGAACTATAAATCCCAGCAACTACATCTCCCAAGTGACAAAATCAATCCCCCCCCCCCCCCAGTATTCAAATTTGGGCATACTGGGTATTCATGCCAAATTTGCTCCAGTGAATGAAAATACATCCTGCATATCAGATATTCATATGATATACATAATAGTTGCAAAACTACAGTTATGAAGTAGCAATGAAAATAATGTTATGGTTGGAGGTCAACACGGCATGACGAACTGTATTAAGGGGTCACGGCATTAGGAAGGTTGAGAACCACTGCACTAGAATATAATGGGAGCAATTATTCTGTATACCCCTCTGCTACCTCCTCCTTTGCTAGGTTCCTTTGTCTAATTTTATACTGCAAGGTCCTCAGATCAAGAACTTATCCATTTGGTAGTCTATTCAAAGCATGTAAGGCATGGCACAGGCTCATAGGGTGACAAAGGGGACTACTCTTTCAGCAGGTACTTTGCAAGAGGGAACAACAGTCAAGTGCTAATTGACATCCATAACATCTATTTTGGCCATAACATCTATTTCAGGAGAGCTTTCATTTGGTATGCGGGGCTGTTTTGGGACATAAACAAATGGAACTCCTTTTGGAAAAAAATATACTTTTTTTGCTCTGCTACTCCCCAAATATTCTAATCAGCATGTCCAGCAAAAGCTCCTTTCTTACCTCTCGGAAACTTGGCAACCACAAAACAGCATGGATCGTCACCATGGCTCCTTGCCCTTTCTCCAGTAATCCCACTTGACAGTGAAGGACAGCGCAGATTTGGCTGCTACAGTTCTGCAGGCAGATTGCGTTAAGTGGATTACATTTCATTCAAAATAGGCTAATCAAGTTGCTCAACCTATAAGGCCTATAATTCATAGAGACTCAGGGTGCAATACTATACAAAAGTTGAGAATTGTACTTTGAGGCACTGTAAACAAACAGGTTTCTCAATTTCATGGATATGGAGAGATGTTTCAGCTAGGTAGAGTTGGCCCCCACATTTGCAGATTTAACTTTTGCAAATGTAAACATTTGTCTATTTGATAAATACGTTCTCTCCAGAAATCCAGCATGGAGTGTGACCTTACAGTAGAACTGGAAAAGTTAAAGATTTCTAGAGAGGTGTTCTCATAGATTCATAGGATCTTTGAGTTAAAGAGACCTCATGGGCCATCCACTCCAACCCCCTGCTATTTATTTATTTATCTATCGTGTCAGGAGCAAACCAAACAGTTGTATTGCATTTTTAACAAACAACAAGCAAGCAAGCAAACAAGCAAACAAACAAAACACAAAGTTTGCAAGCTTGGTAGTTGATTAAATGTCCTTTAACTAGTAGCTGGCCACTTGGAGTGCCTCTGGTGTTACTATAAGAAGGTCCTCCATTGTGCATGCGGCAGGGCTCAGGTTGCATTGCAGCAGGTGGTCTGTAGTTTGCTCTTCTCCACACTCACATGTCATGGATTCCACTTTGTAGCCCCATTTCTTAAGGTTGGCTCTGCATCTCATGGTGCCAGAGCGCAGTCCGTTCAGCGCCTTCCAAGTCATCCAGTTTTCTGTGTGCCCGGGGGGAGTCTCCATTTGGTATCAGCCACTGATTGAGGTTCTGGGTTTGAGCCTGCCACTTTTGGACTCTTGCTTGCTGAGATGTTCCAGTGAGTGCTTCTGTAGATCTTAGAAAACTATTTCTTGATTTAAGTCATTGATGTGCTGGCTGATACCCAAACAGGGGATGTCACTGCCTTGGTCCTTTCCCTATTGGCTGCTACTTCCCGACGGATGTAGTGTAATTTCTCCAGTGGTGTAGGGCGCAGACACCCCGTGATAATGCGGCATGTCTCATTAAGAGCCACATCTACTGTTTTAGTGTGGTGACATGTGTTCCACACTGGGCATGCATACTCAGCAACAGAGTAGCATAGCCCAAGTAGCATAGCCCAATGTCTTCACTGTGTCTGGTTGTGATCCCCAGGTTGTGCCAGTCAGCTTTCGTATGATATTGTTTCTAGAGGCCACTTTTTGCTTGATATTCAGGCAGTGCTTCTTGTAGGTCAGAGAATGGTCCAGAGTGACTCCCAGGTATTTGGGTGCTACAAAAGAAATGGGGCTACAAAATGGAATCCATGACATGCGAGCGTGGAGAAGAGCAAACCACAGACTACCTATTGCAATGCAACCTGAGCCCTGCCACATGCACAATGGAGGACCTTCTTATAGTAACACCAGAGCACTCCAAGTGGCAAACTACTGGTCAAAGGACATTTAATAGAATACCAAGTCTGCAAACTTTGTGCTTTGTTTGTTTGTTTTTAATGCACTACAACTGTTTTGGTTTGCTCCTGACACGATAAACAAATAAGTTTCGCCCACATCTATGGCAGGCATCCTCAGAGGTTGTGAGGATTCCGGCCATGAAAACTTTCGACAACACAATGTTGACTTAACCCCATTTCTGGGGATGTGATCACCAGCCAATGTGAAAGACTTTGGACCATACTATGAAACTGCCCACAATCCGCAAAAGGTCTCACCACCATCACCGCTGGTTCCTCTGGTGTTACAGGACTCAAGTCACGCTTCTGACGCCAGCGTCCTCTCTGGATGCTTCTATTGGAGCTTGGCGTAGTCATGGGCTCTTGGAGTTCCAGCTATAGTGAACGAGACATTGTGCAGGTAAAAAAAACCAAGCTGTTGTATCTCAAGGGCAGCAATATAAATCATCCTTCTGTCTATATGCTTTCCAACAAACAAAACCAGTTCAAATCTATAATGCGCAAAGGGAGAAAGTGTGGCTTTCAGATGCCTTTAGACTGCAGCTCCAATCAATTGCATTTGAACAATACATGGAGAACTGCAATTTGCCCATCCTCACTAGAGAGGCAAATCACATGCATTTCCTGAACCATCTACACATAGCTTAGGATGCATAGGACGTATGTCTATACATCCCCAGCAAAAGCATGCGGGGAATGCGGAAGTACTTCATCAGTGTCGCAGATGGACAATGAAAGCAGCAGCTCCCCTGGCAGCCAGAAAAAGTTAAATAGCCTCTGACTGTTTGTCTATATCTGTTGTGTGTCTTTGGCATTGAATGTTTGCCATATATGTGTACATTGTAATCTGCCCCGAGTCCCCTGCGGGGTGAGAAGAGCGGAATATAAATACTGTAAATCTGTAAATCTATGTTCATTGACACTGAAATACATCGTGTGAGCTCTGCGAGTGCAGCATTTTCCCGAAAGAAGCAGAGAGTGTTTGAGGACCGGGATATCCATAGGGATACCAAGGTGCTTGTTTATAAAGCTGTTGTCCTCCCAACTCTGCTATACTCCTGCGAGACATGGACTATCTACAGACATCACATCCAACTCCTGGAACAACTCCATCAGTGTTGCCTCCGAAAAATCCTGCAAATTTCTTCGGAAGACATGTTGGCAAACGTCAGCATGCTGGAAAAAGCAAAGACCACCAGCATTGAAGCGATGGTCCTCTGCCAACTCCGCTGGACCGGCCACGTTGTCCGGATGCCCGTCTCCCAAAGCAGTTGCTCTATTCCTAACTCAAGAACGGAAAATGGAATATTGGTGGGCAGGAAAAGAGATTTAAAGATGGGTTCAAAGCCAACCTTAAAAACTCTGGCATAGACAATGAGAACTGGGAAGCCCTGGCCCTTGACCGCTCCAGCTAGAGGTCAGCTGTGACCAGCAGTGCTGCAGAATTTGAAGAGGCACGAATAGAGGACGAAGGGGAGAAACGTGCCAAGAGTAAGGTGCGTCAAGCCAACCCCGACCGGGACTGCCTTCCACCTGGTAACCTCCACAGTCACCTACAGATGGTCCATCGCTAGTACACCGATTTTGGAAGACAATCTTACTTGGATAATGAGGGATCGCCTAAGTAAGTAAGTAAGTAAATAGCTTAGGGGAAAAAAAGAAAAACTCTTTGTAATATAACACCCCCAATAGCAATGTTGGGTAAGGCATCCTTGGAATTGTAGTCACTGGAGTAACCTTTACCAATTGTACTAATGGGTTACACCAAATATTTAATGGAAAGGAAGGGATTTTAGAAAGAAGGATAATGTGGCACCAAATAGGAGAAGTCTTCAGTATGGGGGCAAAGACGAAGAATTGATGGAATTTCTGTGAAACAGATGCAAACATAAATAAAAGGTATTGTCAAAGGCTTTCATGGCCGAAATTACTGGGTTGTTGTAGGTTTTTTCAGGCTATAAGGCCATGGTCTAAAGGCATTCTCTCCTGACGTTTCGCCTGCATCTATGGCAAGCATCCTCAGAGGTAGTGACCTCACTACCTCTGAGGATGCTTGCCATAGATGCAGGCAAAATGTCAGGAGAGAATGCCTCTAGACCATGGCCATATAGCCCGAAAAAACCTACAGCAACCCATAAATAAAAGGATTTGCCCATGAAAACACTGAAATACAAATATTATTTTTAAAACAAATGATGCAACCTCATAGTACTCCTACCTTGAGGGGATTGGTCTCATTCAAGGGCGAGCAGACAATGTTGCCCTCAGTGTTGACCCTGGTGATGTAGAGCAAGAAGCCGTCCCAGAAGTTGTTGGGAAAATCCACAAGGAGTTCAGCCCCAGACACAGTGCTAGGACCTGCATTCTGCAACTGAGAGTGGGTGGAAAAGGAAGGGAAAAGGTATCAGCAATGGGGCAGAACAACAACACTGCATTAACCTTCTGTGTCTGATTCCAGACGTTGTATATGTTACTTCTTTGGATTGACAATCCCAGGATTGTAGTTGAGGACTTCTAGGAGATATAGATCCCAAAAGTGCATTTTCCAAACCCAATTTCAGCCTGTGCTTCTTTGTACCCACCCGATAGATGTGTTCAACTTTGGGTCCATAGTCATCTGCCTTCATGCTGTTGTTGTTATAATCTGTGGCCACAGGGAGCACAATGTCGGTTGGTGCAGAAATCCTGGGAGCCGGATGCAGAGAACATGAGAATTACAATGCTACTCCAACCTTCCTGTCCTGGGGCAGAACTTCCTCTAGGCAAAAGGAACTGCATTTTCAAAGGGAACATTCTTTCTTTTTGTGTTGTCAAAGGCTTTCATGGCCAGAATCACTGGGTTGCTGTGAGTTTTTGGCCATGTTCCAGCAGCATTCTCTCCTGATGTTTCACACTGGGACTGTGGCGCAGCTGGCTGGGAGTCAGCTGTGTTAAAATCATTACTGACTGAAAGGTCATGAGTTCGAAGCCAGCCCAGGTCTGAGTGAGCTTCTGATCATTCTGTCGACTTTTGCAGCCCGAAAGACAGTTGCATCTGTCAAGTAGGAAATTTAGGTACCGCTTATGCGAGGAGGGTAATTTAACTAATTTGCGACACCATAAAAATCTCCAGCAAGCAAGCAAACAAAGAATGAGAAAGTATTCCATCAGTGTCTCAAATGGATGGTGAAGCGACAGCTCCCCTGGTGGCCAGAATACCCTCATGAAAGCTGGAATGTTAAATAGCCTCTGTGTGTCTGCCTATATATGTTGTGTGTCTATGGCATTGAATGTTTGCTATGTATATTATTATTGTTATTTAAAACTTTTATATCCCGATCTTCTCTACCTCTGCAGAGGGACTCAGACCGGCTAACAGCAAAGATTCAATGCTAACACTGAAAATCTAAAACATAATACACAACATAACGTTACCAATTACATTACATAAATTACATAAAATTACATAAAAGCCATTCGCCAGGATAAAATTGTGTCCAACTCAGTCCGTATGTCCAGTCCATATAATGTGATCAGTACCATTAGTCGATTGCTGGTCTCAAACATAATTCCACAAAAGTTTGGTTGCACAGCCAGGTTTTCACTAGCTTCCTACAGGTCAGGAGGGAGGGGGCAGATCTAATTTCATTTGGGAGGGAATTCCATAGCCAAGGGGCCACCACAGAAAAGGTGCTGTCTCTAGTCCCCACCAGACGCGCCTGCGAAGATGGCGGGACCGAGAGCACAGCCTCTCCAGACGATCTTAACACTCTTGATGGTTCATAGGGGAGAATACGTTCTGACAGGTAAACTGGGCATTGTAATCCACCCTGAGTCCCCTGCGGGGTGAGAAGGGCGGAATATAAATACTGTAAATAAATAAACAAACAAATAAATAAATAATATATGCACTCCACTTGTTCCCGGTGGTGCAATGGATTAAACTCTTGTGCCGGTAGGACTGCTGACTGACAGGTCAGCACTTCTAATCCAGGGAGCAGGGTAAGCTCCTGTCAGTCAAGCTCGAGCTTCTCACGCAGGGACATGAGAGAAGCCTCCCCCAGGATGGTAAAACATCAAACATCCAGGCGTCTCTTGGGCAACGTCCTTGCAGACGCCCAATTCTTTCATACCCGAAGCGACTTGCAGTTTCTCAAGTTGCTCCTGATACGAAAAAAAATTGCCTCACTACCAACAGAACCTCTGAAGATGCCAGCCACAGATGCAGACAAAACATCAGGAGAGAATGCTGCTGGAACATGGCCATAGAGCCCAAAAAATCCACAGCAACCCATTCTTTCTCTTTATGATTTCCAGAAGCAGTGCTTCACTAACTGTTCACACTCATGCAAGGCCATGACAGCAGAAATCACTTTGGAAGATCAGCAGAATCCAGCAGGAAAGCTGTCTTATTGTGTATTATTTTCAGATTGCACATGTACTTCCCAATGAGAATCCCCCCAATTTGTGCCCATTACACAAAACAGCAAATTTCAAAAGAAATACAATCAGCCATCCATATTTGAGGGTTTACCTTTGGTGGATTTGGATAATAAGTTCTCTCGAGAAATCTCTAGGTTCTCCAGGGTGACTTTATGGTCAACTTGGGTACAAAACAACTGGGTTTTTTTATTCACTGTTTTTTCACTTTTGCAAGGGTCTTCACACATAACCCACCTGAACGTGGAGGCTCTATAGTACCTCCCCTGCCCCCACCTCACACACTCACATGCTGGAGCTCATACTCACCCTAGCAGCTCCATCTTTGCAGCCACCTTGACAGGGACTGGCAGTCGTACCACATTACTGCTGGAATTGAGTGAATTCTTGCTGCAGGGGAAAATCATATGGAAACTAGAACAGGACTTATGTAATGAATCCCTTACCTTGGCAAGCTAGCTTAGGCCTAAGAGAGTGAGCCTGGTGAAGCCACGGCATCCATTTTAGGGGAGACAGGGAGATACCATCTTAGATTAGGTTTGCCTTAAGGGGGCATGTTCTAGTCTAGGAGGGAAAATCAGAAGACTAAGATTGGTTAGAATGATGAGGATGGAGCCTAAGTGATCTGAAGGAAAAAAGTGACCTTTAAACTGAGGCTTGAGTTCCCAGTTTGCCAGTTTGGAGTTGGAGCTTGGAAAGGGTAGAGTGAAGACGTTGGGTGTTAGTGAGAGCAGTTTGGGGTTTTGAAGAAGAACTTTGGGTCAGTCTTTTGTTTAGTATTCAGGGTAACTATAGAGAAATATAGCTAGAATACTGTGTACTGTATTCTAGAGTGGTCTGTTCTTTTCCTAAGGAAGGCTAGTTCAGGTTTTGGCTAGATTCCTAAGGGGGATTTTTGTGGGAGTTACTTTCAGAGATTCATTTCCTGAAGTAATTTTCTGTATTGAAACTTTAAGACTTTTCTAAGATCTTTTCTCAAACATAACCACAAGCTTTGTATGCCAGATTTTTACTGAAACCAATACGCATTTGTACCTGAATTATTTAAGCCTGTTCAATAAACGTTCTTGTTATTTTTACCAGCTTATACCAGCCTCGGTGTGAATACCATTGTGGTCAAAGCATCATTTAAGTCAGCTTTTTAACAGCCTCTAAGAAATCTATAGGTACACAGAGTGTGGTACTGAACAATCTCTCAATAAGAACTCAGCCGGTTTATTAGTAATATGGTGGCAGCGGAAATCTTTTAAAGAATCAGTTTAAGTCTCTCAGTTCCAGTGGTTCACAGTTCCTAGCTTTTAAAAATGCAGTTGGTTCAACAACTATTCTCCCTCTATATTTTTGGTGAGCTAACCTGTAGTGTGTCATCGTTATAATTTTGTAGGCTGCTGTGTGGTCGTTATAATGTGGTGAAGTAGTGTTGGGATTTTTAGTATCGAATAAAGTTCCCTACTTTTCCCTATGGTTCATTATAACTTACATTTGAGTTAAGCCTAGGGTTTATTTTCAGACATCAAATCCAGTCCTGTGACATGAAAAGCCACAATGAAGAACAAGCAGAGAAGAGCAGAGGTAAGTAGGGCTACACCTGGGTGCTTCCTGACTGCTGCCATGCAATGGTCCCAAAGCACAATACCCTTGACCAAAGTAATGGGCATGGGGATGGAAAACACTGCCAAGGTGAGGCGGTTTTTTATTGACCAAATGGGATGAATATGTCTATACCAGAGATGGCTTTAGCACAGCTGGTAAATCACCAGCAATGATAAATTCTATCAACCAAAAGGTTGTAAGTTCAAAGCCCTGGGGTGGCATAAGCACCTGACTGTGAGCCCTGCTCACTGTTTACCTAAGCAGTTTGAAAACCGCTTACAGTTGTGATTAGAGGAATTAGGTACCACTAATGCAGGGGAGGTATTTTACAACACAATAAAGAAAAAGATCAAAGAATGCTGGTGACCAGAAGGAAGGAGGAAATCCTGATGGCTCTTTGTCATAGAGGATGGAGTGACAGCGCCCCCCTGTGGCTGGCAACTTCCAAAGGCCCTGACAAGCTGGATGTTCAACTGGATATTCAACTGGATATCAACACAACACAATATACCTCCTTTCTCTTCTGTCTTTGTCCCGTCCAAAAATGGCATTGAATGTTTGTCGTGTATGTGTACTGTGATCCACCCTGAGTCCCCTTCGAGGTGAGAAGGGCAGGATATAAATAAAGTGTTGTTGTTGTTATTATATGACTGTCCAGATATTGCTGAGCTGCCATCACCCCCAGACAACATGTCCAATGATCAGACTTATAGATTATAGGAATTGCAGGTCAACATCATTTAGAGCAGAGGTCAGCTTTCTATGTATTGCTAGGCTATAACTCATCCTAACTAGCATAGCCAATAGTATGGGATGTTGGGAGTTTTAGTTCAGCAACACCTGAAGGACCATAGTGCGTGCACCTTAGATCTAGATAGCCACATATTTCTTTCCTTTTGGGGATACATTATTTTGTGGACTACAACTACCAGAATCCCTCACTTAAGCATGGCCAGTAATCAGATATTGTGGGAGCTGTGGACTCAAATTCCTCACTTGTCCTGTACTATAAGAAAGGAGGCTATGCTGGAAGGTTTTAGCCTATGCCTAGAGGCCTTTGGATTCCATGGACAATGTTCCCTGGAGGGAAAATTGACATCAGTGATCCAGAATGGTTAGTTACCTCTTCAACTGCAGCATGAATCTGATGGTATCCTCAGCATTTTCCAGTTGGCTGACACTTAGTTCCACATCTACCTTGATCTGTATGTGAGAGAGAAAGAGAGAGAAGTGGGAACAGCATCCATAGTGTGTGCACCAAGGAAACTGAGCAGGTATCAACTGCAAAAGGCCACACACAGAGCTACTTCACATCCAGGAAAATGAGGTTCAGGGGGCTCTTTGTTATCAAGGAGGCCTAACATGGAGTTCATTGGTCTACTGTTCACCTGAAGTTCAGTCAGAAACATCCTGACTCATTTAGTAGACAGTAATAGAGATCCAACAATGGAGAAAAAGAAGAACATACATGCCTGGAGAAAAGCAGCCACAGGTTGCATTATTTTGCATTATTTTGGATAGACAGCCTTAAAGATCTCACCGGATTGAAAGGTGGAAAATAAATTTTAAATAAGGCATGAGTAAGTATACGATGGCAAGCATATGATACCTTAGAAAACTACTTTTAAAAAACTATATTTTATTGAGTATTCTTACAGATAAAATAAGGGTTTTGTAGGTAAAATAGGGTTTTGTAGGTAAAAAGACCAGTACAACCAGAGATATGTCGGTATGCCATTGGAAGATGGGACTCCCAGGTCGGAAGATGCCCAAAATGCTACTGGGGAGGAGCAGAGGATAAGTTCAACTAGCCCCAGATGTGATGACGCAGCTAGCTCAAAGCCGAAAGGAAGGCTAGCGGCCGACGGTACTGGAGGTGAACGAGGAATCCGATGCTCTAAAGATCAACACACCATAGGAACCTGGAATGTAAGATCTATGAGCCAGGGCAAATTGGATGTTGTTATTGGCGAGATGTCAAGACTAAAGATAGACATTCTGGGGGTCAGCGAACTGAAGTGGACTGGAATGGGCCACTTCACATCAGATGACCACCAGATCTACTACTGCGGACAAGAGGAACATCGAAGAAATGGAGTAGCCTTCATAATTAATAAGAAATTCGCTAAAGCGGTGCTTGATACAACCCAAAAAATGACAGAATGATCTCAATTCGAGTGCAAGGAAAGCCTTTCAACATTGTTGTTGTTCATTCGTTCAGTCGTCTCCGACTCTTCGTGACATCATGGACCAGCCCACGCCAGAGCTCCCTGTCGGCCGTCACCACCCCCAGCTCCTTCAAGGTCAGTCCAGTCACTTCAAGGATGCCATCCATCCATCTTGCACTTGGTCGGCCCCTCTTCCTTTTTCCTTCCACTTTCCCCAGCATAATTGTCTTCTCTAGGCTTTGCTGTCTCCTCATGATGTGGCCAAAGTACTTCAACTTTGTCTCTAGTATCCTTCCCTCCAGAGAGCAGTCGGGCTTTATTTCCTGGAGGATGGACTGGTTGGATCTTCTCGCCGTCCAAGGCACTCTCAGAACTTTCCTCCAACACCACAGCTTCAAAAGCATCGATCTTCCTTCGCTCAGCCTTCCCTAAGGTCCAGCTCTCACATCCGTAGGTTACTACAGGGAATACCATGGCTTTGACTAGGCGGATCTTTGTTGCCAGTGTGATGTCTCTACTCTTTACTATTTTATCGAGACTGGACATTGCTCTCTCCCAAGAAGTAAGCGTCTTCTGATTTTCTGGCCACAGTCTGCATCTGCAGTAATCTTTGCACCTAGAAATACAAAGTCTGTCACGGCCTCCACATTTTCTCCCTCTATTTTCCAGTTGTCAATCATTCTTGTTGCCATAATCTTGGTTTTTTTTATGTTTAGCTGCAACCCAGCTTTTGCGCTTTCTTCTTTCACCTTGATTAGAAGGCTCCTCAGCTCCTCCTCGCTTTCGGCCATCAGAGTGGTTTCATCTGCATATCTGAGGTTGTTAATGTTTCTTCCAGCAATTTTCACCCCAGCTTTGCATTCCTCAAGCCCCGCACATCGCATGATGTGTTCTGCATACAAGTTGAATAGGTTGGGTGAGAGTATACAACCCTGCCGTACGCCTTTCCCAATCTTGAACCAGTCTGTTGTTCCGGTCAGTTCTTACTGTTGCTACTTGGTCCTTGTACAGACTTCTCAGGAGAGAGACAAGGTGGCTTGGGATGCTATAGACTAACAACTTGCCACAATTTATTATGATCCACACAGTCAAAGGCTTTAGAATAGTCAATGAAGCAGAAGTAGATGTTTTTCTGAAACTCCCTGCCTTTCTCCATTATCCAGCGGATATTGGCAATTTGGTCTCTCGTTCCTCTACCTTTTCTAAACCCAGCTTGAACATCTGACAACTCTCGCTCCATGTATTGCTGGAGTCTTCCTTGCAGGATCTTGAGCATTACCTTACTGGCATGAGAAATAAGGGCCACTGTACGGAAGTTTGAGCAGTCTTTCGCATTTCCCTTTTTTGGTATGGGGATATAAGTTGATTTTTTCCAGTCTGATGGCCATTCTTGTTTTCATATTTGCTGGCATATGGCATGCATCACCTTGACAGCATCATCTTTTAAGATTTTAAACAGTTCAGCTGGGATCCCGTCTCCTGCTGCCTTGTTGTTAGCAATGCTTCTTAAGGCCCATTCAACTTCACTCCTCAGGATGTCTGGTTCTAATTCATTCACCACACCGTCATAACTATCCTCAATATTCAACATTACAGCGATCCAAATATAAGCCCCAACCACAGCTGCTGAAGAAGCTGAAGTAGATCAGTTCTATGAGGATCTGCAGGATCTACTGGATAATACACCAAAAAGAGACATTATTTTCATTACAGGAGACCGGAATGCCAAGGCCACATCATGAGGAGACAGCAAAGCCTAGAGAAGACAATTATGCTGGGGAAAGTGGAAGGTAAAAGGAAGAGGGGCCGACCAAGGGCAAGATGGATGGATGGCATCCTTGAAGTGACTGGACTGACCTTGAAGGAGCTGGGGGTGGTGACGGCCGACAGGGAGCTCTGGCGTGGGCTGGTCCATGAGGTCACGAAGAGTCGGAGATGACTGAACGAATGAACCACAACAAGGTAAAATAGGGGTAGAAGGGGTGGAAGAGGGGAACAGGAGAGGGAGGGGTAATAGTGCTTATCTCAGGGGAGGTGTCAGGGTCTTGGGTATGGTCACAAGGACAGAGATATAAAAATTAAACATTTACTGATAACAAATCAGCATTTTTAAGGCTTGCTAAACAGGCTAAATTTCCTTTTATGAAGTACAGCTGAAGCATTTTCTGTAGAGTCCACTGTAAATACTGTGTCTTGTTGCTACAGATTTGTTTAAATGTCTAGGTGATACTCAGAAACCTTTTATTGTTGCCAAATTTTGGCAACCCAAACATTAAGCTAAGAGGAGCTTATTTGGGGTCAGGGTCCAAAGCTTAAGAAGCAGTATCTCAGATTAGGTCAGTATTATTCCACATTAAGTGCAGAAAAACAGGGAGGCAGGCTACCTTGTGCCAGAATAGACCTATAAGTGGCATTTCTTGCAATTTTATATATATTAGCAACTGGATGCAGACTGTAGCCAGGAAATCAGAAGATGCTTTCTCACTCCTCTGTTGAGCCAGCTCCACTGGCTGCCAATTTGCTACCGGGCACAATTCAAGGTGCTGGCTTTAGCCTATAAAGCCCTACACGGTTCCGGCCCCACTTACCTCTCCGAACGCATCTCCACCTATGAACCGGCGAGGTTGTTAAGATCGTCTGGGGAGGCCCTGCTCTCGGTCCCGCCAGCGTCACAGGTGCGGCTGGCGGGGACGAGAGACAGGGCCTTCTCGGTGGTGGCCCCTCGGCTATGGAATGCACTACCAGAGAATAATTTGTCTCACTTACGCTGGTAGGAATGCCCTACCAGCGGACATCAGGCAGGCCCCTTCGTTATTGGCATTTAGGAGGAGGGTTAAGACGTGGCTCTTCGAACAGGCGTTCGGATAAGTATGCAATAACATCTGACTCAGGAATGACGGCATTTGAACAAGGAATGATAATACGACTGTGAGAACAGGATCTGATTCTAATTAGGCGTGATGATTTTATGTGTATTGTTTGTGTATGTTTGTTATATAGATTGTTCAGTGTTGCACATTTTATTGTAAACCGCTTCGAGTCGCCTTTTTAGGCTGATATTTGCGGTATACAAAAGAAGTAAATAAATAAATAATAAATAAATTACTTCTTGGGAGGAGAGCAATGTCCAATCTTGATAAAATAGTAAAGAGTAGAGACATCAGACTGGCAACAAAGATCCGCATAGTCAAAGCCATGGTATTCCCTGTAGTAACCTACGGATGTGAGAGCTGGACCTTAGGGAAGGCTGAGCGAAGGAAGATCGATGCTTTTGAACTGTGGTGTTGGAGGAAAGTTCTGAGAGTGCCTTGGACTGCGAGAAGATCCAACCAGTCCATCCTCCAGGAAATAAAGCCCGACTGCTAACTGGAGGGAAGGATACTAGAGACAAAGTTGAAGTACTTTGGCCACATCATGAGGAGACAGGAAAGCCTAGAGAAGACAATTATGCTGGGGAAAATGGAAGGAAAAAGGAAGAGGGGCCGACCCAGGGCAAGATGGATGGATGGCATCCTTGAAGTGACTGGACTGACCTTGAGGGAGCTGGGGGTGGTAACGGCCGACAGGGAGCTCTGGCGTGGGCTGGTCCATGAGGTCACGAAGAGTCGGAGACGACTGAACGAATGAACAACAACAAGCAACTGGATACTAAACATGTTGGTTGGAAAATTCTGGACGCTGTTTTCCAAAAAGCTTTGTAAGCAATAATCATAACAATGGGTTGTTGTAGGTTTTTTTGAGCTATATGGCCATGTTCTAGAGGCATTCTCTCCTGACGTTTCGCCTGCATCTATGGTGATTGCCATAGATGCAGGTGAAACATCAGGAGAGAATGCCTCTAGAACATGGCCACATAGCCCGAAAAAACCTACAACAACCCAGTGATTCTAGCCATGAAAGCCTTCGACAATAATCATAACAATGCCTACCACTCATAGTGTCAAGACTCTCTAATATTGGATCAAAAGCATGACTGCAGCAATTTCTTGGCTTATACTGTCCATCCTGCATAAAGAACTGTCTTCCCCTCTTTCCACATCAACATACATAGTACCCTTAGCAGGAAATCCCTGCTACTAGAGCTATGAGACTAATTCAATAGCCAACAATTTGCTTCTTCTTCATCACACCCAAATCAGTTGACTGATGTGGGCAGGGGACCCCACTCCACCTAATGGTAGGCCCAGGTTGAGCCTGAACTCTTTTTGGAAATCTGCCATGTACCTCTGTGCCAGCTTTCATTGGGTTGCCCATTTCACAGGCCACCAGGCGGGTCTCATTTTCTTTGCGGGAGTTGCAAATCAACTTCTGCAGGCAAGAGAGAAGAAGGAAGGGAAGGAGTATTAATGTGGAGCACTGCCAATGCTGTTGCATCATGGAGAATGCATCTACAAACAATTCTTCATAATGTATGTTGAGTGAGTCTCATGAAGAAATGGAGAGTCTCCCTATGGTTACTAAAACAACAACCGCATTTCAGTCTACGAACCCACATGACCTCTTCGATCTTCTCTCACTCCCGCCTGCATCGCAAGTGCGACTTGTGAGGACGAGAGAGAGGGCCTTCTCTGTGGTGGCCCCCCAGCTCTGGAATTCACTCCCCAGAGATTTTAGGCAAGCCCCCACGCTGGCAATCTTCAGGAGGAACCTGAAAACCTGGTTATTCCAATCTGCCTTCAATGATGGAATGTAAGATACTCCCTGACCAAATTTCACACAAATTACCTCAGAAGAACTTTATTTTATGGTTCGTGCAATTAATTCCTTTCTCAACCTGGATCTCCTTCCCCAATAATTTCCATTGCCCAATCTCCCAGTGTTTTAAATTTTTAAATCCTTAAATTTGGCCCTGCCCCGTGCTATCCTGTGTGTCTAGTGTCCAATTTTATACTGCTGTGTTGCTTATTATATTGGCTTTAAATTTTATGTTTTCTATTTTCTAGTTCTGTTATGCTTTGGTGTTATATTGTGTTATGCTTTTGTGTAATATTGTGTTGACTGTACTGATGGGCGTGGTCTCATGTAAGCCGCCCCGAGCCCCCTGGGGGAGATAGAGCGGGGCATAAATAAAGTATTATTATTGTTGTTATTATTATTGTTGTTGTTGTTGTTGTTGTTCCTGAGACATTCATGGTATTGACAGAGCTACATGATAGATCATTTCCATCACATTACCGTCTTCAGTCCATTGGAATTCCACTTTCCAATTGTGTTGGACTGTCGCTCCCTACACAGGAAGTTCCCAAGTTACAAACATCCGAATTCCAAGGACTCATAGTTAAGAACAGGAGTGATACAACAGGCAGTAAGAAAGATCTAACCCAGGAAGTGAAATCCACTCCTGGAAGAGTTATCATGGTGGAAAGCTGTCTCCACTGAAGCTTTCTACCTGTGCTGGTACGGCTGTACCAGGAGCTCCAAATTTATTTGCTTTGTATTCAGTGTTTGCTTGCAGCCCTGGGTTTCAGGGACTCTGCAGATAGGTGGCTTCCTTTGGTTGCAGTCATAGGGCAAGTCACCTGTCCATCATAGTTAAGTTTTGGTTCCGCCCCTTGCTCAGGGCAATTGGGAAGGGAGCCATTTTTAGTCAGTCTCAGCAAGGAAAGCTAATGTACAGGACGTGTGCAAGCTTCCCCTGTGCAAAAGCTTCAACCCTTAAGACTTTCTGGGGGGAAACAGTCTTAAGAGCATCAAGACTTTCGGGGGGAAACAGTCTTAAGAGTCTCCAAAGATTTCCAGGAAAATAGCCCTAAAGACCAAAGAACTCCAGCTGGAGAATATCTAAACCTTTACTGGTAGGTCCACTCGGTGCTTCGAGACGCAGTTCGACCCGGTAGCGGAGCCCACATCAGTAAGGGTTAGATTACAGTCAGCCTGGGAGAAGTTAAAAAGGGGATTTTCCATTTAAAGTAAAGAAGAAGTTATTGAAGACAGTTGCCTGTCTTCGTGGGCAAGATTAGGAAGTCACCAGTTGCATAAAGCTTGGAAGCATTTGTTTAGCTTTATTGAAGACAAGAGAAGTTTCTGTTTGATTGTTCATTAATAAAAGACTTTGTTATACTTCACAAGCCATCTAAAGATCATTTGTGATGGAAAAATTCTTTTAGGCTTGTTCTTCCTGAGACCGTGGAAGAGGTCCTTGGAGCTGTGAGGGCGACCACGTCGGCTCTGGACCCCTGCCCATCTTGGCTAATTAAATCGGCCAGGGAGGGGTTGGTTGATTGGTTTGTGTTGATCATTAATGCATTGTTGGAGCAGGGGTTTTTTCCATCTCACCTGAAACAAGCTGTGGTTCATCCACTCCTAAAAAAGGTTTCCCTTGACTCCACAGTGCTGAACAATTTCAGACCAATCTCCAACCTCCCTTTCTTGGGTAAGGTGCTGGAGCGGGTGGTTGCCTCCCAGCTCCAGGGCTTTTTAGATGACATCAACTACCTAGATCAGTCACAGTCTGGTTTCAGGCCTGGTCACGGCACCGAGACAGCCTTGGTTGCCTTGGTGGATGACCTCTGTAGAGAGCTGGACAGGGGGAGTGTGACTCTGTTGGTTCTCTTGGACATCTCAGCAGCTTTCGATACCATCGAATCATGGTATCCTTCTGGGACGACTCTCTGGGATGGGTCTCGGGGGCATGGTTATGTCGTGGCTCAGATCCTTCCTGGAGGGTCGATCCCAGATGGTGAAGCTGGGAGACGCCTGCTCGGACCCCTGGCCCTTGACCTGTGGGGTCCTGCAAGGCTCTATTCTGTCTCCCATGCTTTTTAACATCTACATGAAACCGCTGGGAGAGGTCATCCGGAGTTTTGGAGTTAGGTGCCACCTCTATGCAGATGACACACAACTCTACTACTCATTTCCACCCAATTCCAAGGAGGCCTCTCGGGTGCTGGACGAGTGCCTGGCCGCTGTGTCTATCTGGATGAGGAGGAACAAGCTGAAGATCAATCCCGACAAGACAGAGGTCCTCCTGGTCGATCGTAAACCTGACCGGGGTATAGGGTGGCAACCTGTGTTGGACGGGGTTACACTCCCCCTGAAACCACAGGTCCGCAGTTTGGGAGTCCTCTTGGATTCATCGCTTACGCTTGAGGCTCAGGCGTCGGCGGTGTCTGGGAGGGCTTTCGCACAATTGAGACTCGTGCGCCAACTGCGACCGTACCTCGCGAAGGCTGATCTGGCCGGGGTGGTCCATGCCTTGGTCACCTCCAGATTGGACTACTGCAATGCGCTCTACGTGGGGCTGCCCTTGAAAACGGCTCGGAAGTTCCAACTGGTCCAACGGGCAGCGGCCAGGATGTTAACTGGGGCCCCTTACAGAGAGAGGTCAACCCTCCTGTTCAAGGAGCTCCACTGGCTGCCGTTTATTTTCCGAGCCCAATTTAAGGTGCAGGTGCTTACCTACAAAGCCCTGAACGGTTTGGGACCATCCTACCTGCGTGACCGCATCTCCATCTACAAACCCACGCGTTCACTTCGGTCATCTGGAGAGGCCCTGCTTGTGATCCCGCCTGCGTCGCAAGCGCGTTTGGTGGGGACACAAGACAGGGCCTTTTCTGTGGTGGCCCCCCGACTCTGGAACACCCTCCCCAAAGATCTTAGACAGGCCCCTACATTGGCAGTCTTCAGAAAGAACTTGAAGACCTGGCTGTTCCGATGTGCCTTCCCCGATTAGGAAATCTCCAATACCAAGTCCCAGAAGCACTTTATTAGAATTAAGATTGCCGCACACTGCACACTGCACTTGCCCTATAATCCTTACATATCACCTGTCACATCAGCACTTTTAATCCTGTACCCTTTCTGGCCCGGCCCAGTTTTATTGTGTCTTAGTGTATTGTTTATTGCTGTTGTTTATATTGCTTTAATTGTTTTTAATTTGCTTTAGGTTTTGTATTGTTATATTGTGTGTTGAGGCCTTGGCCTTTGTAAGCCACATTGAGTCCTTCGGGAGATGCTAGCGGGGTACAAATAAAGTTTAATAATAATAATAATAATAATAATAATAATAATAATAATAATAAAGGTCATTTGTGGTGGAAAACCTCTGAGAACTTCTCCTTGGGCCCCCTGGCTTCCCGCTGGGCAAAGGTTGCACGTCCTGTTCTAAAGGAAATTCTTTACAGGCCCAGCGCGCGACAGAACACTACCTAATCCTTGTTTCTCCAACAAGCCAAATTTTTCAAAATCCAATGATGACAGGGACAGAAAGTGAGGCGAGATCTTCTGAACAGGAACCCATATAGCAAAACAAATGGTACAGGGATGTTACCCCTTCCCTGTGCTTTCCAAAACTACAAAAAAAATTTTGGGTGAAGTTACAGTTGAGAAATGTGCCTGTTCCGACTTACATACAAATTCAACTGAAAAACAAACCTACAGAACCAATCTTGTTCGTAACTTGGGGACTACCTGTACTTTGGCCAGTAGGTTAATTAGCTAAGTTGGTTGGGATGGAAGGGAGTTGCAATGCATAAAATGTGGAGGGCATGAGCTAGATTATTTATTTTATTTATTTCTGGTATTTCTACCCCGTCTCTTCTCTACCCTCGAAGGGAGACTCAGGACGGTTTACATTTAGTAACGGTACAGTGCCGCTACATGACAATTACAATAATAATATAATATAGGTAAAGGTAAAGGTAGTCCCCTGACATTAAGTCCAGTCATGTCTGACTCTGGGGTGTGGTGCTCATCTCCATTTCTAAGCCGAAGAGCCAGCGTTGTCCGTAGACACCTCCAAGGTCATGTGGTCGGCATGACTGCATGGAGCACTGTTACCTTCCCGCCGGAGCGGTACCTATTGATCTACTCACATTTGCATGTTTTCGAACTGCTAGGTTGGCAGAAGCTAGGGCTGATAGCGGAAGCTCACGCCGCTCCCCGGAATCGAACCTGCGACCTTTCGATCAACAAGCTCAGCAGCTCAGTGCTTTAAACCGCTGCGCCACCGGGGGCTCCCAATATAATATAATAATAATATAATATAATAATATAATATAGCCACAATAAATACAAAACAATCATTAAAAACAGTACATTCAACATTAATTAAATACAGTAAAACAGATTAGGGTGAGATACCAATCCAATGGTTTGATACCATGTTGACCCAGCCCTTTTGGTTTCTTTAGAAATTAAATAAGTTAAGCTTTTCTAAATTGGAGCACTCAAATCTAGAAGAAAACAATAAGTGCTTGTGCTGTCATGCGTTGGGCCTGTGAAAGTGTCTGTAGACAGGACGTGCTTTCTGAATGCCCAACGAGACGCCGGGGGTGCCTCGGCTGAGAGGCCTTTCGGATTTCCCCACACAAAGTTCTTTTAAAGACTTAGAAAGTTCAACAAAGTTTTTATTGTTGCTTAAATCTTCAATAAATCAAACAAATACTTCAATGCTTTGAATCAATTGGTGGCTTGCTTAAATCTTGTCCACAAGGGACAGGCAACTTTCTTCATAAACTGTTTCTTCCTCCTACAAGGGAAATCCTTGACCCCTCCCTGGGCAATCTGGCTTAAGCTCTGTTGGCATGGGCCCCTACACCCGGTCCAAATTGTTTTATGGCTGCCGTGACTGGTCCTTACCAAACAGAGTCCTTTAGTAGATTTCCAAGAGGAAAGAAGGCTTTCAATTCCCAGCGAAGGCTGGCTGTAGAGTTGTGGAGCTAAATTCCCCCAAAAGGCTATGCTGTAGTTATCTGTAGAGCTGTGGGACTGGATCCCCCCAGCAAAGCTGTAAAAGACGAAGCTTTCTACAGGTGGAACTGATTCACGTCCTGTACGAAAGGCTTCTCTGTCTGAACTGAACTGGAGGTCTCCTTTTTCCCTCCTTAACCCAGAAAAAGGGGCGGAACTAAAAAACATAATGATAATTGATGGGTCATTGGCCCTATGATTGCAAAATTCATGGAACTTTGGAATATATGCAAACATTCAATAGAAAGGAAAAGAAGTTGGAGCTCCTGGTACAGCCGTACCAGCACAGTGCTATTAAAAATATGGTATTAGAATGCAGAGGAAGTCTTGAGTTGACTTGGGGGGGGGGGGGGGGTCTAAGACTGCAGTTTTGGCAACTTCTCGCCCAAGATCCAAAGCCCATACCTGTGTACTGCTGCTTGCTTTTTGGAAGTAAGCTCCAGCAGGAAGCTCCACAACCAGCTCTGCCTCGTAAGCACCTTCACCATCATTCACTGCTGTCGCCTGGATGAGAAGCACATTGTCTGCCCCGATCAGCAGAGAACCTTCATTTCTGGGAGAAAGACAGAACTAAAGTTAAAATGGAAACCCTCCTGCTTTGCATCAATAAACACAAACAGCACAATCTCAGCAGTGGTGCAAAGGTGAATGTTGGTTCAAAGCTCTGAACGGTTTGGGACCTGCCTACCTGCGTGACCGCATTTCTGTGTACGAACCCACATGATCTCTTCGATCATCTGGAGAGGCCCTACTCGCGCTCCCACCTGCATCGCAAGTGCAATTGGTGGGGATGAGAGAGAGGGCCTTCTCGGTGGTGGCCCCTCGACTCTGGAACTCATTTCCGAAGGATATCAGGCATGCCCCAACTTTGGCAATCTTTAGGAGGAGCTTGAAAATGTGGTTGTTCCAGTGTGCCTTCCCAGAATAATAAACTCTTAGCATTATTTATTTTTTATTTATTTCGTGTACTTCTACCCCGCCCTTCTCAACCCCCAAGGGGGGACTCAGGGCGGCTTACAAAAAGGCACAATTCGATGACTACACAATAATACAAATAAACGTGTAAAACAGCAATTAAAACAATTAAAACAGTTAAAACAATCAATATATATCACAGTCAATAAACCAATCTCAAGCTCAGCATTCGCCAACTCAGAGTCCATATTTCGTTCTACATTACCTGTTCTTATCGGTCGTCATAGTCCTTTATTCATCTGCCAGATTGCCCAAACGCCTGGCCCCAAATCCATGTTTTTAATTTCCTTCTAAAGGAAAGGAGGGATGTCGCTGATATAATTTCCCCGGGGAGAGAATTCCACAGGTGAGGGGCCACCACCAAGAAGGCCCTGCTCCTCGTCCCCGCCAATCTCGCTTGTGATAGAGGCGGGGCCGAGAGAAGGGCCTCCCCAGAAGATCTTAAACTCCGAGGCAGGATGTAGAGGGAGATCCGTTCGGACAGGTACGCTGGGCCGGAACTGTATAGGGGTTTGTAGGGGAAAAAAACAGCATTATGTCCTCTAAAAGCAATTTATACTGATTTAGGTCTGCTTGTATGTTTCCACCAACGCCCTATCTCCTTCATCTTGTTCGTGCCCAGCATTTTTTAACTTAATTACATTTGGCCCAGCCATAGATTTTAAATGTGTTTTGTGCTATTGTTCAATATTTATGATATTTGTGTATGAGATTTATTTTAATTGCTTTCTATTAGTATTTGTATTTTGCTTTGTATTGTGGTTGCTATTGCTTGTATTGATGTATTTGTATTTGTATTTACCTGTCCGAACGGATTCTCCCCTATGAACCATCAAGGTTGTTAAGATCTTCTGGAGGGGTCCTGCTCTCGGTCCCACCACCCTCGCAACTGCGTCTGGTGGGGACGAGGGACAGGGCCTTCTCGGTGGTGGCCCCTTGGCTCTGGAACTCTCTCCCACTGGAGATTAGAACTGCCCCTTCTCTCCTGACTTTTAGAAAGCTGGTGAAAACTTGACTCTGGAATCTTGCATTTGATGAATGAGTCAATAACTCTTGACCACACGGACGGATGGTGATTAATTGTGATTTCATTTGGACGACTTGGCCTTATGTAATTATATGATTGCTTTTTAATGTATTTTATGTGTTAGTGTATTATGGGGTGTGATGTTTTAAACTATTGCTTATGAATCTTTGTTGGAAACCGGCCTGAATCCCTCTCCGGAGGTCGAGAAGACCGGTATATAAAAGTTCTAAATAAATAAAAATAAATATTGTGGGCTCGGCCTCATGTAAGCCGCACTGAGTCCCTTGGGAGATGGTAGCGGGGTATAAATAAAGTTTTATTTATTTGTTGTTGTTGTTATTATTATTATTATTATTATCATCTTCTAGTTAATTCTACAAATGCTTAGAATTCAACAAAATTGGGGAATGTGAGGCTGGGCATAGAACCAAAGTTTGAGGTTATGCCAAGGAAGGCTATTTATGCCATCTCCATTCATTACTGTCCTTCCCTTTTTCTTTAGACACGACAATGGAGTGGCACTTGCTGTCTTGAAGTGTACAGAGAAAGGAAACAGGAGGATCAGCATGGGAAAGTCTGATGAATAGAGAAAGGGGCATATTAGTCTTTCTCCATTAATCCTTTTAAGCTTGGGAATACTTCTATGCAGCTAAGCTGGCTGCTCAACTGGCAAAGAGGTATTTTTATTTAGATCTTTGCCAAGTGATCTGGTTTACAAAGAAGGAAAATTTTACTGGATAACTGATATATTCTCTGTTGTTTGGTAGGTTTTCAAATTTAGTGATTCATCTTTTATGTGGGTGCTTAGTTTATTGGGTTGTTGTAGGTTGTCAGACCTCACAACCTCTGAGGATGCCTGCCATAGATGCAGGTGAAACGTCAGGAGAGAATGCTTCGGCCTTCGATACCGTCGACCACAGTATCCTTCTGGGACGCCTCGCAGGTATGGGTCTTGGGGGTACTGCTTTGCAGTGGCTCCGGTCCTTCCTCGAGTGCCGCTCCCAGAAGGTGTCACTAGGAGACTCCTGCTCGACTCCTCGGCCATTGTACTGTGGAGTCCCGCAGGGTTCAGTACTGTCCCCTATGTTGTTTAACATATACATGAAGCCGTTGAGAAAGATCATCCGGAGTTTTGGGGTGCGGTGTCATCTGTACGCAGATGATGACCAACTCTATCACTCCTTATCACCTGCAACTAAGGAGGCTGTTCAGGTCCTGAACCGGTGCTTGGCCGCTGTGACGAACTGGATGAGGGACAACAGATTGAAACTAAATCCAGACAAGACAGAGGTACTTCTGGTCAGTCGTAAGACCGAACAAGGTACGGGGTTACAGCCTGTGCTGGACGGAGTCACACTCCCACTAAAGGCGCAGGTTCGCAGTCTGGGAGTTCTCCTAGACTCATTGCTGAGCCTGGAGCCCCAGGTTTCGGCGGTGGTCAGGGGAGCTTTTGCACAACTAAAACTTGTGCACCAGCTGCGCCCGTACCTTGGGAAGGCTGACTTGGCCACGGTAGTCCACGCTTTGGTTACATCCCGTTTAGACTACTGCAACGCTCTCTACGTGGGGTTGCCTCTGAAGACTGCCCGGAAGCTGCAGCAAGTACAACGTGCAGCAGCCAGATTACTAACGGGTGCTGGGTACAGGGAGCACACCACTCCGCTGTTACACCAGCTCCACTGGCTGCCAATTAGCTTCCGAGCACAATTCAAAGTGCTGGTGTTAACCTATAAAGCCCTAAATGACTCCAGCCCGGTTTACCTCTCCGAACGTATTCTCCCCTACGAACCATCAAGATTACTAAGATCATCTGAGAGGCCCTGCTCTCGGTCCCGCCGGCCTCACAAGTGCGTCTGGTGGGGACGAGGGACAGGGCCTTCTCGGTAGTGGCCCCGCGACTCTGGAACTCTCTCCCACCAGAGGTTAGAACTGCCCCAACAATCCTGACATTCAGGAAACAGGTGAAGTCGTGGTTATGGAGACAGGCTTTCGAAGAATGAGACAATGATCTGGATGGAAGACGGTGTATATTCGATTTTAGTATGATGACTGACCACTGTAATTTTAAATATATGTGCTTTTTAAATGTTTTATTGTAATGTGTATTTTGATATTTTACCGATTGTATGTGTTTTTATGGTTGGAAACTGGGCTGAGTCCCTCTTATGAGGTGAGAAGCTCGGTATATAAAACTTTGAAATAAATAAAATAAATTATTATAAACACAACAAGATTAGTACACAGCAAACAAGATCACTATGCTGGTTGTTATTTTGGATCACATGTTGGACACTTCCCAAGTGTCTAGGACTGTGTGATGTATCGGCAAATAATATGGCCTTCTGCAGCTGGCAGATGGTAGTTTTTTTAAGCACCGATTGTATTTAAGTGCAGGCCAAGATCTTTAGGCACTGCACCCAGTGTGCCGATCACCACTGGTACCACCTTGACTGGCTTGTGCCAGAGTCTTTGCTATTATTATTATTATTATTATTATTATTATTATTATTATTATTTGAAACACAACAAGATGAGTCCACAGCAGACACTCTGCTGGCTGTTGAATTGGATCACACGTTGGACACTTCCCTAGTGTCTATTATTATTATTATTATTATTATTATTATTATTATTATCATCATCCCATTTTTTCTCTCCACAAAGGAGACTCAGTGGCTCTACGTTTCAAGATTAATTTGGTAGCATTGCGCATTCGAATTTAGAAGATCAATTTGTGGCTGTAACACTATAATTGAATTAGGATGTCATGGAAGTTGTTTGCTTGCCAAACAAATTGGGATTACAGTGAATTGCAAGCAAGTTGTACTATTGATCCATTTGGCTCTTTCACAATTGCTCTATTATTGTTTTTACTTTCCTCCAACCTGGGTTTTCCCTGGAGATCAAATTCAAATGCCGTAATAGAACTTTTGTTTGGGAATAATAGGAATCTAACATCTGGAAACCAGCATGTTGGAAAAGGTTGCCCTAATATTGGCCCTCATCTTTCAATCTGTCAAAATTCCCTTCCAATCTGTATATCTCCTCTCTTCTTTCTACCCTTACCAGATTTAAACAACACTTATCCTTGAAATGGAAATCTTGTTGAAGGTTAATAAGGGATTATGTTAACTGATATGTTTGTTTCAATTAGAAGACTGTTGTTGCTGCAGCAATCTGTGGTTGTCCAAAAATATCAGTCAGAAAAAAGAAAGGTGAAGAGTTCTTGCTCAGAAATTGTTTCTGTGCTTCTGCGGAACATTTTTCTGCACGACTGAATAATTTCATCCTCTCTCTGTCTCTCCCTTTCAGGCAAGGAGAGTGATCAGTCACAAAGCACAGGTTTTTCAGGCTGAGGCCAGGAATGCCAAATTCAGTTTAATTGGCATCTCTATCTTAACAAACACACTACAGGCAGCCCCCAAGTTCTGTAGGTTTGTTCTTAAGTTGAATTTGTTTATAAGTAGGAATAGGTACATTTTAAAGTATAACTCCAGCCATATCTATCTATCTATCTATCTATCTATCTATCTATCTATCTATCTATCTATCTATCCTGTAACGTTTGCTTTGCTATATGTGCCCCTGTCCAGAAGATCTCAGTTCACTTTCTTTCGCTGTGAGAATTGGATTTTGAAAAATCTAGCTTGTTGTGGAAACAAGGATTGGTGAGAAAGCTTCAATGGAGACACCTTTTCTCCATGATAAATCTTTCAGGGGTAATTTCCCTTCCTAGGAGCGGATTTCTCTCACTTTCTGTTGTCTCACCCCCGTTCTGAACTATGAGTTTTTTGTAAGTTGGTTGTTTGTAACTCAGAGACTGCCTGCATTCTATCATTCTGGGTAGGGGAGAAAAAGTGAGCCACTTTAAGTTTTGGTCTTAAGAGAAAAGCAGGGTACAAATAATAATAACAATAATAATCATCATCATAATCATTATTGTGGCGCGCTGAGTTAAACCCTTGTGCCGGCAGGACTGAAGACCGACAAGTCACAAGTTCGAAATCGAGGAGAGCGCGGAAAATGGGTTTATATATCTGTGGAATGACCAGGGTGGGACAAAGAACTCTTGACTGCTGGAGCTAGGTGTGAATGTTTCAACTGACCGCTTTGATTAGCATTTGATGGCCTGGCAGTGCATGGGGCAATCTTTTGTTGAGAGGTGATTAGATGTCCCTGATTGTTTTCCCTCTGTTGTTTTGCTGTTGTAATTTTAGAGTTTTTTAATACTGATAGCCAGATTTTTTTCATTTTCATGGTTTCCTCCAACAGACAAGAGTCCTTTGTCCTACCCTGGCCATTCCACAGATATATAAACCCATTTTCCTAGTTCCAACAGACCTCACTACCTCTGAGGATGCTTGCCATAGATGCAGGCGAAACGTCAGGAGATAATGCCTCTAGAACATGGCCATATAGCCCGAAAAAACCTACAACAACCCAGTGATTCCGGCCATGAAAGCTTTCGACAATAGATTCAAATTGGTTTGCAGGTCAGTCTCTTAGACATTACTCCATTCCAGGTCTCTTTCGTCCTTGTTCATCAAGATGAACCATCTCTTGGTATTACAAGTAAGCTTGAGGATGTTACTGTTTTGGATAACAACTCCTACAATTCCCCAGCCACCATGACTATACTACATGGGGATTCTGGGAACTGTAGTCCAAAACAATGACATTCAATATTTACTTGAAAATGAAATGAGTACTTACGTGTGAGCAGAGAGTTTGAGGTTCGGGATGCAAACGTTGTCATCTCCACAATCCAGAATAATACGAGTCTGCGGGTTGGAACAGAGATAGGCTGGATCTACACTGCCAAATAATGCAGTTTAACTGCATTGAATAGGATTGTATGAGTCTGCAATGCTTTTCAACATTCCAACACAGTCCCAGGATTTAAAAAACTGCTTTTCTGTTTCAAGAAAGCATTTAGGATCCAGCTGAGTGAAAAATCATCAGTATTTATTTTTGAAACTCAGCTGAATACTTCAACAGGTTTTCAGGACAGATTATGGTATATATATAGAGAGATATATACATTAAAGTCAAGATGGAAAAGAGAAAGAATTAAAAGTAGGAATGTCAGAACAACAAGTAGTAACAAAGCAATGAAATGAATAACAAGGAAAAGCATTTTCTTTTATTCTGGGTAGGGTGGCAATTTCACCTGCTCCTGGACCATTAGTTGTCCGTATAGCACAGGCTGCAGCTCTTCGACTCTGGAGGTTGATGCCAGACTGAAGTTGAGGCTCACAGCAATGGGGCTCAGTTTGTCCTTGAAATCAGTCTCATCCTGAGATTAGGAAAAAGGAGAAGAGGTGTCAGGTATATCCCAAGGCAGGCTTCCCCCACTCAGCACCCTCAGCATGTGTTAGATTCCCACTCTCATCATCTCCAGTCATTATAAGTCCTATTAGCAAGTGATGATGGATGCTTCTCTTATACATTACGAGCACCCCCACTTCTTCTCTAGTGTGGTACTTGTTCAGAGGCAGTGCTACATGGAGTAGAGATGCCATCATTCACTAAATTTCTTGGGAGTGATCCTGGATTAATCGCTGAGCCTTGGAACCCCAGGTCTCGGCGGTGGCCAGAGGAGCTTTTGCACAACTAAGACTTGTGCACCAGCTGCGCCCGTACCTTGGGAAGTCTGATTTGGCCATGGTAGTCCACGCTCTAGTTACATCCCGAATAGATTACTGCAACACGCTCTATGTGGGGCCTTTCATGCAGGACATAATACCAAGAACTCCTGTAGAAAGCTTCGTCTTCTACGGCTTGGCCGGGGAGATACAGCCCACAGCTTGGCTGAGGATTCAGCCTTACAGCTCCTTTGCTGAAGGACTTCAGTCAGCCATCATGGAAACCTGAATTCTTTCCCCCCTGGAAGTCTACAAAGCTCTGCTTGGTAAGGGTCACTCGCGGAAGCCAGAAGCAGTTGGTACCGGGTGCAGAGGCTCCACGCCAACAGAGGCAAAGACAGACTGCCCAGATTAGAAGTTAAGGATTTCCCCATTAGTTACAGTTATGAAGATAGTGCCTGTTCCCTGTGGACAAGACTGAGAGAGAGCCAATAGACTGTTAAGAAAGCCTTAAAGTACCTGTTTGTTTTCATTAATAAAGAACTTTGTTGAACCTTTAAGCAATCTAGAGACTCTGTTTTAAGGAAATCCAAGGCCTTTAATCTGAGGCAGCCCCGGCGTCCCGTTGGGCACACAGAATTTATGTCCTGTCTACAGTCTGATGCACAGGCCCAGCGTGCGACAGCACAATAATAATATAATAGGTAAAGAAATAAAGCCCGACTGCTCATTGGAGGGAAGAATAGTAGAGGCCAAGATGAAGTACTTTGGCCACATCATGAGAAGAAAGGAAAGCTTAGAGAAGACAATGATGCTGGGGAAAATGGAAGAAAAAAGGAAGAGGGGCCGACCAAGGGCAAGATGGATGGATGAGATCCTTAAGTGCCTGGCTTGACTCTGAAGGAGCTGGGGGAGGTGTTGGCCGACAGGGCGCTTTGGCGTTGGATGGTCCATGAGGTCACGAAGAGTCAGAAGCGACTAAACGAATGAACAACAACAACTGAAAAAGAGCCTTATTTAAATATATCAATTCTAACACACACCCTGTTTTTAGAGATGTTTAAATGGGGGGAAAGTGGGTCTTGGAAATGAAGAAATGCACTACTTTGCTTTGTATTATTTCTTTGCAGCGGGATTGTGGTGCAGCTGGCTGAGTGTCACTCTGACCAAAAAGGCCATGAGTTCAAAATCTAGTGGGTTTCCAACCAATTGTGTGTAGCCTGTTGTCGACCTTTGCAACCCGAAAGACAGTTGCATCTGTCAAGTAGGAAAATAAGGTACCACCTTAAAGTGTGGGGAGGCTAAATTAACTGATTTATGAGGCCATAAAGAAGACTCCAGCAAAGCATTCCAGCGGGGAAGCATGCGGGAATGCGGAAGTGCTTCATCAGTGTTGCGGATGGACGATGAAAGTGACAGCTCCCCTGGTGGCCAGAAAACGTTAAATAGCCTCTGTCTATGTCTATATATGTTTGTATGAGAGGATATAGCTCTTTTTAAATTGTTATTGCACTGTATTTTTTTTGTCTAATTGCACTTAACTGTTTTTGCTTTTGTATTGTATTGATGGCATCGAATTGTGCCGATATGTAGACCGCCCTGAGTCGCCTGCGGGCTGATATGGGCGGGATATAAGTGACGTAAATAAATAAATAATAAATAAATAAATAAAATTTGTATGTCAAAAATTGGCATTGAATGTTTGCCATATATGTGTACACTGTAATCCGCCCTGAGTCCACTGCGGGTGAGAAGGGCAGAATATAAAAGCTGTAAATTAATAAATGAATAAATACAATCCCACTTCAGCTGAATTCATTGCTCCCTGCTTTTTTTCTGCTTCAGATTCAAGCTGCAAAACCGATCTGTTTTCTCCCGTACCTTCTTGCACTGCAAAATATCCACCAGGCAGGAAAATTATCCATCCCATCAAAGCACCCAAAGATTAATACAACTCTGCCTACTAGGAAGCAAAAGACAGTCACCCAGCAACAGGAATAACCCTATCTAGGCATGCACACATTACACACTTCCAAGATCCTCCCCCTTTTATTTCTGTGGAATGATTTTAACATCTGCAAGATAGGCTTCAAGCAGAGATCTGCAGTGAATGGCAGGGCGGGGCTATTGGAATTATATCTATCACACAGTTATGAAAAACACACAGAAACTTTTCAATGGGGAACAAAAATGGCCAGACAAGTCAGAGATAAAGCAATCATCTTATCCACCAAAAACAAGTATAGGTTGAGTATCCTTTATCTGAAATGTTTGGGACCGGAAGTATTGCATATTTCAATTTTTCCAGATTTATATATCCACAACTGGATGGTTTGGAGAAAGAACCCTAGTCTAAACACAGATCATTTGTGTTTCATATATGCCTTATACACATAGCCTCAAGGTAATGTGGTGCACAATATTTTTAATAGTTTTGTGCATGAAAAAAGTGTGTATTAACTGAGCCATCAGAAAACAAGGCTGTCACTTTCTCAGCCACCCATGTGGACAATTTTGGAATTTGGAGCATTTTAGATTTTAGAAACCCAGACAATGGAGATTCAACCAGTATTTTTGTTAAATTCAGGGATCATATTGAGAAATTCCGAAATGATGACTCTGACACTACTCTTCTTTCAATCCCCAGACATGTGAAAGCAGTTCAGGGTTGATCTCACAAGGCACTCCGTATCTATAGAGGCACCTAGATACTTGCTTTTTTATTTGATACAGAGCTTAGAGAAGTTATTTTTCAAGACTACAATCCCCTAAATCCCCCCAGTGGACAATGCTACATATATCGTAACCGCTTTAGATATCACACTGGTACAAAAGTGGGACATAAATTGGATAGATAGGAGAGAAAGAAGGAAAGAGGGGGGAAGAAAGGGAAGAAGGGAGAGAAGATAGATAGATCCGAATGCATCTGCCTCTACGTCCCACTTCGTAACTTAAGATCATGCGGGGAGGCCCTGCTCTCGCTCCCACCAACATCACAAATGCAGCTGGTGGGGACGAGAGACAGGGCCTTCTCGGTGGTGGCCCCCTGCCTGTGGAATGTGCTTCCGAGCGAGATACAATCAATCCTATCCCTCCTGGCTTTCAGGAAGAAAGTAAAATCCGTGGCTGTGGGACCAGGCTTTCGGTCAGCAGATATAAATTAGCACTTTAGTGGAAATGGATTGGAAAGACGATCTACATGAGGATACAATTCTATTTGGTAACAAATGTTTTTATATTGTTTAATTAATGGCTTATGTATAGATAGATAGATAGATAGATAGATAGATAGATAGATAGATAGAGACAGACAGACAGACAGACAGACAGACAGACAGACAGACAGATGAGGGTTAGTGAACTAGACTCCCAAAAGTAACTTCTCCAAAGTCTACAATTCAACTCCCCCTATTCTCCTCCTCCCCGCCCTCCCTCCCTCTCCATACTTTACCACTCTCATACCCTCAGGTAGGCAGTGACATTTTGGCAGGTATGGGGAATCTTTCCTGACAGCTCCAGGGGGAACATCCGGCTTGATTGGCTGTTCTGGAGCAAGAAAACACGACGTCCAAATCTCTGCTTCATACGGTCCAGCTGTAGCTCGGCAAGCAGGGCTAGCAGAACAGGAGAAAATTGGCAGAAAGCACAAGGTACATAACAACAACTGTGTGCAAAAGATGCCAGGGGCAGGGGAAAACTATGCATGCTCATTTCTCATCATTACCTGGAGTACCAATCAACCCATGTCCTGCCTATCTGTGGGAAAACATTAGGAAACATCCCTTGGAGCAAAAAGCTGTATAAGAAAATGTTCGTGGAAGCCACTGAACTACTTAGTAGACATATATATTATATAGCATTGTTGCAACAAAAGACCACATTTCTTGGGCTCTCATCACACTTACCAATTTAAGTGTCCTTGGACGCTTGCCAGCCAGTTGAGGGATGGATGGGCATGCAGCCCATCATACAACGTTCCTCAACTTCCAGTGAAGGCCTTGCCCCCAATCAGCATGGAAGTGTCCTAGGATGCTTCTTCATCAACACAGGAAGGCTCCATGTGATGGGGAAAGTGGTACCACACTAAAGCGGCACATCTGCTATTTTCAGCACACTTGTTGGTGAAATGGTAAGGGGGAGGTTGGCGTGTGATAAGGTCCTTTTTCAGCCTTACTGCTACACCTAGATTTGCTAGGTCAAGACCATTTCAGGACATGAGAACTTAGAGCCAAACCTCAGGATGTAGGATACTAGTGATGTCACAGGAGGTAAGGCCTAGTGGAGCTACCTGGGTGATGCTACAAGGAGTAACTCCACATGATGTCATTAAGACTGATACTTTAACCACAGTTGCAGAGTGTGCCATTTAACATTTTAATGGCACATTCTGCATAAGCTGAATGGAATCATCATCATCATCATCATCATCATTATCATCGTCATCATCATCATCATCATCATCATCATCATCATCTTTATTTATACCCTGCCACCATCTCCCCGATGGGGACTTGTAGTGGCTTACATGAGGCCAAGCCCAAACAACAATTACAATAAAGAAAAAACCAAAACACAAACCGAAGACACGAACAATAAGCAATAGCATCATATTAACATAAAACATACGCATACATAACAATGTAAAAATCACTAATTACAGAACTCGGCAAGACAACAGCCACCAGGGGGTTGAGAAGGGTGGGGTAAAAATACCTGAAATAAATAAATAACCCTTGTAAAGGCAGCACGTTCACCTTGGGATCTCTCAATCTTACTTTGAAATTAAAATGTTGTATCACTCCTGTTCTTAACTATTTTTTTTTTGTCGTGTCAGGAGCAACTTGAGAAACTGCAAATCGCTTCTGGTGTGAGAAAATTGGCCATCTGCAAAGACGTTGCCCAGGGGACACCTGGATGTTTTGATGTTTTGACCATCCTTGTGGGAGGCTTCTCTCATGTTCCCGCACGAGGAGCTGGAGCTGATAGAGGGAGCTCATCCACGCTCTTCCCAGATTTGAACCTGCAACCTGTCGGTCTTCAATCCTGCCGGCACAAGGGTTTAACCCACTGTGCTACTGAGCACTCCGTTCTTAACTATAAGTCCTTGGAATTCAGATGTTTGAAACTTGGGAAATGCCAGTTAATGGGAGTGACAGTCCAACACAACTGGAAAGTGGAATTCCAATGGACTGAAGTCAGTAATGTGATGAAAATGATCTGTCATGTAGCTCTGTCAATACTATGAATGTCTCAGGAATAGTTGTTGTGTTAGTTACCACAAGGAGACTCTCCATTTCTTCATGAGACTCACTCAACATACATCTGTATTAACGTAACTCAAAAACCACTGGACGAATTGACACCAAATTTGGACACAATACACATATCAGGCCAACAAGTGACCATCACTCATAAAAACACTGAAAAACACAGCAGAAGAGACTTAAAAAGCAAAAAAAAAACCCATTACAACACATGCACCAAACCACACACACACACACATGCAAACACACATATATACACATATACACAAATATATACACACACATAGCACATATACACAGACTGGGCCACAGCAACGCGTGGCAGGGGACGGCTAGTCAGAAATAAAAAACTGGCCCCTGTGACTCAGGAGCAATAACTACACTTACATATTGGTTCAGTTCATCTTTTCCAGCAGAAAAAGCAAAACTCACCAATTTTCTGTGGCATGCTTTTTCCTGACACTCCAACGCACATCTGGATTGTGAAGCTGCACAGAGGAGTAGAAAGACAATGAGGGCCGTTTCACACATTATTTTACAAAAATCCTGAAGCAATAGTTGAATGTATGTTCAGCAAGGCATTGGCCACCCACCCACGCTCCCCGAAGGAGGCTTGTGCCTTCAAAATACAGTAAGCGGAAGATCCTTATAATATATTTTTGAAATGTGCATCAGCTTTCCCTGGCGTATAACGCTCCAGATGGTCAAGGGAGGATATTGGGTAGCAAATGAACCCTCTGCTAACAATTTAGCTCAACCACATCAGCACCAATTGGGCTCTAATGTGAATTATTATCCTTTTTGGGCTCCCCTCAATTACATATTTTTTTTATTCCTACCCCATCCAGGGTTTTATCATTTTACCTCGTCCATTCGGCCCGCCCATTCTGTTCGATTTTATATTGTGTTAATTTGCTTTATTTATTTTATTTTGCTACTGTACATACTGTATATACTCGAGTATAAGCCTAGTTTTTCAGCCCCCTTTTTAGGCTGAAAACCTAGGCTTATACTCGAGTATATACAGTTCCTCTCGGCTTATACTCGAGTCAAGGTTATTTATTATTTTACTTTGTCATTAGTATCATTTTATTACATGAATTATTTTAATATATTAATTATTATTATTCTATTTACATTACTTTATTCTATTATTATTTTATTACATTTATTATTTTACTCTATTTATTATTAATATTATTATTTATTTACTCTATTATTATTACATTTTTTATTTTACTTTATTTTTATTGTTACTGCATTTATAATTTGACTCTGTTATCACTGTTATTACATTTCCATTATTTTACTCTATTATTATTATTATTATTATTATTATTATTATTATCCTGACACAAAAACAGAGTATGACACAGCAAACGAGGTATATATGCTGGATTTCATTATTATTATTATTATTATTATTATTATTATTATTATCCTGACACGAGGTATATATGCTGGATTTCATTATTATTATTATTATTATTATTATTATTATTATTATTATCCTGACACAAAAACAGAGTATGACACAGCAAACGAGGTATATATGCTGGATTTCATTATTATTATTATTATTATTATTATTATTATTATTTTACTATCTTTATTATTATTGGAAGGATACATAAGCACATTTACACTGAAGATTAGAATAATGATTCAATCGGAGCTGGACAGTCTTATCTTAAATTACAGTTTTATGTAAATATTCAAAAGCATTTAACCTACTAAGGCCTCAATTAATGTAATTTTATTGATATCTATTTTTATTTTGAAATTTACCAGTAACTCCTGCATTTCCCACCCTCGGCTTATACTCGAGTCAATAAGTTTTCCCAGTTTTTGTGGTAAAATTAGGTGCCCCAGCTTATATTCGGGTCGGCTTATACTCTAGTACATACGGTATTTTATTCTGATGCAATTTTTGTTGTCTGCAGTCTGTATTTTATTTTGCTGTATTGTACCTTTGGGCTTGGTAGCACGTTAGCCGCCCCGAGTCCCCTTTGGGGAGATGGTGGCGGGGTATAAATAAAAATTATTATTATTATTATTATTATTATTATTATTATTATTATTATTTGCATTAGAGCAAAGGGAATACCATTATACCATTGCCCCTCATCTCACCAGCTGACTTGTGCTCCTGATGCTTCACACATTTTATTCTCTGGATTCAGCACATCTGGCAAGACCAGCTGGGCTTTGACCACCACGACTGGCTGAGCTCTGAGGGCAAAAAAACAGCATAGGTAATTAAAAAGCAAACATCGTCACACAGCAAAGGGGCACCGCTAGAGCTGTTTACAGTTATGTAATATTAGCGGAGTCATCGATAGGTGGTTGAGAATGATGAACATGATGGCTAGGAGAAGCTACAGGATTGCATTCACCCACCTGTAAGAGACATCTCCAGCTCATCCCCTGTTTGGGTATCAGCCAGCACGTCAACGACTTAAATCTAGAAATAGTTTTCTTAGATCTACAGAGACACTTGCTGGAACACCTCAGCAAGCGAGAGTCCAAAAGTGGCAAACTCAAACCCAGAACCTCAATCCATGGCTGATACCAAATGAGAGACTCCCCCCTGGGCACACAGAGGACTGGGCGACTTGGAAGGCGTTGAACAGACTGCGCTCTGGCACCACGAGATGCAGGGCCAACCTTCAGAAATGGGGCTGCAAAGTGGAATCCTCGACATGCGAGTGTGTGGAGGAGCAAACCACTGACCACCTGCTGCAATGCAACCTGAGCCCTGCTACATGCACAATGGAGAACCTTCTTGCAGCAACACCAGAAGCACTCCAAGTGGCCAGATACTGGTCAAAAGACATTTAATCAGCTACCATACTCACAAATTTTGTAATTTGCTTGTTTGCTTTGTTCTGTTAGAAATGTAATATAATTTGACTGGTTGTTCTGACACGACAAATAAATAAATACCCACCTGTACACAGCCACTTTGCTAGCTCTATAGGCTCCGACCAGTACATCTATACAGGGGTAGGGGAGAGGGAACAAGCAAAAAAAGAGAATCTATTTTAAGTATCTATGTATCTGATTTTTATCCCACCATTCTCCCCAAATAGGACCTAAATCAGATTTGTTGATTCGTTCAGTTGCTTCCGACTCTTCATGACCTCATGGGCCAGCCTCATGGACCCAAAACAATTACAAAGACTCAAAATGGAATATAGGTTTCAAAGCCAGTGGCATCAACAGGGAGCTGCAGAAGGAGGGAACCACACTGGGTGGCACCCTCGGGGTGGGGGGTGGGGTGGGGGTGACACTAAAATGATTTTTTGTACAGTATTTCTATATAATTATACTATTTTTAATTAAAATATATTTATAGTTAGATATAACCAAGAAAATATTTTTCATAAACTTGATTTATATGTAACGTATACTGTACTGTATATTGTAAGAATACCATCAACAGAAAAAAAAACCCACCTTTATTTATATAGATCAGGGTTTCTCAACCTGGGGGTCGGGACCCCTGGGGGGGTCGCAAGGCGGCATCAGAGGGGTCACCGAAGACCATCAGAAAACACAGTATTTTCTGTTGGTCAAGGGGGTTCTTTGTGTCAAGTTTGGTTCAATTCCATAGTTGGTGCAGTTCAGAAAACTCTTTGACTGTACGCAAACTATAAATCCCAGCAACTACAACGCCCAAATATCAAGGTCTATTTTCCCCAAACACTACCAGTGCTCCCATGTGGGCATATCGGCTATTCATGCCAAGTTTTGTCCAGATTCATCATTGTTTGGGTCCACAGTGCTCTCTGGATGTAGGTGAACTACAACTCCCAAACTCAAGGACAATGCCCACCAAACCCTTCCAGTATTTTCTGTTGGTCATGGGATTTCTGCATGCCAATTTTGGTTCAATTCCATCATTGGTGGAGTTCAAATGCTCTTTAATTGTAGGTGAACTATAAATCCCAGAAATTACAACACCCAAATGACAAGGTATATTTTCCCCAAACTCCACCAGAGTTCATATTTGGGCATATGGAGTATTCATGCCAAGTTTGGTCCAGATCCACCATTGTTTGAGTCCACAGTGCTCTCTGGATGTAGGTGAACTACAACTCCCAAACTCAAGGTCAATGCCCACCAAACCCTGCCAGTATTTTCCGTTGGTCATGGGAGTTCTGTGTGCCAAATTTGGTTCAATTCCATCATTGGTGGTATCCAGGATGCTTTTTAATTGTAGGTGAACTATAAATCCCAGAAACTACAACTCCCAAATGACAAATGACTCCCCCCAACACCACCAGTATTCAGATTTGGGTGTATCGGGCATTTGTGCCCAGATTGATCCAGTGAATGAAAATACACCCTGGATATCAGATATTTACATAACGATTCATAACAATAGCAAAATTACAGTTATGAAGTAGCAACGAAAGTAATTTTATGGTCAGGGGTCACCACCACATGAGGAACTGTATTAAGGGGTCACGGCATTAGAAAAGTTGAGAACCACTGATATAGATAAAAAAGCACCCACGATCCTAAGATGCACCCTGGTTTTAGAGATGTTTATATAGGGGAAAATGTGTCTTAGAATCAAAGAAATAGCATATCTACAATACTAGAACTCTATGCGACTTTACTTTTTCAACTTTTTATAATAATAATTATAATAATAAACCTTTATTTGTACCCCGCTACCATCTCCTGCAGGACTCGGTGCGGCTTACAAGAGGCCGAGCCCAAAATACATCAGAAACGAAAAACACAACAACAACAATACAATACAACAATAAATAACTCATAGCAAAGCAAAACAATAACAAAAATATCACAACGCATTAAAAACTTGTGGCAGGGCCAAATGTCAACGCATATTTGGGGGATAAGAGGGTGTGCAGACAATTCCAACTATCTCGTAAAGTGCATATATATATGTCTCTCTCTCTCTCTCTCTCTCTCTCTCTCTCTCTCTCTATATATATATATATATATATATAGGGAGGAAGAAAATGGGGAGGGTGTGGGGGAACAATAGTAAGAAGAGAAAGTAGGAAAAAAAAGATAAGTTTATAAAACACAGCAAAAAAGAAAAGAGAAGGAAAAAAAACTTGCCAATTTTCATCTAATCCTCATCTTCCTGATGAGGAAACACAATCTACAGACCCACCAAGAAAATCCAACAAATGCTACGTTCAGCAAAGGACAAGAGGGATCCTCTCCCTTCTGCAGGAGTCTACCGTGTACCATGTAGCTGTGGACAAGTCTACATAGGGACCACCAAACGCAGCATTGCCCGAACACGAATCAAGGAACATGAAAGGCACTGCAGACTACTTCATATAATTCCCAGCAACTACAACTGCCAAATGTCAAGTCTATTTTCCCAAACTCCACCAGTGTTCTCATTTGGGCATATTGAGTATTCGTGCCAGGTTTGGTCCAGATCCATCACTGTTTGAGCCCACAGTGCTCTCTGGATGTAGGCACACTACAACTCCAAAACTCAAAGTCAATGTCCGCCAGACCCTGCAAATATTTTCTGTTGGTCATGGGAATTCTGTGTTCCAAGTTTGGCTCAATTCCAACATTGGTGAGTTCAGAATGCTCTTTGATTGTAGGTGAACTATAAATCCCAGCAACTACAACTTCCAAATGACAAAATCAATCCTCCCCAACCCCACCAGTATTCAAATTTGGGCTATGGGGTATTTGTGCTAAATTTGGTCCAGTAAATAAAAATACATCCTGCATATCAGATATGACATTATGAGTCATAACTGTAGCAAAATTACAGTTATGAAGTAACAATGAAAATAATGTTATAGTTTATTTATTTATTTATTTAAAAGTTTTCTATACCGATCTTCTCACCTACAAGAGGGACTCAGATCCGGTTCACAACATGTGTTCATAACAAAAGTACAAACCACACAATGCATCAACAGTACACAATTAAAAACATATTACAATACAACATCGTCATCGTCACACTTACATAGCCATGTCATCAAAACATTCCTGGTCTTAATTCACAGTTATTCATTCTCCTTCCATGTGGACCAAGGTTGATTCAGTTATCAAAGGCCGTATTCCATAACCAAGTCTTTGTTAGCTTCCTGAACGTCAGGAGGGAGGGAGCAGTTCTAATCTCCTGTGGGAGGGAGTTCCACAGCCAGGGAGCCACCATCGAGAAGGCCCTGTCTCTCATCCCCACCAACCGCGATTGTGACAGTGGTGGGATCGAGAGCAGGCCCCCTCCGGAAGAGACCTCGATGGTTCATAGGGGAGAATCCGTTCGGACAGGTAAACGGGGCCAGAGCCATTTAGGGCTTTGAATTGTGCTCAGAAGCTAATCGGCAGCCAGCGGAGCTGGTGTAACAGAGGGGTTGTATGCTCCCTGTACCTAGCACCCGTTAGAAATCTGGCTGCCGAGCGTTGGACTAGCTGCAGCTTCTGGGCAGTCTTCAGAGGCAGCCCCACGTAGAGAGCGTTGCAGTAATCTAAACGGGATGTAACCAAAGCGTGGACCACCGTGGCCAAGTCAGACTTCCCAAGGTACGGGCGCAGCTGGCGCACAAGTTTTAATTGTGCAAAAGCTCCCCTGACCACCGCTGAGACCTGGGGCTCCAGGCTCAGCGATGAATCAAGGAAAACCCTCAGACTGCGAACCTGCGCCTTCAGGGGGAGTGTAACCCCGTCCAGCACAGGCTGTGACCCTATACCCTGTTCGGCCTTTCGACTGACCAGTTGGGGGGTCACCACAACACGAGGAACTGTATTAAGGGGTCAAGGCATTAGGAAGGTTGAGAACCATGGACATAGATCATCCTGGCGGCTGTTGTTAGTTACACAAATAAAATGTCTTAATTCGAGACTAGTATTAAATCTGGATCAATTATTCCTAGTAAATAATATTCTGTCTTCTTTGGAAATTTTTTTCTTAAGGTTCTGTTGGCATATTTTTCAACTTTCTAATGTTCATGTGTTCCGCCAGAGCTGCCATTATTACCCAATTCCAATGACATTCCAATTCATGATTTTTTTTTCTTGCATATGCTACAAGCCTGCACCATTGTTTTCGATGCTGCAAATTTTCTGGAATTTTAACTAAAATATTGTGCAGCAGGAGCTCCATGGGGATGACACCATGAGTTACAATACTAAGTGATACCTTCTCTAGTGATGTCACTGCTCCAAGCACCTTTCAAATGTAGTAGATTAATGGACACAGCGTTCTAACTACTTTCATCGTGGGATTTTGACCCTGCCCGTTTTGCTGATGTTGCTGCCAATTAATCTAAACTTTGTGAAATGTGCATTTCTAATGCAAAACCAAAATATCTTGCACAACCTCACATCCTCCATTAACCCAGTCAAGACTTGGAAAACCCAAGCATCTTAGATGGAAGCCATGTCTCTTTTTAAAGACTTCAGCTCCTTGGCTTTCTAAGTCAGAGAAAAAAGACTGTGCTATAGGTGAAGGCTACATGCCTCCATCTTGCATTACCGGGGTAGCCATTTGCATCAACATCTGAAGCTCCGCGTATGGCAAAACCAAAGCCAGCTGGTCCAGTGAAAGGATTCTCTAGGATCTGCTTTGGGGATGCACTCAAGCCATCGTTCCCTCCGTGGTAGATGTAAACACGGCCACCGTCATCCTGTCCAGCGAACGGGGCTCCAATAGCAATATCTGTGGATGCAAAAGTGGAATAGTAACTTATCTGTTTAGTCACAAGGGTTGCTCAGTTAGGGAGATAGGCCTGAATAGACGAAGGGCAGACAGAAAGGAATGGGAAATTATGCCCGTTAAAACACATTGATCGGCTGTTGCTTGTGAGACAAATTGTAACGTAAAATTACGCTAAACTTTGAACACAATGAAAATCATGTTGGGAGCTGAAGTCCCAGAAAGTACCGTATTTTACAGCATACAAGATGACTGGGCATATAAGGAGACCCCCAACATTTCAAGATAAAGTACAGAGTTAGGGATATACTTGTAGGGGTTCAGCCTACGATTGTCTCTTTGCCACAGGCTTCAAAGGAGAATGATCATGACTCTTCTGAGGTTCCCATGTCTGATTTTAATGTTCAGATTTCTGTTGATTCTGAAAGGTTTGTGAATACAGATGATGTTCTGTTGCGCGCTGGGCCTGTAAAGAATTTCCTTTAGAACAGGACATGCAACCTTTGCCCAGCGGGAAGCCAGGGGGCCCAAGGAGAAGTTCTCAGAGGTTTTTCACCACAAATAGTCTTTAGATGGCTTGTGAAGTATAACAAAGTTCTTTTATTAATGAACAATCAAACAGAAACTTCTCTTGTCTTCAGTAAAGATAAACAAATGATTCCAGGCTTTTATGCAACTGGTAGCTTCCTAAACTTGCCCACAAAGGACAGGCAACTGTCTTCAATAACTTCTTCTCTACTTTAAAGGAAAGTCCCCCTTTTTAACTTCTCCCAGGCTGACTGTAATCTAACCCTTACTGATGTGGGCTCCGCTACCGGGTCGAGCTGCTTCTCGAACGCCGAGTGAACCTTAGATGTTCTCCAGCTGGAGTTCCAGCTGGAGTTCTTTGGTCTTTAGGGCTGTTTTCCTGGAAATTCTTAAAGGTTAGGGAGGGTTGGGAACAAGTTTTTGTACAGGGTAAGCTTGCACACGTGCTATACATTAGCTTTCCTTGCTGAGACTAACTAAAAATGGCTCCCTTTCCTTCCCAATTGCCCTGAGCAAGGGGCGAACCAAAACCTAATGATGATGGACAGGTGACTTGCCCTATGACTGAAACCAAAAGAAGCCACCTATCTGCAGCGTCCCTGAAACCTAGGACTGCAATCAAACATTGAATACAAAGCAAATAAAGTTGGAGCTCCTGGTACAGCTGTACCAGAACAGATGATGGCCTAGAAAATGCAGTTAGCCAGAGTGAAAGGAAGGATTCTGGGATCGTTGGCTCACAAGGCAAATATGTTTTGAGGCAGCCATCTGAGATAGAGGCTGAGGCTGAATAGTCAAAGCTAGATAGAGATAGCGAAAGGAATGTACTAATGAGCAAACCGGAGGAGGAAATCTTTGATTGCAAAAGGCAAATCCATCAAGATTGCCACCTGGTCTTAGGGAGGAGCAAGATTAAGAGGAAAAGGGAGTTTGGGAGAGGTTTCCCAAGGGAAACGGAATGCTTTTGCCATGGCTTTCTGAATAAATATAGGGCCTGTGAATCTATGCTCTTCAGTGAGTTCAATGTTTAGCTTTCATGCCTGCTTCATGCCTTCCTGCTGAGACTCATGTATTATCTTGCTTTGGATTCATGTTCTAGCTGAGATTCTTGTAAGTGTTGTATCCTGATTTCAAGTTCCTGTATTTGGCTTGAGTGATTCAAGTTTGTTCCTGATCCTTCAAGGGACTTTGATCTTGCAACCTTTTGGACTGAAATATTTTCCTGTGGACCTGGTTATTTGGACTTTGGGACTATCTGCTTTTCTGATGTGGATTTTGCTTGAATATCTTCACATTACTTTATGGATTGTTTTAAGGATAAGTCTTTATTTCCTATTTGAATGCTTTTGACCTTTTTGGCACTTGCTATATTAATCTGCTTTACTTTAAAGAACATTTGTGTGTTTGCTGGTTCAAAGGTGCCTATCACAGCCTTGGTGTGCAACAATATTCGCTGTTTAAGATTATCCGTCTTCCAACACTATGCCCATCTTGTTACAAGAAATCAGAGAGTACAAACCTTGTCAATGTGGGAAAAGGGAGAGAGGAGGAGGGCGGAGAGAGAGAGGGCATAGGGAAGAGGAGCGGCTGGCCGCATTGCCACAGAGACAAGCTGGGTGTGATGGCCCATTGGGCTGTCCCCGCGGCCCCCGCCACTCTCCCCGCTCTACTTTCAAGGCCCTCCTCTGCCTCCACCGCTCACCTCCTCTGAAGGCCGCTCGCCTAGGCCTAAGGAAGCGCCTCTATACAACGACTCCCAGCAACCCCGGGCAGCAGCGTGCCTGGGATGTGCTCGCTGAGACATTCTGGGAGATGTAGTTCCCTCCTATGGCCCCCAGAATGCCTCAGCGAGCACATCCAAGCTTCCTTGGGTATAGGCAAGCCTAGTGGCCTTCAGAGGAGGTGAGTGGCGAGGGGGGAGGAGGGCCTTGAAAGTAAAGTTGGGAGAGCGGCGAGGTCCACACGGAAAGCCCAGCGGGCCATCACCTCTAGCCAGTCTTCATGGCAATGTGGCCTGCCGCTCCTCCTCCCCGTGCCATCCCTCCTCCTCCGCCCTCCTCCTCCCTCCTCAGGCTGCACCACTATGGAGTTGGATTTTATTCTTTTAATTATTATTATTATTTTATACCCGGCGTATTAGATGACTCCCAACTTTTCATATGATTTTCTAGAGTTAAAAAGTAGTCTAATACGCCGTAAAATATGGTAATTCTTCTAAGTTGTGACAATGATTCCTAGTTGAATGAAGATTTGCTTTTCACTCCTTCAACAGTTGGCCAGAAATTTTGCAAGAGTGGCAATTCAGTCCATCACAATGCCATCCTTCTTACCAATGTATCCATCCTGGTCTATGTCACCCAGGGGAGCAATGGCCATGCCAAAGCGCCCATAGACATCGGTGCCCGTCAGCCTCTGCCAGGGGGTGCTGTAAGCATTGGGAGTCTTGCGCTGTAGGTATAAGTAAACTCTTCCAACTTCATAGAGTTTCCGATCTGAGCGACGCTCCATGAAGAGAGGGGCTCCCACAAGAATATCATCCTTCCTAGTGGGTAGATATGAAGGAAAGGAAGGGGAAGGGAGAAAGAAGAGAAATCCCATTATAGGTTGTAAATGGCAAGTCTCCATTTCATCCAAAATGTAGATTTTAAGTCTGATTCCCATTTGTGACAAATTGGTCCGCAGACCAATCTAACCAACCATGTCATGTTATGTGGCCCACCAGATGCTGTACTATAACTCCTGTATTTCTCATCATTAGACATCGTGAGTAGAGCTGATGGGAGTTGTGACACAGTAAAATCTGGAAGGCTGCTGCTTGTTCTGTTTAGTCAGGAGAGTGGGGTTTGAATTTAGATACAAAGCTGATCACCATACTCAATATATCCCATATGCATGGGGATATTGGGGTAATGATACAAAAGGTTTGCTAGGGTAGACCCTCTTTCACTCAGACTCAGCCCCCCCTGAAATTCAGCCCCCCCTAAACCCCCCCTGAAAAATTCAGCCCCCCCCCCCCCGAAACGAAATCCTGGCTACGGGCCTGGGAAGTGATGTTGTGTAATTGCTGGTCACCTTTTGTGGTACTGGGTTTCCCCCCAGTTTTGGGGCTCCGCAACAGGCACCCAATTTCCATCCTTGGAAACTACTAATTCAGTGACTCTAAAAACTATGCTCAGCTATTTGTCTTTCTTCCCTTATCCGTTTTATTTTTTTATTATAAAAATCAAATTATAAAAATTATATATATACACACGCACATACATATACACACACATACACACAGGCAGCAAATATGTTTGTGTATGTGTGTAAAACGCACATAAAAGGCAATGATAGTAAGCAGGATTATGTTCCTGTCCCTTTTTTAAGTAGATGTTTCAGTTTAATTCAACCAAATCCATACATTTTTCTATCCACTCTACAATATTTGGAATCTTATAACAGGAGATTCACAGAACTAAAGTGACCAAAACTCTCAAGCAACCAGCAAAAATATATAAGATTGTCAAAGGCTTTCATGGTCGGAGTCGCTGATTGCTGTGCGTTTTCTGGGCTGTATTGCCATGTGGGTGAAACATCAGAAGGGAAATGTTTTTACCTGCCCACATCTATGGCAGGCATCTCAGAGGTTGTGAGGTCAGTTAGAAACTCAATTGCCTAGTTTCCAACAGACCTCACAACCTCTGAGGATGCCTGCCATAGGTGTGGGTGAAACATCAGAAGGGAATGTTTCTGGAACATGGCAATACAGCCCAGAAAACTCACAGCAACCCATATACAGGATTTATTGCTTACTAGCCGTCCCCTGTCACGTGTTGCTGTGGCCCTGTCTGTGTATATGTGTTTTGTGTGTGTGTGTACGTGTATATGTGTATATATGTGGTTTTGCGCATGGGTTGTAATGTAATTTTTTTTTGCTTTTTAAGACTCTTGCACTGTGTTTGTATTGTGTCCAAATTTGGTGTCAATTTCTCCAGTGGTTTTTGAGTTATGTTAATCCCACAAACGAACATTACATTTTTATTTATATAGATTTCACATTTGCATGACACACCTATGCACCATAGGTGGCACATAGTTTGGAAAGCTCTACAGCATATTAATGTACTTGTGTATGTTAACACTGCCTTTCTCTAGTCATAGGGGTATAGTAGAGAGATGAGCACCTTGTTTGGAGAGGCCGCTTGCCCCACTCCTCCACCCTGAATGAAGTGTGGTTTGATTCAGGCCTGTAGCCGGGGGGGGGGGGGGGGGGAGAGGTTCAACCCCCCCCACCAAATTTTTCAGATTAAAAAAACCTGGTTTACTCATGAATTTTAACTGGTTAACCAAATCCCCATGCTAAGTCTATGAGATGCAAAAAATTAAGAGTCCCTCCAGAACTGCAAGCACTATCTCAAGCAAATATTGACAATTTATTCACACTGTCATTACTTGCAGCAATAGCCGATGTAGCAAAGCAACCAAGTTGGGGGGGGGGGGGGTTGAATGCTCTCATTAAGGAGGCCAGACTTGGTGGAGGTGGTTGACAGGGGCGGAGCTGCCGGCTATTGAAGGCTGCTCTGCCCCCTGCTGTGCTCTTTGCTTCAGCGTGAGCTAGGAGGCAGGTTTCAACCCCCCCCCCCCCCCGTGAATTTTTTAAAAAAAAAAACCCGAAATTTTCAACCCCTCCCGAAAAAATTTTCTGGCTACGGCCCTGGTTTGATTCAACCCACAATCCAATTCAAGGTGAAACTAGTTTATTTTGTCAAGACTGCAATATGAATCACTTGACAATAGATGGCAGTAGATGCAAAAAACAAAGGCCCCCCCCCCCCCCCAGTTTTTGAAATCGAAACAAAGGTTTGATCAAAACAGATAGATAAAGCAATATTGCCCCATGGTTTGTACCTTTGTTTGTGAAAGCCAACATGGTGCAATGGTTCAAAAGTTGTACTATGATTATGAAGACCAGTGTTCTATTCCCCATTAATCCATGGGTGACTGGGTTGTTGTAGGTTTTTCGGGCTATATGGCTATGTTCTAGAAGCATTATCTCCTGACATTTTGCCTGCATCTTTGGCAAACATCCTCAGAGATTGTGAGGTTTGTAGACACTAGGAAAATTGGGTTTATATATCTGTGGAATGTCCAGGGTGGGACAAAGAACTCTTGTCTGTTGGAGCTAGGTGTGAATGTTTCAATTGGCCACCTTGATTAGCATTTGATGGCCTGACAGTTTTTAGGTGTGGCTCCTTACTGCCTGGGGGAATCTTTTGTTGAGAGGTGATTAACTGTCCCTGATTGTTTCTTGTCTGGAGTTCCCCTGCATAGAATAATAGAATCATAGAATCAAAGAGTTGGAAGAGACCTCATGGGCCATCCAGTCCAACCCCCTGCGAAGAAGCAGGAATATTGCATTCAAATCACCCCTGACAGATGGCCATCCAGCCTCTGTTTAAAAGCTTCCAAAGAAGGAGCCTACACCACACTCCGGGGCAGAGAGCCTTCTCTTCTTCAGGCTAAACATGCCCAGCTCCTTAAGCCGCTCCTCATAGGGCTTGTTCTCCAGACCCTTTGAGTTTTGTTTTTTATTTACTGTTAAAAGTTTTTTTTTAGTACTGGTAGCCAGATTTTGTTCATTTTCATGGTTTCTTCCTTTCTGTTGAAATTGTCTACATGCTTGTGGATTTCAGTGGCTTCTCTGTGTAGTCTGACATGGTGGTTGTTCACGTGGTCCAGCATTTCTGTGTTCTCAAATAATATGCGTGTCCAGGTTGGTTCATCAGGTGCTCTGCTATAGAATCATAGAATTGGAAGATACGTCATGGGCCATCCAGTCCAACCCCCAGTCCAAGGAAAATTGCATTCAAAGCACTCCGGACAGATGGCCATCCAGCCTCTGTTTAAAAGCTTCCAGAGAAGGAGCCTCTACCACACTCTGGAGCAGAGAGTTCCACTGCTGAACGGCTCTCACAGTCAGGAAGTTCTTCCTAATGTTCAGATGTAGTTTGAAGCCATTGTTCCGCATCTTAGTCTCCAGGGCAGCAGAAAACAAGCTTGCTCCCTCCTCCCTATGACTTCCTCGCACATATTTATACATGGCTATCATGTCTCCTCTCAGCCTTCTCTTCTGAAGGCTAAACATGCCCAGCTCTTTAAGCCGCTCCTCATAGGGCTTGTTCTTCTCTGGTTGAAGTAGTCTGCAGTGCCTTTCATGTTCCTTGATTCATGTTTCAGCCCTGTGTTTGGTGGTCCCTATCTGGCTGACCTTGGGCAAGTCACATATTCTCAACCCCCAAAAAAACTCATGGCTGCATCACCTTGGACTTGCCAAAAGTCAGACATTACTTGAAGGGGCACAACAACAAATGTTTGCTTGCAAGGAATGTGCAGCACACAGCACTTCTCAGCAGAGGATTCAGTGGAGGGATGCATGGTCTTCATTAAGGGGAGATGGAGCGGGGTATAAATAAAGTTTTTTGTTATTATTATTATTATTATTATTATTATTTTCCATTGTGCCTTTGAAGAGTGACCATTTTTCCCATTTCTGCTTGCTCCAACTATAGTGTTGCCGCTATGATGCACTTTCCCCTGTCCTAAACTGAAAGCCTTCCCCACTGTTTATTCTTTTTGGGTTCCCCCCAGTTACATATTTTCTTTCCTACCTCATCCAGGGTTTTATCATTCCACCTCGTCCATTTGGCTTGCCCATTCTGTTCGATTTTATATTGTGTTAATTTGTTTTATTTATTTTATTTTGCTACTGTACCTATTTTATTTTGATGTAATTTTATTGTCTGCATTCTGTATTTTATTTTGTTGTATTGTATCTTTGGGCTTGGTCACATGTTAGCCGCCCCGAGTCCCCTTTGGAGAGATGGTGGCGGGGTATAAATAATGTTTATTATTTATTATTATAAGGATTTCATCGCACGCAATAAGTTAAGTGTTGGGGATAGTTGTTTTCCCCTTAAACTTTGCAGCACCGGGACTGTGGCGCAGATGGCTGGGTGTCAGCTGCATTAAAGATCACTAGTGACCAAAAGGTCATGAGTTTGAAGCCAGCCTGAGACAGAGTGAGCTTCCAACCAAAATTGTGTAGCTTGTTGTCGACCTTTGCAGCCAGAAAGACAGTTGCATCTGTCAAGTAGGAAATTTAGATACCACTTATGTGAGGAGGCTAATTTAACTGATTTATGAGGCCATAAAAATCCCCAGGAAGTATGCAAAGAATGAGGAAGTACTTCATCCGTGTCACCAACTGACGGTGAAGCGACAGCTCCCCTGGTGCCCAGAAGCTGGAATGTTAATTAGTCTCTGAGTCTGTCTATGTATGTTGTGTGTCTATGGCAGGGGTCCTCAAACTTTTTAAACCAGGGGCCAGTTCACTGTCCCTCAGACCGTTGGAGGGCCGGACTATAGTTTTTTTTTTTAAAAAAAATCAATTAAATAAATTCCCATGCACATTGCACATATCTTATTTTGCTGTGTGGAAGGGCCCATAGAGGGGGTTCTTTCTAGCCCTCTTTAGGCAGCAATTCCAGGAGCAGAGATTGAGAAATCTTCCTATTTCTAGTTTGAACAAAATCTGGCTACCAGTATTAAAAAAAAACTCTAAAATTATAACTGTAAAGAAAGAACAACACTCAAACACAGGGGAACTCCAGACAAGAAACAATCAGGGCCAGCTAATCACCTCTCAACAAAGGATTCTCCTAAAAACTGTCAGGCTATGAAATGGTAATCAAGGTGGCCAATTGAAACATTCATACCTACCTCCAACAGACAAGAGTTCTTTCTCCCACCCTGGATCTTCCACAATTTTCCTAGTTAAAGGTTTTCCTCTGACATGAAGTCCAGTCGTGTCTGACTCTGGGGTGTGGTGCTCATCTGCATTTCTAAGTCGAAGAGCCGGCGTTGTCCGTAGACACCTCCAAGGTCATGTGGCCGGCATGACTGCATGGAGCGCCGGGGCAGCCTCCCTTGGCTGGCTCACGCTGCCCATCGGGCCTGACAGATAGCGTGAGCCTGCCAAGGGAGGAGCAGCACCGCGCGGCCCATGCGTAAAGCACCTCGAGAGGTGCTTTACGCGCGAGTAGGCCACGTGGAGCAGCTGCCCTTGGCTGGCTCACGCTGCCCATCGGGCCCGCCAAGGGAGGAGGAGCCCCGCGCGGCCTACTCGTGCGTAAAGCACCTCGCGAGTAGGCCACACGGAGCAGTTGCCCTTGGCTGACTCACGCTGCCCATCGGGCCTGACGGATAGCATGAGCCAGCCAAGGGAGGAGCACTGTGTGTGTGTGTGTGGGGGGGAGTGCTCCTCCTCCGCAGGCCAGATAAGTGCCCTTGCCGGGCCGGAAGTTGCCCGCGGGCCATAGTTTGAGGACCTCTGGTCTATGGCATTGAATGTTTGCCATGTATATGCACATTGTAATCCGCCCTGAGTCCCCTGCGGGGTGAGAAGGGCAGAATATACTGTACATAAATACACAAATAAATAAATTTAATCAATTATTCTACCATCAATATATCTTGTTTATCTTCGTATAAGGAACCCCTGGTGGCGCAATGGGTTAAACCCTTGTGCCAGCAGGATTGAAGACCAACAGGTCGCAGGTTCGAATCTGGGGAGAGTGCAGATGAGCTCCCTCTGTCAGCTCCAGCTCCCTCATGCGGGAACATGAGAGAAGCCTCCAACAAGGATGGTAAAAAATCAAACATCCCCTCCAGGCAACGTCCTTGCAGACGCCAATTCTCTCACACCAGGAGCAACTTGCAGCTTCTCAAGTTGCTCCTGACACACACACACACAAATCTTCATATAAATCATAACTTGTCTACAAATTTGAAATGTGTAGCCAATAAAGCTGCCCCAGATACAAATCAACCACCCATTGTCACCCTCTCCGTTTTTCCCTTACCCATCTCCATTGACATCAGCGACTGCCACCGTGTGCCCAAAATATGATGCGATCTGCAAGAGGAAAAGAAAGGAGATAAAGAGGAAAACTCAGGGTTCACCCTCATTTTACAGCTATATTCAACCCATTCCCACAGAAAATGCTCATAGTAAAAAATCTAAGAAAATGCCCATCTTGCATAGCAGGGGAATAAAGTGGTTAGGACCCGGATTTGGGTGATTAAAAACCACAACGATCCATGAAATTTAGTAAATTGGTTTTGGATCAGGCACTCTATTCTAGCACGGTATGATCAAGTGGGGAGGAAAAGACCACTCTGAACCTATTCATAGGAAAGCAGGTTCTAGGTGTGATAAAATAACAGAATAGGCAATCCTTGGCATTTGAGTCTGGACACATCTATGGAAAGCAGTAGTACGAGGGTTGAATGAAAAGTAATGCCTCCACCTTCATTCCTTGGGTTTGGACGGGAATATTTTAATAAATCAAATGCAGAAATAATCCTTGGAATGTGCTCTTTAACTACCACTATTCACTTTTCTACATAATCACCAGATAATTGGATAAATTTCTGCCAACGATGAACAAGTTTTCTGAAGCCATCACAGAAGAAGTCGATACCCTGGGTTGTTGTAGGTTTTTTCGGGCTATATGGCCATGGTCTAGAGTTATTCTCTCCTGACATTTCGCCTGCATCTATGGCAAGCATCCTCAGAGGTAGTGAGGTCTGTTGGAACTAAGAAAAAGGGTTTATATATCTGTGGAATGACCAGGGTGGGACAAAGGACTCCTGTCTGCTGGAGCTCGATGTGAATGTTTCAACTGATCACCTTGATTACAATATAATGGCCTGACAGTGCCTGGAGCAAACTTTTGTTGAGAGGTGATTAGATGTCCTTGTTTGTTTCCTTTCTGTTGTTGTGCTGTTATAATTTTAGAGCCAGATTTTGTTCATTTTCATGGTTTCCTCCTTTCTGTTGAAATTGTCCACATGCTTGTGGATCTCAGTGGCTTCTCTGTGTAGTCTGACATGGTGGTTGTGAGAGTGGTCTTGTGAAATGCTGATTAGGTTTGAATTTTCTCTCTGAGTGATACAATAATCTTCCTAAATCAATCTGTCAACCTTTTGCTTCTGATACTCAGTAGTTGCTGTCACAGGACTTCCAGCTCTTTGTTTGTCACGCAAGTCAGATGTCCCCACCTCAACATCTTTAAACTTTCTCGCCCAACGACACACAGTACTCACATCAACACAATCACCATAAACAACTTGCATTCTCTGATGAATTTCCTTTGGGGTGACACCTTCTGCTGTCAAGACTTCAGTGACTGCACGTTGCTTAAGTCGCATTGACTGACCATCTGTGCAGGGTTCCATACTTTGCACTTTAACAACACAACTGTTCAATGCTAAGGCTTCCTGCCAAAATGGAACTGTAGAAGAGAATTTACTGAACAAGCCAGTACCTGCCCCATACCAATACTGCCATCTATTGAGGAGTTACGAAGGTGGAGGCATTACTTTTCATTCAACCCTCGGTTTATATATATATATATATATATATATATATATATATATATATATATATATACATACCTGGCATGGCTCTCTACAAGGCCCACACTTCTCTCTCTCTCTCTCTCTCACACACACACACACACACACACACACGAACACACACACACACACACCCTCATATGAAGTGAGCAGTAGAGGAATCACACTTTGCCTTAAGTACTGAAAGGCAAAAGCCTTACTACTTTGGTTTTAGACCCAGTGGAAAATCTTTCTTTCATAGAGAATGCTAACTGTTTCCCCAGTCCTGTTTGGTAGCCTTTATAAACCAGGAAAATCAAGAATCCTGGGATGTGGGACAAACTTGATGCACACCCAGGAACTCTACAAAGGATACTGTCCACATGCAAGAAGTCTACAAAGGGGGAACATATCAGGCCAACATATTGGGCACCCAAAGCCACAGGAACACACAGGTAACTAATAGTCCTTGCTAGGTGCTAGGAGAAATTCATAGGGTATGAAACATTGCTACCTGCTCACTGGGGATGGTCCAAAGAACTCGGAAGAATTTTTTCAGGATGAGAATTTCCACCTGTGATTGACAGACAGGGAGAAAATGTCAGAGAAACGTGTGGCATAGTGACTCCCGAGGAAACTCCTACAAACGCATTTCCCCTTATGAACCATCTAGGACTTAAGATCATCCAGGGAGGCCCTGCTCTTGATCCTGCCTTCATCACAAGTAGGGTTGGTGGGGATGAGAGACAGGGCCTTCTCGGTGGTGGCCCCTCGGCTATGGAACGCCTTCCCTAGAGATATCATATGGGCCCCCTCTCTCTTAATGTTTCAGAGAAGGTTTAAAACATGGTTGTTTGAGCAAGCGTTTACAAATGCAGAGTAACTGACATAGGAAACCGAATGACTAGATGATGGAATTGGACAATGTTTTTAAACAAGGAGACACTAATATGTTGGGTTTTTGTTTTTGTTTTTTGCTTTTGTTGTGGTTTTATATTGTTTTTTAATGTTTTATTTGTATTATTATTATCATTATTTTATTATTAACTTTATTTGAACCCCGCTAGCATGTCCCGAAGGACTCGATGCGGCTTACAAAGGCCAAGGCCTCAACACACAATATAACAATACAAAACCAAAAGCAAATTAAAAACAATTAAAACAATATAAACAACAAACAATAAATAATACACTAAGACACAATAAAACTGGGGCGGGCCAGAGTAATGGGTACAGGATTAAAAGTGCTGATGTGATAGGTGGAATATAAGGCTTATAGGGCAAGTGCAGTGTGCAGTGTGCAGTGTGCGGCAGTCTTAGTTCTGTTAAAGTGCTTATGGGACTTGGTAGTGGAGATTTCCTATTCTGGGAAGGCACATCGGAACAGCCAGGTCTTCAAGTTCTTTCTGAAGACTGCCAGTGTAGGGGCCTGTCTGAGATCTTTGGGGAGGGTGTTCCAGAGTCGGGGGGCCACCACAGAAAAGGCCCTGTCTCGTGTCCCCACCAAACGCGCTTGCGACGCAGGTGGGATCACGAGCAGGGCCTCTCCAGATGACCGAAGTGAACGCGTGGGTTCGTAGACGGAGATGCGGTCATGCAGGTAGGATGGTCCCAAACTGTTCAGGGCTTTGTAGGTAAGCACCTGCACCTTAAATTGGGCTCGGAAAATAAATGGCAGCCAGTGGAGCTCCTTGAACAGGAGGGTTGACCTCTCTCTGTAAGGGGCACCAGTTAACATCCTCGCTGCTGCCCGTTGGACCAATTGGAACTTCCGAGCCGTTTTCAAGGGCAGCCTCACGTAGAGCGCATTGCAGTAGTCCAATCTGGAGGTGACCAAGGCATGGACCACCCCGGTCAGATCAGTATTATATGTACTAATTTGTTGTAAACTGCCTTGCGTCACCAACAGGCTAATAAAGGCGGTATACAAATACAGTAAATAAATAAATAAATAAATAAATAAATAAATAAAATGACTCTTAAGTTATCCTCGGGCTATGTCCAAATTCATAATTTTGGTCCCGAACTCTGTCCTTTACTTATACATGAGATTTCTTATACATGACTATATAAAACAGTCTTAGAAACATCCAGCTAATGTGGTCAATGGAAACTGTAACCCAAAAAATGATTACAAGGTCTAAATTAGAGAGATTATAGGTCTCCCTTACACTAAAATTCCTCAAGAAGCCCCAATGTATATGCTAGAACAGGGGTCCTCAAACTTTTTAAACAGAGGCTCATGTCACAGTCCCTCAAACTGTCAGAGGGCTAGATTATAATTTGAAAAAGAAAAACATGAATGAATTCCTATGCACACTCCACATGTCTTATTTGTAGTGCAAAAATAATTAAAAACAATACAATAATTAAAATGAAGAACAATTTCAACAAATATAAACGTATTAGTATTTCAATGGGAAGTGTGGGCCTGATTTTGGCTGATGAAATAGGATTGTTGTTGTTGCGTGCTTTCAAGTCGTTTCAGACTTAGGTTGACCCTGAGCGAGGGCCAGGTAAATAAATTTGGAGGGCCGTATCCAGCCCTCGGGCCTTAGTTTGAGGAACCCTGTGCTAGAACATATACGCAGTCTTCTTTCACCACTAACCCTTCAGTTGTCATTAGTCTGCAATACCCATATACTTTGTTGGGGATGATGATGGCTGTAGTCTAACATAATCTAGAAGTCATTGCTTTCCTATCATAAGAGGTGTCCCACAGTACTATTTCACAGGGCAGGATAATTTCAGATGGAGCCCTAAACCATTTCAGTACTGAGAAAGTAACAAATCTATCCCATTTTCCTGTGAATTGGAACTGCCTTTCAATGGAATAGCAGTCATGAGTGGATGCAGAGCACAGGGCTAATTGTTAGCTAAGCCGTATTGAACTCTCACTCATCTAGAAATTTGGTTACATACCATTCAAACATACAGACCCAGAATATACAGAAGAGCTATAAATAAAAAGAATACACACACACACACACACACATTGTGACTTCTTTCTTTAAGACAAGCAAGAAAGAAACCAGATAACAGCCCGTTTGAGCATTTTTCCACCATCTTGCACTCACCACGCCTTTCGTTTCGCTTTTGTTAGGAACGCCGACCACGTATTCTGCAAGCAGAAGAATCTTGTGAGCTCAGGGCACTAGAAACATAAAACTCACAGTCCTGAAAGGGTTGCCTTGCTGTGCCTTGCGCCTTGCCTTGTGTCGCCTCACCTCACATCGCACCTCGCCTTGCGCCTCACCACACGCCTTGCCTTGTGCCTTGCCTTGCATCGTGCCTTGCGCCACACTTTGCCTTGCGTCTTGCCTTGCCTTGCATCATGTCTCGCCTTGCCTCACACTTTGCCTTGTGTCAGGCTTTCACATATATGGAGAGATTATATCTTCAATTTTACTGGTTGGATAGTTTAAAAATATTTTGAAGCAGTGGATGGTTGAATCACTGAGTGCAGAATCTTGTATTCAGAGGACTCACCATACAGTGTTCCCTCGCTACTTCGTGGGAGGGGCTTTGCACAATTAAGATTCATGAGCCAACTGCGACCGTACCTCGGGAAGGCGGATCTGGCCAAGGTGGTCCACACCTTAGTCACCTCTAGATTGGATTACTGCAATGCACTCTACGTGGGGCTGCCCTTGAAAACGGCCCCGAAATTTCAGATGATCCAACGGACAGCAGCCAGGTTGTTAACTGGGGATCCGTACAGGGAGCGAGCAACCCTCCTGTTCAAGGAGCTCCACTGGCTGCCATTCATCTACCGGACCCAATTCAAGGTGCAGGTTCTTACCTACAAAGCCCTGAACGGTTTGGGACCCGCCTACCTGCATGACCGCATCTCTGTATACAAACCCATGCAATCTCTTCGTTCATCTGAAGAGGCCCTGCTCTCAATCCCACCAGCATCGCAGGTGCGATTGGTGGGGACGAGAGAGAGGGCCTTTTTGGTGGTGGCCCTCGACTCTGGAACTCTCTCCCTAAGGACTCTGGCAGGCCCCAACCCTGGCAGTCTTTAGGAGGAGCTTGAAGACGTGGTTGTTCCAGTGTGCCTTGTCCTCCAAAGCACTTTACACTTTTAGGTCTGCTAGTATGTCCTTCCACAAACGCCACTATCACCTTTTTGTCCATGCTTCAGCATTATTTCCAATTTTAATTTTACATTTGGCCTTCCCACAGTTTTAATTGTATGTTGTCTTATTGATAATATTGTATGTTATTGCCTATGTTCTTTATTTTAATTGCTTGTATTGATGTGATTATTGCTTGTATTATTATGTTTGGGCTCGGCCTCATGTATTTATTTATTTATTTATTTATTTATTTATTTATTATTTCAAAGTTTTATATAACGAGCTTCTCACCTCATAAGAGGGACTCAGCCCGGTTTCCAACCATAAAAACACATACAGTCGGTAAAATATCAAAATACACATTACAATAAAACATTTAAAAAGCACATATATTTAAAACTACAGTGGTCAGTCGTCATACTAAAATCGAATGTACACCATCTTCCATCCAGATCATTGTCTCATTCTTCGAAAGCCTGTCTCCATAACCACGACTTCACCTGTTTCCTGAATGTCAGGATTGTTGGGGCGGTTCTAACCTCTGGCGGGAGAGAGTTCCAGAGTCGCGGGGCCACTACCGAGAAGGCCCTGTCCCTCGTCCCCACCAGCCGCGCTTGTGAGGCCGGCGGGACCGAGAGCAGGGCCCCTCCAGACGATGTAAGCCGCACTGAGTCCCTTGGGGAGATGGTAGTGGGGTACAAGTGTCATTATTATTATTATTATTATTATTATTATTATTATTATTATTATTCGCTTTTAGCGGACTCGCTGTTTTGCGGGTTTTTGAAAATATTAATTAAAAATATTAAATATTAAATATTTACATCCAGTGGAGGCCAGGGACTCGGGAAGTGCAGCAGTCTGAGGCACAGCAGGGAAAGCTTGCCTCCCTGGCCCCCACAGACCCCGGAAGTGCTATGGCCTGTGGCGCGGTGGAAAAGACCTGCCTCCCTGGCCTGCTGCTGCCTGCATGGCTCCAGAGGCAAGGGAGGCTGGCAGGCACTCTTGGGATGGGCTGGGAGGTGGGTAAAGAAGCGCAGGTAAGAAAATAATATATAAAATATATAAAATAATGTATAAATATTAAAATTGATATGGTGTCCCTACTTCACGGATTTTCATTTTATCACGGGTGGCCTTGGAACGGAACCCCCGCGATAAGTGAGGGAACACTGTATATCCCTTCTTTCTCTTTCTAATGAGTTAATAATAATAATAATAATAATAATAATAATAATAATAATAATACTCTGGGACTTCCAAATTCAGACTGACAGAGTTTTGGAGCACAATACTTCTGACCTCACAATTGTGTTAAAAAACAGAGTGTGGATCACTGATTTTGCAATCCCAAGTGACAGGAGGATTGAAGAGAAACAACTGGAAAAGCTGATACGGTATGAGGATTTAAAGATCGAACTGCAAAGACTCTGGCACAAACCAGTAAAGGTGGTCCCAGTAGTGATCGGTACACTGGGTGCAGTGGCCTGCACTTAAACACAATCGGTGCTTTCATATATTTTGCCATACTCTTAATAGGGATGCTCTCACAAAATGGTTACCAAAACTTTTTTCTTTCTTTTCCCTTTTGTACCATAAATAAGCATGTCATCCTACTCTTAGATCATTTCCTTCTATATTTAAAAAATCTTTATTCAACAATATCCAATCTTTTATCCATATCAACGCACATGCGTCATGAGATGCTTTAAAATCCAGGAGGCCCAGACCTCCTCTATTCTTCAAATTCAATCAATCAAATTATTATACTTTATTCTTGGTCTTCCTCCAGCCCATATAAATTTCAGTATTTCTTTTTTCCATTTTATAAAAAGTGTTGGACTTCTGATTATCCGGAGGTTTTGAAAAAGGAACACCAATTTTGGTAAAACATTCATCTTAATCAAAGATATACGGCCTAAAAGTGACAACTTCAGATATTTCCACTTTTGTAAGTCCTTTTGTATTTTTTCCCAGACTTCTTCATAATTATTCTTTAATAGTTGTCCATTTTTTGTTGTGAACCATACTCCTAAGTATTTGAATTTCTTAACTATTTCCAGACCTGTTTGCTCTTTAATCATATCTTGTTTTTTTCTTTTCTACATTTTTTGTTGGTATCTTTGTTTTTGACATATTGACTCTGAATTCCGCAACTGACCCAAACTCTTTTATCTTCTGCATCCATCTTAGTATATTTTTACTTGGGTCTTCCATTATCCCAAGTACATCGTCCGCGAAAGCTCTTATTTTATATTCATATTTACCAACTTTAGATCCCTGTATCATTTGGTCTTCTCTTATTGCCTTCATTAATGGTTCTAATGCCATTATAAATATCAGTGGAGACAGGGGGCATCCCTGTCTAGTTCCCTTCTGTATGTCAAACTCTTCCGTCGTTTGACCATTTATTCTTAATTTAGCCTTTTGTAGATCATATATCTACAAAAGTGTCTGACGTGTGATCCAATACAACAACCAGCAGAGTGATCTTGTTTGCTGTGGACTCATCTTGTTGTGTTTCAAATAATAACAACTTTATTTTTATACCCCACCTCCATCTCCCTGAAGGGACTCAGGCCATGCCCAATCACATACGGTTAAAAACATAGCATATAAAATATGAAAACAACATAAAAATGACATAACAATAGAAAGATAAACTTCAAAAGCAACAACCAAAAATACACTTCAAGTCTCAATATGGGATGGGCTGGTGTTCAAGTAAGTTAGAAAATAGACTGGCCAATAAGGTACATGGATCATATAGCAGCGTAGGGATAGAGCAGTTATAACAGGGTCATTATAGCTTGAATAGTGCAATAGTTGGTTCAAAGCCAACCTTAAAAACTCTGGCATAGACACTGAGAACTGGGAAGCCCTGGTCCTTGACCGCTCCAGCTGGAGGTCAGCTGTGACCAGCAGTGCTGCAGAATTTGAAGAGGCACAAATGGAGAGCGAAAGGGAGAAGCGTGCCAAGAGGAAGGCGCGTCAAGCCAACCCCGACCGAGACTGCCTTCCACCTGGAAACCAATGCCCTCACTGCGGAAGAAGATGCAGAGCAAGAATAGGGCTCCACAGCCACATACGGACCCACAAGAACACTGGAAGACAATCATCGTCGGAAAATGAGGGATCACCTAAGTAAATGCAGTAGTAAAATACGGGGACTTGATTTTAGGCCATGGTTAGGGCCATCTGTCAAGGGAATTTAAAGAGATGTATTACAAGAGTGAATTAGTTCATTAATGTAATGCCACTTTTGCACTACAACTTTATTGCCCTTTCATATATTTTTTTTAATCAGGAAGGATAAAATTCATCACCCAAACCATGGTGCCATTTCAACAAACACTATTCAGGCTTTCATTAAAAAAAGGAAGAATCCTAATCAGATCAAATAATGACAAATTGCCTCTGAAAAGAATGGAACAAGTGATCGTAGAGGCAACAAGAACCGGCATAATCCAGAGAGCTGCACTGAAAGATCCATCTTCAGCTTTCTACCTATCAGCAAATAGCTCAAATAAAATCTGTTGGATTCCTCACTTTACCTTACCCCATAAAAGTACCTTTGTTTGAAAAAAGAGTATTTTCCTTACCATCTGATGTAGGGTCTTCATTAAATTCCCCTAAAGCCACTGAGTACCCTGGAAGGGAAAAAAGATTGGAGAGTTTAAGGCGGATATATTCTTGGCAGAAGGAAGCGCCTGCCTGCACTTCAGGTTTTCCACTTAATTTCTTTCTAGCCACCCTTCCAAGTTCTAGCTTTCTTCTGATTTCATGACCGCAGACTCTGAAGCCGAGCATGACCCCCCCCCCCCCCAACAAGGGATGGTGACTTATAGTTCTGCAAAGGACAAAGGTACCAGACTGCACAATAGGGGTTAAGTCTTGGTCAATTTGTCAAGGCCTTAACAACAATGAGGACCCCATGAAACTTTGGGAATAGCTAGACCTTGGGGTCTCTGCCTCTCTCTCTCTCGAGAGAGAGAGAGCCGTAGTTTTCCAAGGACCATGGGACCGGCTTCAATCCCAACGCTGCAGGGCTTTGCGTCTTGACCCAGTGGAACTCCATAGACTCCCTTTGGTGGCTTTTTGAATTCTGCTACATTCCTGGACTTCACTCTCTTCAAGGACTCGCTCTCTACCCTTTCTTCAAGACAACTTATGAATTCATGCTGTGTCCTGATATCGTCTGCTTTTTATAATTGGTATTATTAATCTCTCTCTGGGGTCCCGGATGGGAAGATAGCTGCATATGATTTCCCTGTGTATAATTTCTATATGGTTTTTATGTTTCCTTGTATTCCTGACTCTTTGCCCCTTCTCCCTCCAAAGAAATATGTAAGGGAACCACCTGGCCTAAACAATTGTTTGACAAAAGTTTCTGTAAGATAAGGGGAAACCTTCCCCTCTGCTATTTGTTTACTTCCCATTGATAGCATTAACCCCAGGCATTGTTCCCCTGTCTCACAGCCAGGAAGGACACATGTTGATTCACAACACTCAAAGCAGCCCTGTATGGGCTCTTTGTCTCCCAGAGCACATGGCATTCATTTGTTTAAAGATTCCTTCCCAGATTCCTTTGTGTTCCATCATCCCGCCTCCATCTCTCCTGATTGGTTGTCGCCACCAGGTGGCAGAGGTCTCCCCATTGGATCCTACAGACCACTGGAGCTTCCTGATTGGTCCAGAGGCGCCGGGGGTGGGAGGGCCGCCTCCCAGATGTCCGCCCATCACCCAATCACAGCAGGGAACAACAGGGAAGTCGGGGCGGGGAGTTTGAATTCTGCAAATTTGAATTTACTATAAATATGACTGCATTGGTGTAATCTCCTCATGCTTAGCTTGGCGAATGATTGCAGCTTTGCATCCGGTTTCAGCTGAATCGCATTAAACTTCGATGGCTCTTCTTCAACTGGTGAGACTTTTCATTGGGAAATCAGGGAAAAATATGGGATGCTTCTCTGTCTCGCCAGGGAAAAAAGAACTCTTTGATGAGTCTAATTGGTCTCGGCCTCCTGGCAAAGACCCCTAAATTTTAGCTCTATAACAACTCCATTCTGATTCATGACTGAACCGATGGTCAGTCTGATGCCCTCAAGATGTTTTGAGCTGCATTGATTATCACTCTCCCTCTGCTAAGGCCAACGAGAAAGGATGATGGGGACATCTTGCCAGCTCCCTTAACTCCCTTTGCCCAACTAACCTCGATAGCCATCGTTGTAAGTCCAGTCTGAGAAGTCACTTGTCACATACTGTGAGGGCACAGACCACAACAGGCGAGGCAAATTGCTTTGGATTACTGACGCATTAATGGAATAAATCAGACCTGGAAGAGAGATAAAATATATATCCATTTGTCACATCCTTTAGCAGCAGCATAACTAAGGCCCCCACCACACACCTGTATAAAATTCACATTGAACTGAGTTATATGGCCGTGTGGACTCAGATAATCCAGTTCAAAGCAGATATTGTGGATTCTCTGCCTCGATATTCTGGATTATATGGCTGTGTGGAAGGTCCCTAAGAACACAGAGGAGGGGCAAAAGAATCAATTGTGGTGCTCCCCACAACAAAACAGTCTTGAATGATACCGAGGGGTATTTTTTAAGTAAGGTCCGTTTTGTTGTAGACACTAGTAGTTCGCGCGCATACCACAACGAGCGCGTGCGTCGTGTACCGGCATGCCTCGGGAACAACTGTGCTCAGTTTCCACTCTGTAGCTAACCTGTACGGTTCTGTTCTGTGCTTTAAAAATGTTTAAGACTATCAACTCACCCTCCACATGTGAGGTTCACTCAGTGATATGGTTTTTGTCAACAAGGACAATCAAAGAAAGGCAACTGGAGCGGTCCTCATCATGGACATTGTCACGGCCATCTTTGAATTGTTGTGCCCACTTTGCTGACAAAAACCAGACTGGGCCACAGCAATGAGTGGCAGGGGATAGCTAGTACTGTAAAGAAATAAATAATAAATAAATAGTTCCACAACCAAGGGGCCACCACTGAGAAGGCTCTGCCTCTCGTCTCCACCAGCCATAATTATGAGGCAGGTGGGACAGAGAGTAGGACCTCCCCAGATGATCTTAGTCTCCAAGCTGGTTTGTAGGGGAAGATACTTTTGGACAGGAATCCTGGGCCGGAACTGTTTAGGCATTTATAGGCTAAAGCCAACACTTTGTATATGGTTGTAAGATTCAACACAGGGCCAAAGAGGGTCCCTGGACTTTGGGAAGTTGCTTTTTAAAGCATGAATGCAGATTGAAATAAATGTATTTTCACTTTTGAAATACTAGTAATTGTCAGCAGAGTAAACCATACCTACAACCCCAGGGAAGGAGTTCGAAAGGTATGCAGCCAATAGTAATCCCAACTATCTACCAGCCTAATGGTCAGAGATCAAATATTTGCTATCCTTAATACTTATTTGGGAAGACTCTTTCAAACTATACCCAGCCATTGTGAGTCGGAGCCATTCATAGCCTTCTCCTCTATGAATATGGTTATATATGGCCTTCCACACCAGAGGTTATCATCACCATCGTGTGATACTGAACTTCATAGCTGAAGTATTATGAGAGTTGTAGTTTTAAAAGGTCTTGTAGTGATGGCTTGCCAAACTACAAATCCCAGGATTCCATTGCACTGAGACATGGTAGATAAAGCGCTATCAAATTGCATTAATTCTGCAATGTAGATGCAACCTAAGACTAAATTCTGCAACGTAGATGCAACCATAGGACTAAATTTCCACTCTACTTGACATGGTTTTATCCTGTGAAGTCCTAGACCATAGTATTATGAGATAGGGAGAAAAATATCTCCCTTTTCACACAGTACAGTTCCCCACCCTATCTCCTTTAATTTCCTTTCTTTGACATTAAAAAGTCCTCAAACCTCCCTTCGTAATAGAATTATTCCAGCGTCTTAATGATTTGCATGATTTCTAGTGGGGAAAAGACATACTGTAAATACTCGAGTATAAGCCTAGTTTTTCAGCCCCTTTTTTAGGCTGCCCTCGGCTTATACTCGAATCAAAGTTATTTATTATTTTACTCTGTTATTACTATTATTTTATTGCATTTATTATTTTACTCTATTATTGGTATTATTACATTTACATTATTTTACTCTATTAATTATTATTATTATTATTATTATTATTATTATTACATTTATTATTTTACTTTATTATTATTGTATTGTCGAAGGCTTTCATGGCCGGAATCACTGGGTTGTAGGTTTTTTTGGGCTGTATGGCCATGGTCTAGAGGCATTCTCTCCTGACGTTTCACCTGCATCTATGGCAAGCATCCTCAGAGGTAGTGAGGTCTGTTGGAACTAGGAAAAGGGGTTTATATATCTGTGGAATGACCAGGGTGAGACAAAGGACTCTTGTCTGCTGGAGCTAGGTGTGAATGTTTCAACTGACCACCTTGATTAGCATACAATGGGCTGACTGTGCCTGGAGAAAACTATTGCTGAGAGGTAATTAGATGTCCCTGCCTGCTTCCTCTCTGTTGTTGTGCTGTTGCAATTTTAGAGTTTTTTAATACTGGTAGCCAGATTTTGTTCATTTTCATGGTTTCCTCCTTTCTGTTGAAATTGTGTTGTTGTTATTATTATTATCATTATTATTATTATTATTACATTTATTATTTTACTCTGTTATTGGCATTATTACATTTGCAATATTTTACTCTGTTACTATTTTATTACATTGATTTTACTCTTTATTATTATTATTATTACATTCATTATTTTACTTTATTATTGTTGTTATTACATTTATTATTTTACTTTCTTTATTATTATTGGAAGGATACGTAAACACATTTACTCTGAAAAAGGTTAGAATAATGGTTTAATCAAAGTTGGTCAGTCTTATTTTAAATTACAGTTTTGTGTAAACATTGAAAAACATTTAACCCACTGTTTCCTCAATTAATGTAATTTTATTGGTATCTATATTTATTTTGTATTACCAGTAGCTGCTGCATTTCCCACCTTTGACTTATACTCGAATCAATAAGTTTTCCCATTTTTGGTGGTAAAATTAGGTGCTTCAGTTTATATTTGGGTCGGCTTATACTTGAGTATATACGGTATCCTTGTTGTGGTGTGTTGGCCCAGCAATTCACAGAGCATTCCAGATATACTTTAGCTATTGGTTCTCACAGCTTACAAGGTAAATCAAAGTACTTACCTCCAAAATAATATCCACCAGGGCCTCCAAACACAGCATTCCCAGACTGCGGGGAGAAGAGATGTACAGTAAGGAACCGATTGACTTTTCATGCTCCTTTGCCCAAACAACCGCCATAGCTTGAGAACTAAAGCCTGTCTAAGATGCATATTTCCATGACCGACATAAATGACAATCTAATACCCTCACCCTCTTCTATTTATTGAAAAATATCAAAACAAAGAGGTGGGATACAATTATATCAAAATCAATGATATAATTATTACAGCCTCTTCTATACCTGAGGCAGGAGGTTTGTTTGACTAGTGCAAAGAAAAATGTAACGCCCCAAATTATGGCCTTTGGAGATTTAAACAATAGATCTTGGGTCCCTGAAGCCTTCCAAAGTCCCATTTTCTTTCAATGCAAAACTTTCCACCTCCAAATGGATCTAAAGTACTACAAAACATGATGGTTTGCCTCCTAAATCCCTAAGTTCTTCTGCACCAACAAAGCAAAAAAAAAAAAAGTCTGGAAGTTAGCTGAGATCCAAATTGGAAGTGATGTGATGGCACAGCAGGTGAAACCACTGAGCTGCTGAACTTGCTGACCAGAAAGTTGGCAGTTTGGGTGAGCGCCTGCTGTTAGGCCCAGCTTCTGCCAACCTAGCAGTTCGAAAACATGCAAATGTGAGTAGATCAATAGGTATGCTTCTGTGATATGGTAACAACGCTCCATGCACTATGTTGGCCACATGACATAGGAGGTGTCTACAAGCAACACAGGCTCTTTGGCTTAGAAATGGAAATGAGCACCACCTCCAGAGCCGGAGATGAAAGGGGAAGCCTTTACCTTTATCTGTGTATCTGTGTGTCATTGTTTCTAGGCATTAAATGTTTGCCTTTGTCTCTGTATATGCCCTGAGTCTCCTTGGGGAGATAGGGCAGAATACAAATAAATTATTATTATTATTATTATTATTATTATTATTATTATTATTATTATTACCACCATTTTCAGGCACATTGAGTGAACTGCTTCACCCTACTGGGATGGGGGATTGGTTACCATTGTTGTTGTTATTATTGTTATTCATGGTTACGACTCCCATCCATGATGATGATGATGATGATGATGATTATTATTATTATTATTTCAGATATTTGTACCCCGCCCTCCTCAACCCCCGGGGGGCGGGGGGACTCAGGGTGGCTTCCAGCAAGCCGCGATTTGATGCCTCCAGTGTGCACATAATAAAATATATAATAAAATTCAATAATTGCATACAAATAAAACATTAAGTCAATTCAATTAAAATCTGTATAAATGTAATATCCTGGTGGCCTTATCTAAGTTACCCAACCTTGGACTAAAGTCTTGTTTCATCCAAGAAAGGTGAACAGCTAGGCCGAGAAAAAACAGGAGCTGAGTTGCTACTACCACTACTACCAACATCTGCTGCATGGGGCAGTTGCACCACCTTGTCTAATATTAGGGCCAGCCATGATAGGGTTTACACTTCTATGACGTTATGAGGACATTTGCCAGCTTCACTGGATTAGATCTTCCCCACCAAAATCCATCAGGTGAAGCAAAACTAGTGCAGTCCCTTCAAGGTCGTAGCCTTTCTTTGCCATGCCCTCTCCTCTACTGCAAAACTCACGTTAGAGATGGCAGAACTGAATCCAAGTTCGCAGTATCGTTTGTCATTTCCTGATTCGAGGAAAGAAAGGGAAAAAGCAATTTTATTTTTTGCTTTAGTTGGGGAAAATCCTTACATACTAAAAGAACTTTATATATGTGTTCCTCCCATGTAATCCCAAGAAAATCAGCAAATGAGGGACAAGGTTTTTATATCTATGGGGTATCACCTGCTTCGATCCACCTAGCGCCCTGTGATCATCCGGGGAGACCCTGCTCGTTGTCCCCTCATTATCGCAATCGTGTTTGGCAGGGACAAGGGACAGGGCCTTTTCTGTGGTGGCCCCTCAGCTGTGGAACTCCCTCCCAAATGAAATTAGATCTGCTACATCCCTCTTGACATTTCGGAACAAGCGAAATTCTGTCTATGGGATCAGACCTTTATAGATTAGATTGACCTGTTGATGTGACGACTTTTATGGAACTGACTAACTTCTCTTTGGATGATGCCATAAACCGGTGATAGTTGACTGTCTGATTGTTTTTTTATACTGTTTTATTGCTATATTGTTATTTAAATTGTATATTTATGTTTCGGTTGTGGGCACCATGGTGTGCCGGTCTGTTAGCCGTCCTGAGTCCCTCTGCGGAGGTCGAGATAGGACGGGGTAAAAGGTAAAGGTAGTCCCCTGACATTAAGTCCAGTCATGTCTGACTCTGGGGTGTGGTGCTCATCTCCATTTCTAAGCCGAAGAGCCAACGTTGTCCGTAGACACCTCCAAGGTCATGTGGCCGGCATGACTGCATGGAGCGCAGGACGGGGTACAAATGACCTATATGAATAAATAGAGGCAGGCTGAACAAGACAGGGGATTGCTCTCTTCTGCAATGCCAAGTGCACATCTCCAGCCATAGCTATATGGCTAAGATAATGTGTTCCCATCTTTCAGTTGCTGTAAAGAGTTCACATGACACATGGCTGGATTTGCAGCACAGCTGCTGCATTCATCCATACTAACAATGGTATTAAAGAAGCATGGTAGGATTTAAGCACAGGATCCTGACAGCCAAGGAAATGCCAGTTTTACTTTCAGAGACTGGCTGGTGACATCGCATTTTCGGTAATGTCATGTTGGGTGACAAGCCATGAGACCAGAAATGCGATGTCTCTGGGAGAGAGCTGCTCATTGTTTTGTGTATTTTGTGTATTTTAATAGGCATATTTTGGAAATATGTTTTAATCTGTGCATTCTATGGAGTGCTTTTAAATGATTATGTGTTTTGATATGTGTTTTATTAATGTTGTAACCTGCCTTGAACTGTGAGTAGAGGTGTGTAAGAAATAAAAGAATAATAACATGACTCAGTGTCTGTCTATATATGTTGTGTGTCTATGGCATTGAATGTTTGCCATGTATATGTACATTGTAATCCACTTGAGTCCCCTGCAGGGTGAGAAGGGCGGAATATAAATACTGTAAATAAATAAATAAACATTATTATTATTATTTGAAACACAACAAGATGAATCCACAGCAAACAAGATCACTCTGCTGGCTGTTGTATTGGATCACACGTTGGACATTTCCAAAGTGTCTAGGACTGTGTGATGTATCATCTAATAATAATAATAATAATTATTATTATTATTATTATTATTATTATTATTATATGGAGCCCCTAGTGGCGCAGTGGGTTAAAGCCCTTTGCTGGCAGGACTGAAGACCGACAGGTCGCAGGTTCAAATCCGGGGAGAGGCGGATGAGCTCCCTCTATCAGCTACAGCTCTTCATGCGGGGACATGAGAGAAGCCTCCCACAAGGATGATAAAAACATCAAATCATCCAGGCGTCCTCTGGGCAACGTCCTTGCAGACGGCCAATTCTCTCACACCAGGAGTCACTCCTGACATGACAAAAAATTATTATTATTATTATTATTATTATTATTATTATTATTATTATTATTATTATGGCAGCCTTAATTTGCTCTTAGTCTCAGGACACTCCAAGGATGCATTGTAGCAGATTTAGAGCCCTTTAAAAAGCCAATGACTTTCCAAGTAGTTTTTTTAGGTTCTGACCCAGGCCCCTTCTACACTGCCATATAAAATCCAGATTATCTGATTTGAACTGGATTATATGGCAGTGTAGATTCATATAATCCAGTTCAGAGCAGCTAATGTGGATTATCTGCTTTGATCATTTGGATTAAATGGCAGTATAGAAGGGGTCCCAGAATAGTTTATCTGTAGAATGATCCTTACAACTTATTTGGAGCGATGCACGCAAGAGCAAGAGGTAAAACTCCTTTAATTTATTCACATGATAATCCAGATAAGGAATATGAGTCTAAAAGCCAAAGCTAGGGATTGGGGCTAATGTCACAAATGAAAACAAATGGTAAACTAATTGGCTAGCATTTTGTTTTTATTGCCAGAGATAGAAAGAACTGTTTGTGCAGTTTTCCACCTTGTGAACCAAATGGATAGTTAATTAATTAATTAATTAATTAATTAAAATAAAACTTTATTTATACCCCGCCACCATCTCCCCGAAGGAATTTGGGGAGGCTTACATGAGGCCAAGCCCATCAAATATAAATACAACAGTACATCAACGAAACAAGCAAGCAAATAAAACAATATAAATAATATAACTAAACATAAAGCAATAACACAAGAGAATTAAAAATTAAAAACACGATGGAAGGGCCAGATGTAATAGATTAAAGTTTCAAAACACTGGACGTGTACAGAGTAGAGTATGTCTAGACATGGGGATTTTAGAGAGTGATGTAGGGAGATAAATCCAACGGACAGATAAAGTGCTTCGGAGGATATATAGAAGGAAATTGGTCAGAACGAGCATTATTTCCTTTATTCAGGGAAGGCACACTGGAACAGCCACGTTTTCGAGCTCCTCCTAAAGACTGACAAAGTGGGCACTTGTCTGATATCTTTAGGGAGTGAGTTCCAGAGTTGGGGGGCCACCATAGAGAAGGCCCTCTCCCTCGTCCCCACCAATTACGCTTGTGAAGGGGGTGGGAGCGAGAGCAGGGCCTCTCCAGATGATCTAAGAGATCATGTGGGTTCGTAAACAGAAATGCGGTAACGCAGGTAGGTGGGTCCCAAACCGTTCTGGGCTTTGTAGGTAAGAACCTGCACCCTGAATTGGAACCGGAAGATGAACGGCAGCCAATGGAGCTCCTTAAACAGGATGACTTAAGCAAATAAATCGACTGGTTAGGATTCTCTCCCCTAAACCGGGAATGGGGGATATTATTTGCTGTTCTACTTCAGGCAGCAATATGTCTTGGGTAAGCCCTGCCAGGGCCCTTCCACACAACTCTATATCCCAGATATAAGGTATAAAATCCCACAATATCTGCTTTGAACTGAGTTATCTGAGGTGCAGTTAAAATGTGGGATTTTCTGCCTTGATATTCTGGTATATAGGATTGTGTGGAAGGGCCCCCAGATTGGGGCCACCATAGAGAAGGCCCTCTCCTTAGTCCCCACCAATTGCGCTTGTGAAGAGAGTGGGAGCGAGAGCAGGGCCTCTCCAGATGATCGAAGAGATTGTGTGAGTTCGTAAACAGAAATGCGGTCACGCAGGTAGGTGGGTCCCAAACTGTTCAGGGCTTTGTATGTAAGAACCTGCACCTTGAATTGGGACCGGAAAATGAACGACAGCCAATTGAGCTCCTTAAACAGGATGACTTAAGCAAATAAATTGACTGGATAGGATCCCCTAAACCGGGAATGGGGAATATTATTTGCTGTTCTACTTCAGGCAGCAATATGTCTTGGGTCAGCCCTACCAGGGCCCTTCCACACAACCCTATATCCAAGATATAAGGCAGAAAATCCCACAATATCTGCTTTGAACTGGGTTATCTGAGTTGCAGTTAAAATGAGGGATTTTCTGCCTTGATATTGTGGGATATAGGGTTGTGTGGAAGGGCCCCCAGATTGGGGCCACCATAGAGAAGGCCCTCTCCCTTGTCCCCATCAATTATGCTTGTGAAGGGGGTGGGAGCGAGAGCAGGGCCTCTCCAGATGATTGAAGACATCATGTGGGTTCGTAAACAGAAATGCAGTCCCGCAGGTAGGCGGGTCCCAAACCGTTCCGGGCTTTGTAGGTAAGAACCTGCACCTTGAATTGGGACCGGAAAATGAACGGCAGTCAATGGAGCTCCTTAAACAGAATGACTTGAGCAAATAAATCGACTGGTTAGGATTCTCTCCCCTAAACCGGGAATGGGGGATATTATTTGCTGTTTTACTTCAGGCAGCAATATGTCTTGGGCACTTCCACACAACCATATATCCAAGATATAAGGCAGAAAATCCCACAATATCTGCTTTGAACTGGGTTTTCTGAGTCCACACTCAGGTAATGTGGGGTTTTCTGCCTTGATATTCTGGGATATGGGGCTGTGTGGAAGGGCCCCCAGATTGTAATTCATCCCCTTTTCTTTAGGCAAAGCCTGTGAGCAAAGTTTCTTCTCACCACGCAATTAAGGCTTGAATTTTTCCTCCTTGCTGTTCGCTCTTTCTCTACCATTAATACACTGTACTCACCATAGGAGATTGAACTGTAAAAGGACTGCATGCGAATGTCACGGCAGGGTGAATATTCAGAGAAACGCTGCAGGCCTTCCGAGGCCAAAAAACAGCTGCCTACTGGGGTCTTTGTGGCCTGATCTTGACCGACAAAAGCATTCCAGTGCTGCAGAGGAGCACAGGCCTGAAAGGACGGGAAACAATGGGGTGGGTGATGGGGATGTTACATCATGTATCAACCCCGCAGACATCAAGAGACACCATTGGCTAGCTATGAAAAAAGAAGCTCTGAAACAATGTGATTTCAAATAAATTGGGATGAGGTGAAAAACAAAGGCATCATCCAAAAGAAAAAAGAAAAAAATGTCAAATATCTGAAAGGCATGTCAAGGGGAGAAAATATGTACACTTGTTTTCTGCTGCCCTAGAGATAAGAACATGAAACAATGGGTTCAAAATTACAGTTGTCCTTCCATATCCATAGTCCTGAATTCAAAGGCTTTCATTTATTACTGCAAGGGTTCAAGGAATCCAGCATGTCACATTATCCAGAAGTCCAAATCATACACAGATGGATAGAAGGCAAAAGCTGAGGTTTTTTTCCTCAGTGACCAGAGAGGATGTCAGTGGAGAAAGCACTCCACAGTACTGACATACCACAATTGCCAGCTATTCAAGAAACCTGCGTCAGATCTTGATTGTGAACCACCCTATGAACCATCAAAGTTGGTAAGATCTTCTGGAGGAGCCCTGCTCTCGGTCCCACCACCCTCGTAAGCGCGTCTGGTGGGGACGAGGGACAGGGCCTTCTCGGTGGTGGCCCCTTGGCTCTGGAACTCTCTCCCACTGGAGATTAGAACTGCCCCTTCTCTCCTGGCTTTTAGAAAGCTGGTGAAATCTTGGCTTTGGAATATAGCATTTGATGAGTGAGTCAATAACTCTTGACCACATGGACGGATGGTAATGAATTGTTTTTTCATTCTGACGACTTGGCCTTATGTAATTATATGTTTGCATTTTAATGTATTTTATGGATTAGTGTATTATGAGGTGTGATGTTTTTATACTATTGTTTATGAATCTTTTGTTGTGAACTGGCCTGAGTCCCTCTTCGGAGGTCGAGAAGACCGGGTTATAAAAGCTCTAAATAAATAATAAATAAATTGATTGGACCAGAAACCGTTCAGCTAGGATTCAGGAAGCAAATTATCATAAGAATTTGACTGTGGCCAAATATTGCTGCCTATTCTTCAAGGCAAGGGGCAATGTGTTCCCATCCGAAATGCTTTGAGGCAGTTTTGCAGGAGTCCTGTAAAATGCAAGACTTTGGCCTTGTAATAACCAGGATGTTGAAAGGTTTACCTCTCTGAACGTATTCTCCCCTACGAACCATCAAGATTACTAAGATCGTCTGGAGGGGCCCTGCTCTCTGTCCCGCCAGCCTCACAAGCGCGGCTGGTGGGGACGAGGGACAGGGCCTTCTCGGTAGTGGCCCCGCGACTCTGGAATTCTCTCCCGCCAGAGGTTAGAACCGCCCCAACAATCCTGACATTCAGGAAACAGGTGAAGTTGTGGTTATGGAGACAGGCTTTCGAAGAATGAGACAATGATCTGGATGGAAGACGGTGTATATTCGATTTTAGTATGACGACTGACCACTGTAGTTTCAAATATATGTGTTTTTTAAATGTTTTATTGTAATGTGTATTTTGATATTTTACCGATTGTATGTGTTTTTATGGTTGGAAACCGAGCTGAGTCCCTCTTATGAGATGAGAAGCTCGGTATATAAAAACTTTGAAATAATAATTTAAAAAAGTATGTATAACATCTTATTGTCCTGCAGTTTTTACAAACAGTCTTGGCTGCATTATGCATATAATTAACCCACTACTGAGCAACCTACCTGGTAGAGCAGCCCAATTCCAAGTAAAGTTTTTACTACGAGGGTTGAGTGAAAAGTAATGCCTCCACCTTCGTTACTTGGGTTTGAATGGGAATATTTTAATAAATCAACTGCAGAAATAATCCTTAGAATGTGCTCTTTGACTACCATTATTCATTTTTCCACATAATCATCAGACAGTTGGATATATTTCTGCCAACAATGAACAAGTTTTCTGAAGCCATCATGGAAGAAGTCTGTGCACTTTCATTTCAGGTGTCGGCATCCTGGGTACCCATCATGCACAGATCTTCCAATAGCCAAACAAAGCAATAATGTGACCCACATGTTCTTGTGAAATGCCGATTATGCTTGCAATTTCTCTCTGAGTGATACGACAATCATCTTGAATCAATCTGTCAACCTTTTGCTTGTGAAACTCAGTGGTTGCTATCACAGGACGTCCAACTCTTTGTTTGTCATGCAAGTTAGATCTTCCCACATCAGCATCTTTAAACTTACTCGCCCAACGACAGTACTCACATCTACACAATCATCATAAACAGCTTGCATTCTCTGATGAATCTCCTTTGGGGTGACACCTTCTGCTGCCAAGAATTCAATGACTGCACGTTGCTTAAGTCGCATTGACCTACCGTCTGTGTAGAGTTCCATACTTTGTACTTTAACAACACAACCGTTCATTGCTAAGGCTTGCCACCAAAATGGAACTGCAGAGGAGAGTTTACTGAACAAGCCAGTACCTGCCATCTGTTGAGGACTTACGAAGGTGGAGGCATTACTTTTCATTCAACCCTCTTAGGTGACAATTTCCTCCAGGTGACCTTGGCTATTGCCAACTTCCTCTCTGAGGTAGCCAGGATAAGACAACTTCCTCTATTAGTCACAGGTTGAAACTTGCCTTGTATATATTTCCAGTATTTTTACCCATGTTCATATGCATCTAGAATCACACTTTTTTATGAATCTGCAGTGTACTTTCTGCTGAGCAAATTGGTTCTTTGGACTGTAATAAAGATTTTTGTTATTGTTCAGCTAGGATCTGTGTCCTGAAGACTACATAGGATGTCATTGCTGGTTGGCTCTTCGTGTGATGGGCAATTTAACGAACTGTCATTGGTTTATTTTGAAGAGTTAGTCCATTGGTTCTCAACCTTTCTAATGCCGTGACCCCTAAATACAGTTCTTCATGTTGTGGTGACCCCCAACCATAAAATTATTTTCATTGCTGTAATGATTGTAATGTTTCGCCATTCTGTGAAATTGTACAATAATTGTAATATTGCTCCTGTTATGAATCGTAATGTCAATATCTGATATGCAGGTTGTATTTTCATTCATTGAACCAAATTTGGCACAAATGCCCGATAGGCCCAAATTTGAATACTGCTGGGGGGGGGGGGGGGGTTTTGTCATTTGGGAGTTGTAGCTGATGGGATTTAAAGTTCACCTACAATCAAAGAGCATTCAGAACTCCACTAATGATGAAATTGAACTAAACTTGGCATACAGAACTCCATTACAAATAGAAAATACTGAAAGGGTTTGATGGGCATTGAGTTCTGGAGTTGTAGTTCACCTGCATCCAGAGAGCACTTGTGGACTCAAACAATGATCAATCTGGACCAAACTTGGCATGAATGCTCAATATGGCCAAACATTAACAGTGGTGGAGTTTGGTGAAAATAGACCTTGACATTTGGGAGCTATAGTTGCTGGGATTTACAGTTCAAATGCAATCAAAGAGCATTCTGAACCCCACCAATGATAAAATTGAGCCAAATTTACCACACAAAAGCCCCATGGTAAATAGCTGGACTTGCGACCGGCTCAGGGGTCCCAACAACGTTGAAAGCGCGAGGTGGGCAAGGGGACTTGTTGCGAAGTTAGGCCTCGTGCCGAGATCCCCTCGCTCGCCTCTCGCCCTCTCCGAATAGCAAAAGCGGGAGGGGGCTTGGCTCGAAGTTAGGCCTCACGCCAAGATCCCCTCACCCGCCTCTCACCCTCACTGAATGGCGAAAGTGGAAGGCGGGCGAGAGGGCTTGGCGTGAAGCTAGGCCTCGCGCCGAGATCCCCTCGTCCGCCTCTCGCCCTCGCCGATTGGCGAAAGCGGGAGGCGGGCGAGGGGGCTTGGTGCGAAGCTAGACCTCACACCGAGATCCTCTCACCTGCCTCTCACCCTTGCTGAATGGCGAAAGCAGGAGGTGGGCGAGGGGGCTTGGCGTGAAGCTAGGCCTCGCGCCGGGTTCCCCTCGCCCGCCTCATGCCCTCGCCGAACGGTGAGAGTGCGTGGTAGGCGAAGGAGCCCTCGCCCGGCCTGCGCCCTTGGGGCCGGGCCAATAGAGGCGGCCTCGCAACCTCTCCGAAATGGCCAGGCGACCCCCCTGGGGGTCGCAACCCCCAGGTTGAGAACTGCTGAGTTAGTCCATTTATTGATTCCCTTCTGAGAGGGGTGTGATCAGAAAGGCAATTTCCAATGGGCTCATGGTGGGCTTAATGGTTTAGCTCCAGTGGACACAATGGAGTCAATTTTAACACAGAATAAGGTACTCTCAGGTGTTGGTTAGTCAATAGTCTTCTCCTTAGGGAGCCAATACAGAGATCTGGGAACAGGAAACCATCCCAGACTAGCCCAGATCATATTATGCCAGAAAGATAAAGTAAACCCCATTTTGTCTCCCATTCTTCCTTATTCATTAAGTGGGGATTGTGATGATTTTCTTTGGGTAAGGCTGAGGCAAGGGCAAGCTGAGTTCGTGTTCAAGGAATTTCATAGAATGTTACTTTTTCGGGTAGTTAGAAATGGCCATGTCACTGGCTGTAATGAGTAGCGGCAAAAAGTGCACTCCTTGTCATTTGGCCAAAAAAAGATGTGCATTGCATTTGCTGCCTGCTTAGAATTCCTACTTTAAAAACAGAAGTGCCAGAACACCAAAGCTTCTAGCAATGAATAAGAAAATCTCAGGGTTCATCCAGGCTGTACAATAAATCCACTTTAATTGCCTCTGTTAAATGCTATGGGATCACGGGGGGTATAGTTTTACTAGATTTTGAGCTTTCTCTGCCAAAGAATGCTGATGTCTCATTAAACTACAAATCCCAGGACTGCATAGCATATTAAGCCATGGCAATTAAATTCGAGGTAAATTAGTGGAGCTCCAGGTGCTCCTGAAGCAGCTTCCCCTTTTGCCTGGCTCAATACTAATATTACTAGGTTGTTGTAGGTTTTTTCGGGCTATATGGCCATGTCCTAGAGGCATTCCCTCCTGACGTTTCGCCTGCATCTATGGCAAGAATCCTCAGAGGTAGTGAGGATTCTTGCCATAGATGCAGGCGAAACGTCAGGAGAGAATACCTCTAGAACATGGCCATATAGCCCGAAAAAACCTACAACAACCCAGTGATTCCGGCCATAAAAGTCTTCAACAATACTAATATTACTCTATTATGCAAATCTAATGCACACTCTAATTTTGGCAAGATAAGTTAGCAAACAAAGGTGAGCATTAGATTTGAGTAAATAGGGTAATTCATAATTTGGGATCCAATGTATTGATATCACACAAATTCAACTAACCACAGCTCAAAAAATATCCAGGAAAAAATCCAAAAGTAAACTTGCCATTTTATATAAGGAACACCATTTTATCACACCGCTAATATAATAGGACTTGAGCATCTATGGATTTTGGTACCTTTTAGGGAGTCCTGGAACCAAGCCACAGCCAGCACATCATACAAAGCATTAGGAAAAAGAGCTGTTCAGCAGTGGAAAGCATTTGTTTTTAAATGTTTATATGTCATTTTTTGATTGTTTATTTCTTATTTGTTTATGTGATTTATATGATTTGTATTTTATTGAGTGTTTTATTGATGTTTGTTTATTGATGTTGTTTATGATGTATTTTGGGCTTGGCCTCATGTAAGCCGCACCGAGTCCCTTGGGGAGATGGTAGCGGGGTACAAATAAAGTTTATTATTATTATTATTATTATTATTATTATTATTATTATTTATAGTAACATTGCATTTTTTTTCAGTGATGGTCACTTCTTGGGTTAGTAGGTGTGTTGTGGGCAAATTTGGTGACAATTCCTCCCATGGTTTTTGAGTTATTATGTCACTCAAAACGAACAGAGCATTTATCTATATATATAAAAATGCTCAGTGCGTAATGAGTACCTTATAAACAAAAGAACCAATGAACGAAATCACACCAAATTGGGCAACAAAAGTCTCACAACACAAGGACTGACCATCACTCAAAAAATTATGATTTTGTCATTTGGGAGTTGTAGTTGCTGGGATTTATAGTTCACCTACAATCAAAGAGCCTTCTGAACTCCATCAATGATGGAATTGAACCAAACTTGGCACACAGAACTCCCATGGCCAACAGAAAATACTGGAAGGGTTTGGTGGGCATTGACCTTGAGTTTGGGAGTTGTAGTTCACCTATATCCAGAAAGCACTGTGTACTCAAACAATGATGGATCTGGACCAAACTTGGCACAAGCACTCAATACACCCAAATATGAACACAGATGGAGTTTGGGGGAAATAGACCTTGACATTTGGGAGTTGTAGTCACTGGGATTCACAGTTCACCTACAATCAAAGAGCATTCTGAACCTCACGAACGACAGAATCGGGGCAAACTTCCCACACATTTATTGATTATAGGTGAACTATAAATCCGAGCAACTACAACTCCCAAATTACAAAATTAAGACACACCCCCCAACCCCCACTAGCATTCACATTTGGGCATATTGGGTATTTGTGCTCAATTTAGTCCAGTGAATGAAAATATATCCTGCATATCGGATATTTACATTACGATTTATAACAGTACTAAAATGACAGGTATCAAGTCACCACAACATATGGAACTGCATTAAGGGGTCACGGCATTAGCAAGGTTGAGAACCACTGTCTTACAGTCTCATGGTTTCTTAATAAGGGATAGTCTTTTGTTCAAAAATCAACATGTGCAAGACCAAGTTGCAAAAAGGTTTGACCAACAACCTAGCTTGGGCTGAATTTTGTTTTACTCCACTGTTTAGTTTAGAACCACATGTGGCATCAGAAAAGTTCTTGTACTCACCATAATATTGTCTTTCCAGGTGTTCACAGATGCTCCAAACCATTGTTTGGACTTGAAGACTTCCATTCTAATATAACCCTGTTGCGCCACTTGATCGCCTGATCAGTAATGGGGACATGGAGAAAAAAAAAAGAGGTAAGAAGAGTGGCTGTCTTGGCATGTGACAGCTGGAACCTGAGATGGATTTGCAACACCATTTGCAACTTGAGACGGATTTGCAACACCAGACCAAATTTTGTATGTATGTACCTTTCTCTTTGTATGACAAGCAGTGAGCAATTGTGGTTGTTACTTAATGCATAAGGACAGCACCAGTAGCCACCCCCAGACCTCAGATTTTGGTCCGGAAACCTCAGGACTTAGGACAGCCTTGAAATGGCAACGATTTTCTGGGAGCAACTTGAACAATTTTATTTTTATTTATCGTGTCATCAGCAACCAGACATATGTATTACATTTTTAACAAAAACAAACAAACAAACAGACAAAACACAGAATTTGTAAGCTTGGTAGTTGATTAAATATCCTTTAACCAGTATCTGGCCACTTGGAGTGCCTCTGGTGTTGCCGCAAGGAGGTCCTCCATTGTGCATGTAGCAGGGTTCAGGTTGCATTGCAGTAGGTGGTCTGTGGTTTGCTTTTCTCCACACTCGCATGTCGTGGATTCCACTTTGTAGCCCCCATTTCTTAAGGTTGGCTCCGCATCGCGTGGTGCCAGAGCGCAGTCTGTTCAGTGCCTTCCAAGTCACCCAGTCTTCTGTGTGCCCAGAAGCCTCTCATTTGGTATCAGCCATTGATTGAGGTTCTGGGTTTGAGCCTGCCACTTTTGGACTCTCGCTTGCTGAGGTGTTCCAGCGAGTGTCTCTGTTGATCTTAGAAAACTATTTCTTGATTTAAGTCATTGATGTGCTGGCTGATACCTAAACAAGGGATGGACTAGAGATGTCACTGCCTTGGTCCTTTCACTATTGGCTGCTACTTCCCGGCGGATGTCAGGTGGTGCGATATCGGCTAGACAGTGTAATTTCTCCAGTGGTGTAGGGTGCAGACACCCCGTGATAATGTGGCATGTCTCATTAAGAGCCACATCCATTGTTTTAGAATGGTGAGATGTGTTCCACACTGGGCGTGCATACTCAGCAGCAGAGTAGCATAGCGCAAGGGCAGATGTCTTCACTGTGTCTGGTTGTGATCCCCAGGTTGTGCCAGTCAGCTTTTGTATGATATTGTTTCTAGCACCCACTATTAGCTTGATGTTCAGGCAGTGCTTCTTGTAGGTCAGAGAACGGTCCAGAGTGACTCCCAGGTATTTGGGTGTGCTGCAATGCTCCAGTGGGATTCCTTCCCAGGTAATCTTCAGAGCTCAGGATGCTTGTCTGTTCTTAAGGTGAAAGGCATATGTCTGTGTTTTAGATGGATTAGGGATCAGCTGGTTTTGCCTGTAATAGGCAGTAAGAGCACCTAGAGCTTCGGAGAGCTTCTGTTCAACCATCTCAAAGCTCCCTGCTTGAGCAGTAATGGAATGATCATCAGCATAGATGAAGCTCTCTGTCCCTTCAGGCAGTGGCTGGTCATTTGTGTAGATGTTGAACATGGATGGAGCAAGCACGCTCCCCTGAGGCAGGCCGTTCTTCTGTTTCCGCCATCTGCTTCTCTGGCCCTGGAACTCAACAAAGAAGCTCCTGTTTTGTAGCAGGTTTCCGGTGAGGTGGGTGAGACGGTAGTCCTTTGTGATATTATACATTTTTCTCAGGGGGAGGCAGTGGTTTACAGTATCATAGGCTGCTGACAGGTCTATGAATACAGCTCCTGAGATCTGCTGCCTTTCAAAGCCATCTTCTATGTGCTGAGTCAGGTTCAGCACTTGCAATGTGCAGCTTTTGCCTTTCCTGAAGCCAGCTTGCTATAGAATCAGACAGGGGTCTATTTTTTCCATAATTCTATGCAAAATAAGTCTCTCCAGAACTTTTTAGGGGTGGCATAGCAGGGAGATTGGTCTATAGCTTTTTGGATCATTACAGTCTTTGCCTGGCTTCAAGATGGCAAGGACTCTTGCTTTCCTCCAGATTTTGGGGACCTGACAGGATGCCGTGCAACTTGAACAATGAGTGTGGTTGAGATACCCCTGTTGTGTTGAAGGGCCATCAGCTCCCTAACTAGACTGCTAATGGCTGCACAAGCACTGTCGCTTTAAACATCTAGCCCCAATTACTGAACAGGGAAGGAAAGTGAAGGCACTGTTTCATCAGGAATGTTTACTTTTGGCTATTCTTGCTTATCGGCAGAAGAAACTATTCCCTAATCGATTGATATGGACCTCATCCCACAGGGAGTGGGGGGAGTGGAGGGAATCGCTTTCTTACCGTAATGTTTCTTTCCATCGCATTTATAATGAAAGCAGATAATATATTCATCCCCATCACATATGATGTGCTTTTGTCCATTTCTATAGTAATCCTCCATGTTCTGAGCTATCATACAGGTGAGTGTAGTGCCCTCCAAGACCAACAGGTCAGAGGTTCAAATCCGGGGAGAGTGTGAATGAGCTCCCTTTGTCAGCTCCAGCTCCCCGTGCAGGGACATGAGAGAAGCCTCCCACAAGGCTGATAAACATCAAAATATCCGGGCATCTACTGGGCAACATCCTTGCAGACGGCCAATTCTCTCACATCAGAAGTGACTTGCAGTTTCTCAAGTTGCTCCTGACACACACACACAAAACTAAATTAAAGTTGCCACTCCTGGTGTATCTTCTCCAGTCCTTGGGGCAATGGGGAGAAGTCACAGGGTGAGAAGTCTGCTTTGTTCATATAGTTCAACCCCATATCCATGGGAGATACATTCTAAGATTCACCCAAACCCCTGGCTACTTGAAACCATGGATAATAGCAAACCTGATATTGGACTATACTTGGGTTCATACAATTGCATTGGAGAACCTAGAGAAAAACTGAGGTGGGGGGTGGATCATGGATAAGTAAAGCTGTGGAAATCAAAGCTGTGGATAAGGGGGGTTGTTCTGTATATATTTTATTCGTTACACTTTTTATTTTTTATTTGAATGCCATATTCTGAGCCACTCTGGTTGATACCTTAGGTATCGAGCTTGACAATATCACCAGACACTGCTTCCTGTAAAATTACAATGGGTAATCCCTAGACCTCAGTTTTGGCCCTCAAATCTCAGGCTCTAAAATTATCCAGACCTGGCAACCCTAAACACATACACACAAACCGTTTACTTCTGTGCTAGATGCTTAGGAGGGGAATTTCTACCCTCCCTTTATTGGCATTTGTTCTGTCGCGCGCTGGGCCTGTAAAAATTGTCTTTTGAATAGGACGTGCACTTTGTGCCCAGCGGGAAGCCAGGGTACCTCGAAAGAGAGGCCCTCAAGGATTTTCCTGTACGTCTTTGAGGCTTGAAAGGTTTAACAAAGTCCTTTATTATTGACAGGGGCGGCTTGTCCATTACGCGAAGTAAGCGGTCGCAGAACACTTTTTTTTGCCAGGGGCGCAGAGGCGCCTCTGTAAATGCCCCTCGACCACCACTTGAGGAGCACCCCCTCAGCTCACAACAGCCCTAGCAGTCTGGGGGGAGCCTTGGCTTTCTTGCCTCACTGCCGGGCGATCCTCTTCCCAAAGGGGCCGGGCCCTTGAGCCTCGCCTAGCCCCTCTCGTTCCTGCTCCACCTGGCCACCGGGTGCGTGAGCAGAGCCGGCGCTCAATCGTTCTCGCGTTCAATCCCTTCCCCATGACTGGCTCCCTTTCCTGATCCCCCGGCACTCTCCTCTCCCCAATCCGCGGGTGGGCCAAGGGGTGGAGCCGCCATGCCTGGCCCGCTTCGGGTCCGGAGGCGTGTCTGAAGACCCCAGCGTGCGCACCAAAAGTCGCCTCTTCTCCTGACTTTCTCTTCAGCCATTGGGACCAAGAGAGAGAGAGAGAGCCCCTCCGGCTGGAGGTATCTCCCACCTCCGCTCCCTCCTTTGTTTTTGCGCCTACCTTCAGGAAAGGTGGGCATCTCCACCTCTGTCTCTCTCTCTCTATCTCTTGGTCCCAATGGCTGAGGAGAAAGTCAGGAGAAGAGGTGACTTTTGGTGCATACACCGGGGTCTTCAGGCACGCCTCTGGACCCAAAGCGGGCCAGGCAAGGGAGCAAGTGCGGCAAGTGTAGTTACTGGGATGTATAGTTCACCTACAATCAAAGAGCATTCTGAACTCCACCAATGATGGAATTGAACCAAATATGGCACACAGAACTCCCACGAGAAACAGAAAATATATATCAATGATTGGTTGGGGGGGGCGGGTGGGGGCGCCAAAATACTGTTTGCTTACCGTTGAAAATTACCTAGGGCCGCCTCTGATTATTAAACAAATTAAACAAATACTTCCCAGATCTTCAATGAGTCAAACAAATGCTTCTTAACTTGTCTACAATGGACAGGCACCTTGCTTGGAGAACTATTTCTTTCTTTAACAAGGAAAACCCTTTTTTAACCTCTCCCAGGCTGTCTACTATCTAAGCTTTGCTGGTGTGGTTTCTACTACCGGATCCAAACTGCTTCTTGGGCACTGAGTAGACCTACCAGTCAAGGCTTGTAGATTCTCCAGCTGGAATTCTTTGGGTCTGTAAAGCTGTTTTCCCCCGGATGCTGTAAGGCTGAGAGGCTGTAAGCTCCCAGCCAAAGGGACTTTCCCCCCGGAAATTCCTTGGAAATTCTTAAGAAATGAAGCTTTTCTGCAGGTGAAGCTGGTCCACGTCCTATAGCTTAGTTTCCTTCTGTAAGACTGAACTAAAAATGGCTCCCTCTCCTCCCCAGATGCCTGGGGAAAGGGGCAGAACCAAACACAATAATGATAGACAGGTGGCTAGCCCTATAACTGCAAACTAAGGGAAGTCACCTTTTTGCAAAACCCCTGAAACCTTGGAATGCATGCAAACATTAAATAGAAAGAAAATGAAGTTGGAGCTCCTGGTTCAGCCATACCAGCACAGCATTGCATTGGGATAATTCTTCTTAAACTATGGATTCAGATCTCAAACGTGGCCCCCTTAGCTCAGTACTGGGATCACAAAAAATCTGGAAACAGAAGTTTTTGAATGTCACCTAGTGACTCTTTTAGTCATTTGCACAAATTTGTTGTGCAGTGTTTACAATGGACTCTGCAGCAGATGCTTCGGCTGTACTGCATAAAAAGGAAAATCAGCTTGTTTAGCAAGGCTTACAAATGCTGGTTTGTTATCAACAAATGCATGGTTTTGATACTTATTTTATGTACCTATATACACGGAGTCGCCTAAAAATTTCTCGGGCCGAAAGAGGTTGCCAGTCTAAAAGTTTAAGAAGACCTGGTCTAGACACATCAAAAGTGTTACAAATAGAGGTTCTGGGCCAAACCAGTCTTGAGAAGGATGGGATAGCCAAATGGATCACTCACCTTTGGTATCAAATTCAATAGGGTTGCAGTCACCACCAGTGGGTCCCCAAGGGCACAAGTAGACAGACCCTGCTTCCATCACACCAGGCTGCGAGGTGTTTGCCAGAGGCGCTCCAACAACCACATTCATGCTAGAGGTGGGAAAAAAGGCTTAGTGACTGCCCACAGACTATCCCCATGTACAGATTTGGCCATGCTGAGGTCCAAATGCACTGCTTCCTCCTCTCCTAAAGGGCCTGGTCTAGGGGATGCTGGGAGCTATAGTCCAGAAGAGCATGTGGATATGCTATTGTGTGTTTTGTTTGTGGGGGGAGTTGCTTTTGTGCATGTTTTTGGTTTTTTGGCTCATAAAAACACTGAAAACACAGCAGAAAGCACTTAAAAGCCAAAAAACCAGCTAGCCAAAAGCCTGGTTCCAAAACCACAATTTCAGTTTTTTTCTAAAAGAAAGGAGGACGCTGATCTAATCCTGCTTGGGAGCGAATTCCACAAGCGGGGGGGGGGGGGTCACCACCGAGAAGGCCCTGTCCCTCGTCCCCAGCAGACACGTTTCCAAGGCTGGAGGTACCGAGAGCAGGGCCTCCCCGGTGGATCTTAAACTACAAGGCCCAACGTAGAGGGAGATACGTTCAGACAAGTAAGCTGGGCCGGAGTCGTATAGGGCTTTATAGGCCAAAACCAGCACTCTGAATTGTTCCTTTACCAATATTGCATCATACTCATCCCCCCTGAATCCCCATACCTATATTATCCTACCTGCCTTTACTGTCCCGGTAGAAATCCAAGGCAAAGCCAAAATAGCTTCCGCTGGGTCCAGAGTATACTGTGGGAGCACCGGCATGTAAATTGAGGGTCCATACTGGGGGATGGATATGCAAGAACCCACCCATAAAAAGCCAGAGCGGGACAGAGAAGCCCAATGATCCATGGCCTCTAGCCATCATCTTTCTGTGGCGTCTTTCCAGCCTTATGCTTTGAGATATTTATCCATTAACGTTGGCTCTTCCACACCCATTACAACCACAGCCATGACATATTTCCTGTAGTTCTTCCTCCCACTCAAGTCTGTTTCAGCTGAAAATGACACATTATCAGAAGTCATGCATGAGTTTGTACACAGGAACTCCAAAGACAAGAATTAATCTGAAGCCATACAGATGCTTCCAAGACAAAACTGCCAAGTGTCTATAAACAACAAGCTGGAATAGTAGAAGCAGTCTGGGAATCAGACTGGCGAGGATCATTGCCGATTGCCAATGAGATAGCTTCAAGTCCCCTTGCCCCCAAGAGCTTTAGGTTAATAAAGCATTAATCTCATCTCTGTCAAAAAGAATTTATTTTTCCAGGAGATTTCACAAATACAATGCACGTCATTGAGGCATAATCCTTGGCAAACTGTTAGAAGAGAGACTGTGGGCTGATATCTTTTCCACCAATAGCCACAAATGGAAAAAAACACACCATATGAAGCAACTTGAGAAGAAACAATTCGAGGAAGTGCCTCCAATTAATGAAGCCTGTCTAGGTTTGAAAAAAATAACTTTCCTCCCCCAGCGTATCTATATAAATAAAAATGTAATGTTAGTTCATGCTACCATCAGAACTCAAAAACCACTGGGGGAATTGACACCAAATTTGGACACAAGACACCTAACAGTCCAATTTATGTCCTCCACTAAAAAAAATATGATTTTGTCATTTGAGAATTCTCGTTGCTGGGATTTATAGTTTACCTACAATCAAAGAGCATTCTGAACTCCACCAATGATGGAATTGGGCCAAACTTAGCACACAGGGCTCCCACGACCAACAGAAAAAACTGGAAGGTTTGGTGCACACTGACCTTGAGTTTGGGAATTATAGTTCACCCACATCCAGAGAGCACTGTGGACTCAAACAATGATGGATCTGGACCAAACTTGGCACGAATATTCCATATGCCCAAATATGAACACAGATGGAGTTTAAGGGAGATAGACCTTGACATTTGGGAGTTGTAGTTGCTGGGATTTATAGTTCACCTACAATCAAAGAGCATTCTGAACTCCACCAATGATGGAATTGAACCAAACATGGCATACAGGAATTCAATGACCAACAGAACACACTGGAAGGGTTTGGTGGGCATTGACCTTGAGTTTGGGAGTTGTAGTTCACCTACATTCAGAGAGCACTGTGGACTCAAACAATGGTGGATCTGGACCAAACTTGACACAAAAATTCAGTATGCCTAAATATGAACACAGATTGAGTTTGGAGGAAATACACCTTGACATTTGGGATTTGTACTTACTGGGATTTGTAGTTCACTACAATTAAGGAACATTCTGAAACCCACAAACGACAGAAATGGGGCAAACTTCCCACACAGAACCCCCATGACCAACAGAAAATACTTAAGGCCATCCAGTCCAACTCTCTTCACCAGGGCAAGAAAATGTAATCAGAGCCCTCCTGACAAAGAGCCATCCAGTCATAAATATAGATAGATAGATATGATTCTCTCTTACACATATATATAGTATCACAGATTTGAAAGAGACCCTTAAAGAAGGACTATGATATGTTGCATATTCCAGAGTAGGCAAACCAGACACTCTCCACATCAACACTGACAAAGAAACAACAAGAAATACTGTTTACTCACAAGCATAAAGGAATTACATATATTAGAAACCAACACTTTCTCATTACTTTATTTTCCAGATCAACAGACTGGGCCACAGTAACGCTTGGCAGGGGACAGCTAGTATATAATAAAGTGATATGCACACTAAACACACACATTTTATGGGAAAACTGCACCAAACTTATGTTTTCATAAGGACAACATATGACGGTATTAACTATAAACAATATGTATCTTTTGTTAACTTATTTTGACAATTTTTCAATTGTAAATAAAACACTCGTAGTGTTGTAAATACATTAACATTATTATGGGAACTATACTGAACTCAAAGGAGCTATTTTTAAAGATGTGTATTTTATGCTTTTATAATACCCCCCAAGGAAGGTAACCATGGATGAATCCACAAGGACTAAGTCCTAGCTCCATTGGGAATTAGCCTGTCCTGATTTGACCCCATGAATGTCACATTCGTCAAGATCCCTATCTCCAAAAACATGGATGAAGGACTGTATGTACCGTATTTTCTGGCGTATAAGACTACTTTTTAACCCAAGAAAATCTTCTCAAAAGTCAGGGGTTGTCTTATACACTGGGAGTAGACTTATATGCTGGCAGTAGTCTTATATGCTAGGAGTAGTCTTATACACCGGGAGTAGTCTTATAGAGAGTGTGCCGTCACACCCAGACACTATAAACTTAAAACTAAGATGTACTTCTCTCTTTATCCGGGAGAACTGCGGGTGCCTTACTTAGAAGCTCAAAATTCCCAGCAACTGAGGCCTGGGATCTTTTACCCTAACCCTGAGCTGCTATCCTTTAGAAAGCTATCCAAGCTCAAGGTTAGTTTTGGAAATGAAGTAATGGAGTCTCTCCCAATGGCAGAGAAATCCTGAGATATTCCCTGCCCCAGCGCTGAGCTGCTATCCTTTAGAAAGAGCAGGTCTTTCTCTATCTGAGCTCAGCACCAGTTTCAAAGGCAAGAGGGTAACCGTACTCACACTGGTCTGTTAAAATCCACTAGTTAAAATATATATATATCAGTGATTGGTTGGGAGTGGGGGGGGGGCAAAATACTGTTTGCTTACCATTGAAAATTACCTAGGGCCGCCACTGATCACAGACATCCCAGTGTTTATTACTCTCTCCATTGGTGTGGAATTTGCATGACCTCGCCTACTGCCTCTCCCATAACCCCTTTCTACTATTTTCATTGAATTCACCATAAATCATGGTGAATTCTCTCCAAACCTCTCCAGTATGTTCAATTTATAGGGGTTGAAGGTACTGGGATGTATAATTCACCTGCAATATAAGAGCACTCTGAACTCTTACCAATGATGGACCTGGAACTAACTTGGCACATGGAGCCCCCATGACCAGCAAAAAAAATACTGGAAGTCTCTGGGGAAAATTCACTTTGATTTGGGGGAGTTATAGTTCACCTACATCCAGAGAGTACTGTGAACCCAAACACCGATGTATCGAGAATAGAATCATAGAATCATAGAGTTGGAAGAGACCTCATGGGCTATCTAGTCCAACCCCATTCTGCCAAGAAGCAGGGAAATTGCATTCAAAGCACCCCTGATGGATGGCCAGCCAGTCTCTGTTTAAAAGCTTCCAAAGATGGAGCATCCATCACACTCTGGGACAGAGAGTTCCACTGCTGAACAGTTCTCAAAGTCAGGAAGTGCTTCCTAATGTTCAGATGGAATCTCCTTTCTTGTAGCTTGAAGCCATTGTTCCGCGTCCTAGTCTCCAGGGCAGCAGAAAACAAGTTTGCTCCCTCCTCCCTATGATTTCCCCTCACATATTTATACATGGCTATCATGTCTCCTCTCAGCCTTCTCTTCTTCAGGCTAAACATGCTCTTTAAGCCGCTCCTCACAGGGCTTGTTCTCCAGACCTTTGATCATTTTAGTCTGGACCAGACTTGGCACACATACTTGATATGCTGAAATTTGATTACTGGAGGGGTTTGGGGGCAACTGACCTCGCTTTCTGGGAGTTGTAGTTCACCCACAACCAGAGAAACTGTGAGCTGTGATGGACCTAGACCAAACTTGGCTCACAGAACCTACTGGGAGGGTTTGAGGGGACTGATTCACCATAGTTGGAGTTGTAGTTTACCCTAAAGCCAGAGAGCACACTGAACCCCACTGATGATGCATCCAAAGCAAACCTGCCTAACGTAACAACCTTTATGATGGAGTTTTTTTGGGTTAACCTTGCATGATGTAGTTCACCCACAAACTTATTCATTTTGTACAAATTTTAAAAAATGACTTTTTCAAGTAACCCATGCAATGCTGGGTACCCAAGCTAGTACCCAGCAAACAGAGAAGTTCAGACATTCAGAAATGGGAGATAGATAAAATTCAAAGCAGGAAGGTTAGTAGTATCCATATTTTTAAAATCTGACTGCTGTTTAGAATCCTTCGTATCCACGTTCTCCACTTTCCAGTCAAATATACACTTTCAGTTATCCACATTCACACTGAACTGGAAGCAGACCTGCCAGACCTACATAACCACTTACCAACCTGTCTTGCCCTCCAAATACTCCACCTCGATTCCACCCAGACTGATTGCAATGCAAAAAATATAGGACTTTCTTAGAAAGCAGTTCAAAGTGTTTTTGCTCCTGCTTTTAAAGTGAAAGTACTCCCTTTAGGGTTCTATTAATCCTAAAGGGAGCACTTTCACTTTAAAAACAGAGGAGTGTTATGTGTTCTAGCAGCACTAAGAATCATTACCGTATTTGGTAGGTGTGGATTCAGATGATGTTTCTGAAAAATGTGCTTCCTTTCCAAAGTCTTTCCCATCATCTGGTCTTTCCCATCAGCCAATTGCGCAAACATCTATCTGCTCCTTTGGTCTCTTCCATCTCAAATGCATTTGGACTGATTCACCAACTACCAAGGAAAGGCTTGTCATGAGCAGATCATTAAGCAATGTAAATGTTGTTTAAAAGCGAGAGTCGATCTTGGCGAGAAAATAGCTTTTATTTTCCCTCCCAACATTTCATAGATGAAAACTGGAACACATCTGACCAATCACCTCTCCTCTACTTTTCTTTTCACTTTACGAAGCATTATCATCTTTCCTGCTGAGAATTTAATCATCACATGATATGTCCAAAGTATGACAACCTCAGTTTGATCATTTATCCAACTTTAAGGACTAAATGTTTGGAGATTGTATTTACGTGGGTACTAGATATTGCAACCCCTGGTGCCGCAGTTGGTTAACTGTCTAGCTGCTGAACTTGGTGACGGAAAAGTCACAGGTTTGAATCCGGAGAGCGGCATGAGCTTCTGCTGTCAGCCCCAGCTTCTGCCAACCTAGCAGTTTGAAAACATGCAAATGTGAGTAGATCAATAGGTACTGCTTTGGTGGAAAGGTAATGGCGCTCCATGCAGTCATGCCGGCCATATGACCTTGGAG